ATCCCTCCACTCAGGCCCTGAGGGCCACAGCTGTTTCAGTAAGCATAGCTGAAGCCACTGGACACACACACATGTGCTCACATATGCTTAGTCACACACCTGCACACACCAAGCGGAAGGGGTGACCTCAGAATCTTTGCATTTTCTTTCAAACTTGTAGAAGAGGCAGAGCAAAGTCACAGCTCTTCCACCTCTTTGTTCACCCCCAAAGACCCACCAAGGCCAGGGCCATGCCAGACTGAAGCCTCGGTGCCCAACATCACAGCGACCAGGGTCTGCACTGGAAGCAGCTGGACTTGGGAATGGAATCCTGGCACTGTGACATGGGACAAGAGTGTCAGGGCTGGGTGCTGTGGCATGAGACATGGGTGTCAGTGCTGGGTGCTGTGACCTGGACATGGGTGTCAGTGCTGGGTGCTGTGGCATGGGACATGTGTGTCTTAGTTCTTGGGTGCTGTGACATGGGACAAGAGTGTCAGTGCTGGGTGCTGTGACATGGGACATGGGTGTCTATGCCTCTGGGTGCTGTGGCATGGGACATGTGTCTTAGCTCCTGGGTGCTGTGGCATGGGACATGTGTGTCTTAGCTCTGGGTGCTGTGACATGGGACATGGGTGTCAGTGCTGGGTGCTGTGACCTGGACATGGGTGTCAGTGCTGGGTGCTGTGACATGGGACATGTGTGTCAGTGCTGAGTGCTGTGACATGGGACATGTGTCTTAGCTCCTGGGTGCTGTGGCATGGGACATGGGTGTCAGTGTTGAGTGCTGTGACATGGGACATGTGTGTCTTAGCTCCTGGGTGCTGTGACATGGGACATGGGTGTCAGTGCTGAGTGCTGTGACATGGGACATGTGTCTTAGCTCCTGGGTGCTGTGACATGGGACATGGGTGTCTTAGCTCCTGGGTGCTGTGGCATGGGACATGGGTGTCAGTGTTGAGTGCTGTGACGTGGGACACGGGTGTCAGTGCTGGGTGCTGGGACATGGGACATGTGTGTCTTAGCTCCTGGGTGCTGTGGCATGGGACATGTGTGTCTTAGCTCCTGGGTGCTGTGGCATGGGACATGGGTGTCAGTGCTGGGTGCTGTGACATGGGACATGTGTCTTAGCTCCTGGGTGCTGTGACATGGGACATGGGTGTCTTAGCTCCTGGGTGCTGTGACATGGGACATGGGTGTCAGTGCTGAGTGCTGTGACATGGGACATGTGTCTTAGCTCCTGGGTGCTGTGACATGGGACATGGGTGTCTTAGCTCCTGGGTGCTGTGACATGGGACATGGGTGTCAGTGTTGAGTGCTGTGACATGGGACATGGGTGTCTTAGCTCCTGGGTGCTGTGGCATGGGACATGTGTGTCTTAGCTCCTGGGTGCTGTGGCATGGGACATGTGTGTCTTAGCTCCTGGGTGCTGTGACATGGGACATGTGTGTCTTAGCTCCTGGGTGCTGTGACATGGGACATGGGTGTCTTAGCTCCTGGGTGCTGTGGCATGGGACATGGGTGTCAGTGCTGGGTGCTGTGACATGGGACATGTGTCTTAGCTCCTGGGTGCTGTGACATGGGACACGGGTGTTGACCACTGGATAAGCACCTACCTCTCTCAACCAAGGCTCAGTGTGGGCACAGAGCCCTGGCATGTCTGTGAACAGTCACATGGCCTCCAGCCCAGCATGTCTTCATTACCCCTCCCAGCACCCCCATCTTGTTCCTTTTGGTCCGTGACCCTCATTGTTATGTCCCAGGGTGAGTCTGTGGGCAGGGGCAGTGATGGAGTCCCTGTCCGAGAGACTGCCCGTCTGTGGACCCTCCGCTGATCAGGGGTCAGCAGCACCAGTTGCCCCATGCCTGTCCAATGCCAGGGGGGCTCCCAGGGAGGAGGAGGTGCCGGTCCTGGGCTGATTAGGCACCTGGAGTGGGTGACCCCAGCCCTGGTGCAGGGAGCGGGTCTTTCCGCCGGGGCCCCTCACACGTGCGTACCGCCGACTTGGGCGAGGAATCCTGTGCACACAGTGACTCAGAGAAGACAAACAGCTGTGGGACGGCTCCAATCAGTGCAGCCCCGCCACTAAACCAAATTTACCCTGAGCCCTCTGGGCGGCCGGGTCCTGCACATCCGCACAGGGCAGGCTGGCCCACCGTGGGCAGTGCCCGCCACGGCTCCCCTCGGCCCCGCGTTTGGCCCAGGAGAAACCCAAGCCGCCTTGCCCCTATCACGGAAGTTTTCCTTGGTGAGAGCCCAGCTCCGGAGCCTGCCCTTTCTGTCAACAGCGCCGATAATTCCTGTAATCTTTGGGGTTGCCCAACTCCAGCGGACACCCCCACCCCCTCTGGCAGGTGCCCACTTCCCCTTTGCCGGGATGGGGGGATCCAACACGCTCCTGGCTTTGTGTCACCCCCATTGCTCACATGGTGCTGGGGGTCCCTTCCCTTTCCTGACTCTGAAATCGCACAGGGGCATTAGTGCCTGCTCCGGGGGACCAGGGCTTCTGCCGTCCCCCCAGTTGCCCTCAGGAACCAGACCTCTGTGTGCTTGGACAGGGGAGTGGGCACAGACAGGGTGCTGGGCTGGTGCCTCCTGTCTGCAAAGCCCAGCCCGGGGACCATCCCTGCTCCCCAGGCAGCCTGATGCCAAAGGAAGGCAGAGGTCAGGCTGCCTGGAGTCCTGTGCTCACCGGGTTCTGTCCTGGTGGGCCCCGGGACGTGTGTGAGAGCAGGGACCAGGCAGGGGCAGGCCCAGGCTCAGGCTGCCTGCCCTGCTAAGGCCAGTGGCCCTGGGGCCCAGGCAGGGTTGGGGTCAGCCGTGGGCGGTTCCCTCCCCCACCATGTTGCCGCAAGCCCAGCAGCCAGTTCCTCAGCAGAGCTGTGTGGGCAGCACACCCCAACATCACTGACTCTGAGACTCCAAGGGGGCTGGGACATGGTCTGTTGGCGGCACAGATATGGGGGGCAAGAATGGGCACCCTGCCTGTGTGGGGACAGCTCGTCCCTCACGAGCTCTGGACTCATGACGGAGGGCAGGCATGTGAGAATTGTGGGTTTCTGGCCACCTCGGACCCTACCCATCCTCCGTCCGTCTCTTGCCCACCCTGGGGCCTGTTCCCAGCCGGATCCAAGCTGGCCAGTCTTAATCTCCACTGAGTCAGTGCCAGCATGCCTATCGGGGGCCCAGCCACCCGCTTCCTGTCCCAGATCCCAGGAGCCGGAGGCTGGTCCGCACCCCGACAACAGCGCGACTGTGAGGCTGAGCCACGCGGCAGGGCCCCCGCCCTGACCTGGTCCAAACAGTGCCCCTGTCTCCAAGGCAACACCTGGACCACCCATCCACAGGCCCTCGTGAGAGTCCACTGGCTTATCAGATGTCAGGAGGTGGCACCACCCAGCCCAGGCCTGGAGCTGAGCAGCCCAAGGGACCTGCCAGGGTGAAGGCTTTGGGGTCACCCCGCAGCCCTTGTGTGGCTTCCTGCTGAACTGCCTCACCTGAGTGGGCCTTGTTGCAGAGTCTGCCTCAGGGGGTACACCTGCTCATCCTCCCCCAGGCCCCTGTGCTCCCCCCCCCAGCTTGCCAGGGGCCCGGGCCATGCACAGCCGTGCCCACTTGAGGGCCTCCCGAGTCCGGGAGTGCACAAACAGTGGGATGCAAGGAGGCCCCTGCAGTGGGGAGGGCAGCTCAGAGCCAGTGGGCCCAGTCACGACCACACGTGGGCTTGTGTGCCGAGTGGGGGCTGGGCAGTGGAGGCCAACACCACGGATGCCCTGGCTGGTTCAAGTCAGTTTAGGAACTGGGGGTTGGGAAGCCTAGTCTAGGTGGGCATTCACCATGCAGGGTGCCAGTTCCCCCCAGCTCAGATCTTATAGTGACCCCAGACAGTGTCACGTGGGGCTGTGTCTGAGAGGGACCGTGGCCTGGAGCTGGCCGGGGCTGCCTGCAGTAGTCGGTCGGCTGCCTGGTGACGTGGCCGTGGCCTTGGCCACACAGCATGCTCCCCCTTCTAGGCCAGACTGGTGAGTCAGCTGGGCTAGGGGTCAGGGTGTGGGCCCCGGCTGAACGGCCACTGCCTTTCTGGAACACGAGGAGGGCAGGCCCGTGCCTACACTGGCCTTGGTTTTGGTCCCTTGTGGCGTCCCCCTGGTTCCCAGCACCTGTCGGGGCTTGCCATGAGGCAGCACAGCCCTCCAGAGCCTCCACAGAGATTCAGCGTCCGCTCCTGTGCTGGACACCGGGGCCCCGTGAGGCCACCAGCGTCTGTGCTCGGCTTCTGCTCAGGGCACTGGGGCGTCTGAAGAGCCTGCCTGTGGCGGGGCAGGGACTCACTGTGGCACCGCTGCTCTGCCGCTCCACTGCGGTCACTTGGCCACCCACACGTCCTGTCACTCATCAAGTCCTTAATTCACTCATTCATTCATGAAAGCCATTTCCTCACTCAGTCATTCATTAAAAACATTCACCCACTCACTCATTTGCTCACGGCCCCCTCCCTCACATGTCCGAGCACCAGAACCCAGTCGAGGCGTGTGCAAGGAAGGCCTGAAGGACCAGAGGAGCTGTGGCTGGCCCAGCAGAGCAAGGAGCAAATGCTTGGAATGGACCAGAAGCTTCCCTGACCCAAGGTCCGCCCAGCCCAGCCTCTCCCTTTGGTGTCTGCTTGGGGGCTCCCTGGACAGCCCCCGGAGCTGTGGCGTCTCCAAGGCCCAGATGTGGCCACCAGAGTGAACCCAGGGAAGGCCCAGGAGGGGGATGTGGGGGGAGAGGCTTGTGGACCTGGACTAGGGGGAGCCAGGCCTCACCTCCGGACACGCCCACCCCTGCCCGCCACTGGCCTCTGGCCAGCCCCAGGTGAGCGCCCACTGTTTACCCGGGTGAGGGGAACTGCGGGTGCGCCCCGCCCACCCACGTGAAGCTGCTGGGGCCAGAGCCAGCTCTGGGGCTACAAAAGGCCGCTGCCGACTCGGGTCCCTCCTCAGAGCCTGTGCCTTGGGGACCTCTCCCCACACTCCACGCCATGGCCGTCGGCCGGAGGAAAGTGGCCCCGCTCTGGGCCCTGGCTCTGGCCCTGGCCTGTGCCCAGCACACAGGTAAGATGGGACAGGCCTGTTCTTCCAAAGCCGCTGCTGGCCATGGCACAGCGCCCCTGGCCAGTCCCCCAAGTGGGCAGTGGGCAGGGTGCTTGCCTGGGAACTGGGCAAGCTCGATGTGGCCATGAGGGGCTGCCAACCTCAGCCCCTTCCCCTGGCCCTCTGCTTCCGGGCTGGGGAAGGACTGTGGCCTGGTTGCTCCCTGGAGTCCCCGGGTCCCTGCCATACCCTGCAGCCCTTGGCCACCAGTGGGTGACCCCTGGCCAGGACCCTTGCCTGCCGCCTGGCCTGGCCAGCAGCACTTTAGCCCTACCATGCATGCCCAGCTTGGGTAAATGGTAGGGAGGGCATGAGGCCCACGGGCAGCTCCTGTGCCTGGGGTGGATGGGGAGCGGGCAGGTACTAGGCATAGGCACTTTGTCCCTGCCAGGGGACATGGAGCAACCAGGCCAGTCCAGGGTCTGTTGCCCCAGTGCTGGCTAGCACAGCCTAGGCCCCCTGCCTCTGCTCCCTTCACTCCCAGTCAGAGCCAAGATCTCTGCGCCCATCTGTCTGCTTGGGGGACCCTCTAGGGTCTCCCCTCAAAGCCCTGCTGGGCTCAGTGCCTGCCCTCACCTCCTGAGCCAGGAGCAGGCTGCGGGGCCCTGTCCACTGGGCCTGGGTGGGTTGGCAAGGTGGCTCAGAGTACAGCTGAGGCCAGCTCAGGTCAGGGCCAGCACCTGCTGGGCCAGCACTATCCTTCCCTGTCAGCAGGCCCCTCGGACTGTGTCTGGTTGCTTTAGGCATGGGGTCATAGCTGCCCAGGTCTTACTTGGGCTCTACCAGGGCATTACTGGGGTTCCCCCTGGGTGAAGCTAGTGGGATGTCCCAGGCCAGTGGAGGAGGAAGGCGGCCCCATAGGGGGCACAGGGCCTGAGGGGGGCAGTGAGGGACTCCCACTCTGTCCCCTGTGTCCCTGGAGCTCCAGGGTTGGCTGATGGTGGAGGATCTTGTCCCTCTGGGAGATGGGGTTCCTCCCAGCCTGGTCCGGGACTCAGTGACAGAAGCAGGAGCTGGGAAGCTGGACTGGTCCAGGGCCCATGGCATGAGGTGGACCCCTCCCGCTGGACTGGGTCTGGGGATTCCGCCCCCTGAACACTGCACATTTGTTACAACCATGACCTTGGAACCACACAGCCCATCCCACTGCCCCGTGGCCACACTCTGATGGGCTTCCCTTCAGTGCCCAGGTCTTGTGCCTCTGGGACCTGCAGGGTCAGGTCCCGTCTCTCTATCTGAGCTGGGCTGTGGCTCACTTCCTCACACCTCAAACATGGAGACTGGGCTGACCACGGCACTTTCTCGGCAATGACAGAGTGGCCCCTGGAGATGTGGGTCAGGGTAAGGGGGTGCCCTCCTTGTTGGGGGCTCTATGGGACCCAGCTGACAGCCCCTGGCCCCCAGCTGGGCAGAGAGAGAGAGAGAGAGAGAGAGAGAGAGAGCGAGCTGCACTGCTGGCCAGCTGTGCTGCTCTCCCTCTGCTGTACTGCCCCTGGTAGCTGGCAGCCTGCCTACACCACGCCTGCCCCCAGCTGCCCCTCAGGCCTGGCCCCTCCTCCACAGGCTATGCCCAGAGTGGCTCCTCGGAACCCAGCTTCACCTACACTGACCTTCTTGCCACCCCACAGGCATCCAGAGGTGAGTGCCAGCCTTCTGTCACCCCTGGCCACCACACGTGGCTGTATCCTGGCCCCCCCCCCCCCGACTGCCCCTCTCTGGCCATGTCCCCACGTCCCCAGAGGCCCCGCCACGTCGTTCCTGTCTCTGTCCCTCCCTGTTGAACCCCCGTCTCAATGAATGAAACCTGCATCTTGGGTTGGCCTCTGGCTGCTCTGTCCTCAGTGGGCCTGGCCCAGGGGGCACGGGGGGACCCCCCCAGCACATGAGGCCCTAAAGCAAGGGACTCCAGGGGCCTCAAGGCAAGGCCTGTTCCTCCAGCTGCATTCCTGCAAAGGGCCAGATGGGTCCAAGCCATGGGTGTTGATCCAGGAGTTCTCAAGGAGGCCCCAGAGTCAGATGGAACATTCTGGGCCCCAGGAGAGCTGACAGCCCCCGGGGCTCCCTGGGGTGGGGGCCAGAGGACGAGGAAGGTCCTCGGGGAACAGGAACATGCAGCTGGCATGCCCCTTCTCTGCTTTCCCCTGTGAGCACCCCATGGCCAGGGAGACCAGAGTCCACTCAGAGCCCCAGCCTTGAGACCCTCCTGTGGCGGTGGGTCCCCGCAATCTGCCATGGCCGTGAGCATCCCACGAGCCCTTGTCTTTGCAGGTGATCTCCTCCGGGCATCGACCGTGGCCTCCCCGCCAAGAACCATTCCTGTGGTGCCAGGTGAGGAACCCCAAGGCCCAGCCAGAGAAGGAGCTGAAATGGGGCCTTGCTCTTCAGCCCTGCAGTAAAGACCCTGGGGTGTCTCAGTGCTGGGTGGGCACCCCATAGCTATGGAGAGGGTGTCTCCCACTTGCCAGCTCCCAGAAGGGACAGGCTGCAGGGTGGGCAGGGCAGGGGCGCCTCTAGCGGCCGTGGTGGCTTTCGCTGCAGCTCCGGACCCCAAGCACAACGGCCGTGTGTGCAGCACCTGGGGCAACTTCCACTACAAGACCTTCGACGGCGCCGTCTTCCGCTTCCCCGGCCTCTGCAACTACGTGTTCTCTGCGCACTGCGGCGACGCCTACGAGGACTTCAACATCCAGCTACGCCGCGGCCTACAGAACGGCACTGCCTCCCTAGGCAGGGTCACCATGAAGCTGCAGGGCCTGGTGGTCGAGCTGACCAACACTTTTGTCCTGGTCAACAGCCGCCCGTGAGTGTGTCCCTGCGGAGGCCCCAGGGGAGGAAGCAGTGATTCCTGGGCGTGGGGCAGGGCAGGGGGCATCCCCAGTGCGATGGGCAGACTCCCCCTGAGTCCTGGCCCTTCCCCAGTTCCTCAGTGACGCTGGGGCCCCAGGGTCGCCATCCCCTTTCTGCTTTTGGTCCTGTGTCCCCTGCCTGCCCAAGGACCCTCTCTTTGCCCACCACTGGCCGCTGAGCCCCAGCCTGTCTCCCCAGGGTGCAGCTCCCATTCAGCCAGTCCGGGGTCTTCATAGAGCGCAGTGATGACTACCTAAAGGTGGTGGCCAAGCTGGGCCTGGTCTTCATGTGGAGCCAGGATGGCAGCCTCCTGGTATGTGAGGGGCCACGGGGCTTGGTTGGGGGGGACGAGGGGTGCTGTGCACCTGCAGCCGCTCCAGAAAGGGAGGAGAAAGTTCTGGGCAGAGGCGAGGTCAGGTCCCATGGCAAGGGAGTGGGGATGAAGGTCCCGGCAGAGCCCTGTGAACCTGTACCCCCAGATGGTCGATCTGTGTGGCTTATGGTGAGGGGGTCTTCTTGGTGAGCCCCAAGCCTCTTTTGGGGGGTCTCGGTCCTGGACGTCCCTACGGAGCAATTGCCTGATGCCTCCTCCTGTTGCAGCTGGAGCTGGACTCCAAGTTTGCCAACAAGACGTGTGGGCTCTGCGGAGACTTCAACGGCAACCCCACGGCCAGCGAGTTCCTGTCCCACAGTAAGCAGGGCCCGGCGGCCACCGCAGCACTGTCCACGCCCCTCCTGGCGGCTGCAGGTTCATGCTGCACACACAGTCCCAGCACAGACGCCTGTCCACACCAGCACACACACACACACACAGTCCTGTCCACACCCACCACCCACACAGTCCTGTCCACACCCAGCACACACACACAGTCCTGTCCACACACCCACACACACAGGGACACACACCCATACACACACAGTCCTGTCCACACCCGGCACACACACAGGCCTGTTCACACATGGCATACACACACACACACACTCAAAGGCGCACATACAGTCCTGACCCATGGCCATGCTGTGCACAGGAAACAAAGCACCCACCAGGTCCCTTATTCTCCTCGTGGCCCCTGGCCCCTGACACTGCCCCTGCCCTCCTTTTGCTGGGCCCCGGAAGCCCCCCACAAGCCCGCCACAGGATATACAGCTGTGGGGAACCAGCTGTCCAGCCAGGTCTGGCCAGGTCTCCCTGTGGCTCCCTGCGAGTCCAGGACCCCGGGGTCAAGCATCAGCTAGTGCTGGGCCACTGCCCTGCGACCCCAGGGCTCCCAGCCCTGTGCCGATTCCCTGAGGTTCTTTCCCTCTGGGTGTCCCATGCAGTGTGGATGGGACGGGTGGCCCCTGGGACCCTGCTGCATAGCTGCATGCCAAGTCGGCTATGCCCCTGCAGATACCAGGCTGAGCCCCATGGAGTTCGGGAACCTACAGAAGTTTGATGGTCCCACCGAGCAGTGCCAGGACCCTGCCCCTGAGGGCAGGAGGAACTGCTCCACGAGCCCAGTGAGTCCTGCGTGAGAGGGGTGCGGCGCCCCCGCCTGGCCACGCAGGGGGCACTGAGGCAGACACAGCCGCTCCTGGTTTTGCCGCAGGGCGTCTGTGAGGAGCTGCTGAACGGCCCGCTGTTCTCGGGCTGCACGGAGCTGGTGAACGTGAGCAGCTACGTCGAGGCCTGCAAGCAGGACCTGTGCCTGTGCGCCAGCAAGGACCTCCAGCCCTGCCTCTGCCAAACCCTGGCCGAGTACTCCCGCCAGTGTGCCCACGCCGGGGGGCTGCCCCAGGACTGGCGGGGCCCCGACCTCTGCCGTGAGTGCCCCCACCCGGCCTTCACCCTGCCAGGCTGTGCCACCCTGCCTGGTGTGCCCTAACCTGTCCCACTGCCCGCACAGCTCGGACATGTCCCCACAACATGGAGCACCACGAGTGCCGCTCGCCGTGTGTCGACACCTGCTCCAATCCCGAGCGCTCCCAGGTCTGCGAGGACCACTGTGTGGCCGGCTGCTTCTGCCCCGAGGGTGAGGAACACGTCGCTGTCCCCTAGCCCCGCAAGGTGCCAGGCACTGGGTGGCTGGGGAGCCTGTGGGTGCTGGGCCATCCCCTCCACAGTGGGCACCTGTCACACACCTGCCCGCCCCACAGGGCTGGTGCTCGATGACATTGGCCAGGCTGGCTGTGTCGCTGTGTCCCAGTGTTCATGCACCTACAACGGGGTTACCTACGCCCCCGGAGCCAACTACTCCACGGACTGCAGAGAGTGGTAGGGGTCCTGGGGGGGCTGTGGCCTGCTGAGGCCGGTGTGGCAGGGGCCAGCGGGCTGGGCTGGGCACAGGGCAGCAGCACGCAGTGGGTCTCCGTCTCCACTGCTTTTAGCACCTGCATGGGAGGCCGCTGGAGCTGTCAGGACGTGCCATGCCCCGGCACCTGTTCGGTGATGGGAGGCGCCCACTTCTCCACATTCGATGAACGGCAATACACAGTGCATGGGGACTGCAGCTATGTGCTGGCCAAGGTGAGGGCGCGCATGCAGTGGGCACACATGCAGCGGGCACGCCCAGCCTCCCCCAGCCCGGGTTCGTCACTGCTGCCCCCCCCATGTTCAAGCCACACTCTAGGACATCACCCGGCTACTGCCCCGGCCTTCACCCCATCCTTCCGCCCTCGGGTCCTGTCTTCTGAGACAGCGTTTAGGGGTCCCAGGTCCTGGAACAAGCAAAACTGAGAGCCTGGGGTTTCCCTATAACCATGGCCTGAGTCGGGGTGGGGCTGTTGGTGTGGGGGTCCCTCCTGGCACTCTGTTGGTGTGGGGGTCCCTCCCGGCACTCTGTTGGTGTGGGGGTCCCTCTTGGCACTCTGTTGGTGTGGGGGTCCCTCCCGGCACTCTGTTGGAGTGGGGGTCCCTCCCGGCACTGTCCGTCCTGGCAGTATGATATGCGTCCACCCTGAGGTGTCACACATGGTCATGTCCTCCCCAAGCATCACTGGACTCTGCATCCCCGCGTAGGCACAGCCCCAGGCGGCTCTGCCCCACCCGTGTCGCCCAGCGGCTGCCTGGCCGTCCCTGCAGGGCATGGTCCTGAGAGCCCCTCCTCTTGGGGCTCCGGGTGGGTAGGTGGGGCGCCAGGACAGGGCTCTCTTGAGGCTGAGTGTGAGCCACCTGTCGCATCCCCAGTCCTGTAACAGCAGTACCTTCAGTGTGTTGGCGGAGCTGCGCAAGTGTGGCCTGACAGACAGCGAGACCTGCCTCAAGAGTGTGACGCTGAGCTTGGGCGGGGGGCACACGGTGAGTGTCCGCCCCGGCTGCGTCCAGGGCGTGGGGGTTTTCTGAGAGACCCCGAGGCCCTCCACGCCCATCCGATGGCCCTGCCGAAGCCCGCCTCTATGGAGCGCAGGGCCCTCTCCACAGCCTTGCGGGGTGCTGGGGGACGTTGGCCACGACCTGCCCCAACCGACTGCTGTCTGCCCACAGGTGGTAGTGATCAGGGCCAGTGGGGAGGTATTTGTGAATCAGATCTACACCCAGCTGCCCGTCTCTGCAGGTGAGACGCCCCCTACCCCAACCAGGGCTGCCTGGTGCCCGGCCCTGCCCCCAGCTGAAGCCCCGGTCCTCTGTCCGCAGCCAATGTCACCATCTTCAGGCCCTCCACCTTCTTCATCATCGCTCACACCAACCTGGGCCTGCAGCTGAATGTGCAGCTGGTGCCCACCATGCAGGTGTCTGTGCAGCTGGAGCCCGAGTTCCGAGGGCTGACGTGCGGTAAGAGGGGGCTCTGTCCGGGCCTGAGCCCAGCCTGGCTGGCAGGAGCCCTGGCACCTCCCTCCCCACACCAACGCCACCCTCCCCACACCAGGCCTCTGCGGCAACTTCAACAGCGTGCAGGCCGACGACTTCCGGACCATGAGCGGCGTGGTGGAGGGCACGGCAGCTGCCTTCGTCAACACCTTCAAGACGCAGGCCTCCTGTCCCAACGTCAAGAGCCACTTTGAGGACCCCTGTTCTCTCAGCGTGGAGAACGGTACGTGAGCCCCTACCCCCAACTCAGCATGGCAAGTCCGGAGGAAATGCTGTGGGCGCCCAGAGCTGGGTGGGGTGTGGAGCTGCCCCCTTACTGCGGCTCCAGAGAGAGGCCGGAGGGAGCCCTGGTGGCCGTGCACGCTCTGGGCCTCTCCAGGAACCCACGTGGCCTCTGCCGGCACGGAGGAGCCCCCAGCCCCAGCCTGGGCACAGCCGGTGACATGTGTGTGCCTGACGGCCTCCCCTCTGCCCACAGAGAAGTTTGCCCAGCACTGGTGCTCGCGGCTGACCGACACCAATGGCACCTTTGCCGAGTGCCACACTGCCGTGAACCCCAGCACCTACCACTCGGTAATGCCCGCTGCTCCGGGAGGTGGGGAAGGCCCTGGGCAAGGGGGAGCCGTGGCCCAGGGACCACCAGGCCCAGTGCCAGCCCCACTCCCTCAGCCACGCATTCATTCTATCACTCACGTCCACTTGTCACATGCCCACTGAGCGTGTCCAGGCACAGGGTGAAAGTCTGGGGGTCTGTAACCAGGCAGCAGGGGCAGAGACAAAGGACCATGGTCCAACAGAGAGTGAGGGAACATAGGCCGGGCCTGACTGCCCCCTGATGCCCGCTGGCCCCGCCCCCAGAACTGCCTGTTTGACACCTGCAACTGTGAGAAGAGCGAGGAGTGCATGTGTGCAGCGCTGGCCTCCTACGTGCACGCCTGCGCCGCCAAGGGCGTGCTGCTGCGCGACTGGCGGGACGGCGTCTGCAGTGAGTGGTCCCCACCCCGGGTCCCTCAGGGGCTCATTCTGCCTGCCAGGCCTGGAGGCCCAGCAGCAGGGGGCCGGCGTGGTCCCAGCAGGGCCTGGGCTTCTGCACCCTGCCTCCTGAGGGTCACCCTCTCTCCCCCACCCTGCAGCAAAGCATGTGGCTGCCTGCCCCAAATCCATGGTTTACCACTACAAAATCAGCACTTGCCAGCCCACGTGCCGCAGCCGCAGCGAGCCCGACCTCACCTGCGGCATTAACTTCGTGCCCGTGGACGGCTGCGCCTGCCCCGAGGGCACCTTCCTGGACGATGCGGGCAAGTGCGTGGAGGCCAGCAGCTGTCCCTGCTACCACAGTGGCTCTGTGGTCCCCAACGGCGAGTCTGTGCATGACGGCGGGGCCATCTGGTAGGTCCCCTGGGAGCAGGCGGGCCGGGTCTGGGGGCTCCCAGGCCTCGAAGGGAGGCGTGACTGCTCTCTCCGCACAGCACCTGCACACAAGGGATGCTGACCTGCATCGGCGGCCGGGTCCCTGCCCCAGGTGAGCACTGAGGGAGGGACAGCCTGCTGCCTGCTCATCGGCTTCTCCCTGCCCTGTGTGTGCGGGTCCCACTGCGCTCAGCCCGGGGGGATGTGGCCCTCCACACATTGTGTGCCACACAAACTTACACACCGTGTTGCACGCATTGTCACACTCATAAGCCATGTCAACACACATGCACAGAGTGGAGAACCCTCCAGGTGCCCTGGGGAGGTGTAGCTGTGGCTGTGGGGACATGCACGGCCTGGCCACAGCCCCTGCCGGGTCCCACCCAGCGAGCCTGGTGTGGGTGGGCTGTGATCCCCTGAGCACCCCCTTCTCCTGCCAGTGTGTGATGCACCCATGGTCTTCTTCGACTGCCGCAACGCCACGTCCGGGGCCACCGGGGCCGGCTGCCAGAAGAGCTGCCACACCCTGGACATGGACTGTGTGAGTGCGCGTCCCTCCCGAAGTCCCCGTGACCCCCACCATCCTGGCCTGCCCAGGGCATGTGGTGACTTTCAGTGCGAGGGTCCCGTGCTGGTCCCAGGGCTCCACAGGTCCTGCAGGGGTCCGCTGATCCATGCCCTCTGGCCCTGCAGTACAGCTCCCAGTGTGTGTCCGGCTGTGTGTGCCCCGAGGGGCTGGTGGCCGACGGCCTTGGTGGCTGCATTGCTGAGGAGGACTGTCCCTGTGTGCACAACGAGGCCAGCTACAGGCCCGGACAGACCATCTGGACAGGCTGCAACACCTGGTATGCGGGCACATGGCACCCCGGCCACAAGCCTGGCATGGGGGAGGGCACTGGGGCAGCCCCAGCCATGGAGATCCCCAGGAGGCAGCTGGCCTGATTCCTGCTTTCCGCGCAGCACATGTGAGAACAGGAAGTGGCACTGCTCGGATGAACCCTGCCTGGCCACCTGTGCCGTCTACGGGGACGGCCACTACCTGACCTTCGACGGGCGGCGCTACACCTTCAGCGGGGACTGCCAGTACACTCTGTTGCAGGTGTGGATGGGGGCCTCTGGGAGCACACAGCCAACTCCTCTGCCATGGGGTCCCCAGCTCCCTACAGCCCCTTGTGCCCTCAGGACCAGTGTGGGGGCAACGGCAGCGCCCAAGATGCCTTCCGTGTCGTCACCGAGAACGTGCCCTGTGGCACCACGGGGACCACCTGCTCCAAGGCCATCAAGATCTTCCTGGGGGTGAGTGTGGGCGCAGCTGGCAGGGCACCAGGACAGGTGCTGTGAGGGCCGCAGGCCGGCTGATCTGTGGGGCGCTCTTGCCATGCAGAGCTACGAGCTGAAGCTGAGTGACGGGAAGGTGGAAGTGGAGGAGAAGGGCAAGGGGCAGGAGGCTCCCTACACCATCCGCCAGAAGGGCGTCTTCCTGGTGGTAGACACGGACCTCGGCCTGGTGCTGCTGTGGGACAGAAAGACCACCCTGTTCCTCCGACTCAGCCCTGAGTTCAAGGTGAGGCCCCTGGCATGGCCACTGCCTCACAGGAAGCGTGGGGTGTGAGTGGAGTGTGGACAGCGGGAGCAGGTGTGGGACCGAGCCCCGGGGAGGGCAACTGGGAGAGGCCATTGCTGGGGCCACAGTCCTGGCACGGATTCTCTTGAGGGCACAAGGCCTCCGGGCCCCAGAGTGGGCAGACAGGGCTCGGGGCATCACCCCTGCGCTGGGCAGCTTTCTGTGGGCTCTCTGTGACCCCCTAGCTGTGGTCTGTCCTCAGCTCACAGCCTCCTCCTCCCTGTGTGTGTGGGGGGGTCCACACCACCTTTCCACAGGCCCAGGCCACTGGACTTAGGGCTCCCAAATCTTGGTCACCCCATTTCCAAGTCCAGCCCTGCTCACAGGGACTTGGGCATTTCTCGGGGTCCACTGATCCACTCACATGGGCATCTCCAGCACCCTGTTTCCTGGAGACTGACTCCAGTCTGCCCACTGTGCTCTCTCTCCTCACCCCACAGAGGCCTGGGCTCCATGCCAGGTTGAGGCTGAGGGAGGGAGCAGGCAGCACTGCAGGGCACGACCAGCCGGGCACGGCCAGGGGACAAGACTTCCATCATCACCTCCTACTATCTGGGCTCATCCTGGGGAAGCCAGGGGGACAGTGCTCCACCCCCCCCATGCTGGGGTCTGCAGCCCCTCCTGTGCCCCCAAGGCCCCAGGCCCATGGTCTCTGCACCTCTCAGGGCAGGGTCTGCGGCCTGTGTGGGAACTTTGACGACAACGCCGTCAACGACTTCACCACGCGGAGCCAGTCCGTGGTGGGCGATGCCCTGGAGTTCGGGAACAGCTGGAAGTTCTCACCATCCTGCCCGGACGCCCAGGCGCCCCGGGACGCCTGCACTGCCAACCCCTACCGCAAGTCGTGGGCTCAGAAGCAATGTAGCATCCTCAACAGTGCCACCTTCGCCTCCTGCCATGCCCACGTACGACCCTGGGGGCTCGGGAGTACTAGGTGATGGCTTGGGGCATGGTGGGTAGCTTTCAGCCGAGGATAGCAGGCATGGGTTCCGTCAGACAGGTGGATCCAGGGCACTCACCCTGAAGACGCTGGCCCCAGGCAGCCAGGGCCTCCAGGCCAGCCGGGAGCAGTGTCAGGAGAGGCTGAGCCAGCCTGACAGCCACTGGGGCGGCAGTGGGGGGCTGCTCATTCACTCTCCTGAGCCAGGCCCGGGACACAGCAGCCTGATGTTGTCACCTCAACTCCCTGTGCCCCAGGTGGAGCCTGGCGAGTACTACGAGGCCTGCGTGCAGGACGCCTGCGCCTGTGACTCGGGGGGCGACTGTGAGTGCTTCTGCACCGCCGTGGCCGCCTACGCCCAGGCCTGCCATGAGGTGGGCGTGTGTGTGTCCTGGAGGAGCCCGGACGTCTGCCGTGAGTGCTTGGGGCGGGCACAGGGGGCGAGGCTGGCACAGGCCTGCGGGATGCACTGCTGAGCGGGAGTGCTCGAAGGGAAGTCGGGGAGGGTGCGGGTTTGCCCTAGCAGCCATGCCAGGCTCCAGAGTGCAAAGCTGGACGCTGCCTGGGCTGGAGATCCCCGAGTGAGGTGCCTGTCTGCACGTCCCATCCCCGGCTGCTGCGGCTGAACCCCCTTCTCCCCCACAGCACTGTTCTGTGACTTCTACAACCCCGAGGGCCACTGTGAGTGGCACTACCAGCCATGCGGGGCGCCCTGCATGCGCACGTGCCAGAATCCCAACGGAGAGTGCCTGCGCAGCGTGGCCGGTCTGGAAGGTGGGTGGGGCCCTCGGCTGCACGCTCCCCTACCCTAGGCGAGGCAGCCAGGTGGCCAGGCTGTGGGAACTCAGTGTGCTGTGGCCTGCAGGCTGCTACCCCAGGTGCCCATCGACGGCACCCATCTTTGATGAGGACGAGATGAAGTGTGTGACCACGTGCCCACCCAAGCCCCCTGCACCACGCTGCCATGTCCATGGGAAGTCATACCGGCCAGGTGCAACGGTGCCCTCGGATGAGAACTGTCACTCCTGGTGAGTGGACGGATGGCCCAGGGTGCGGCGGATGCCTCTCTGGCCATTCTCCGTGGCCTTGTGCCTGCAAGGGCCAGAAGGCTGTACTGGCCTGGGTCCCTGTGGAAGCAGCAGCAATGCCTGTGCCTGGAAATCCTGGGGAAGCACCCCTTTTCCTAGTGGGGGAGCCTGGAAGAGGTGGGCAGCGGCAGCAGAGAGGCCTGGACAACCCTAGAGTCCCCACATGGGGCAAAGCGGCAGCACTTGAGCTCTCACCTCCACCATTCATGGTGTTTGGGGTCCATGAGCATGTGAGTGTGTGAGTGTGGGCCAGTGGCCCTTGGGAGCCCGCATGCCTCCCACACACCTCTCCCTTCTCTGCCCAGTGTCTGCACCGAGAACGGCGTGAGCTGCTCCTACGACAGCAAGGGTAAGCAGCATCACCTCCTGGGCTCAGAGGGGAGCAGGGGTCCCCGTGTCTGCCACCCACCCACGCCCGATGGGCCGCCCCCGTGTCCCCGTAGCCTGCGTCTGCACCTACAGTGGCCAGCAGTACCAGCCAGGGAGCATCATCTATGACACGACCGATGGCATGGGCGGCTGCATAACGGCCCGCTGCGAGGTCAACGGCACCATCCACAGGACCACCTCTGCCTGCAGCCCCACCACTGCCGCGTCCTCGACCCCCTTCTCCTTCTCCACGGCTCCGCCTGGTAAGACAAGCAGGACAAGGCCAGGCTCTGCACTGCTTCTGCTGGCCACAGCTCCGTCCTACACCGGGCACTGCTCCTGGCTCTGGGACCCGGAACTTGACACAGGCACGGCTTGGTGTCAGATGGTGCCCACCATCCTGCACTCAGCAACAGCTGGGCCTAGCCTCAGCCGGGTAGCTCTGGCAGTGCCAGCAGGCCCCAGAGGAACTTGGCAGGCCGTCAGGGTGCCGTAGAGGTGTCCTAGAGACCTTGACCTCGTCTGCGGGGTGTCTTAGGGCTTTCAACTATGAACATGGCTCGTGTGGGAGTTGGGACAGTTCGGCCCACAGGGCAGCCGGCAAGGTTCAGGCCCAGGACACAGGAGTGGCCAGCGGAGGAGCTCAGCACCGTCTGGTGCTCAGTCTCTCTGCCTCCTCTTCTCCCTGCAGTGGTGAGCTCCACTCCTGTCCTCAGCACCAGACACACCCCAAGCAGCCCTGTGTCTACCACCATGAGCAAGTCTCCCAGGACGGCGCCTACGACTGTCCCCGTGACCGCCCTCACGGACTGCGGGGAGCAGTGCCTGTGGTCCCCCTGGTTGGACATCAGCCAACCCGGACAGGGCAATGACAGCGGTGATTATGACACGCTGGACAACCTGCGTGCCCACGGCTACCGCATTTGCCAGACACCGAGGGAGGTGGAGTGCCGGGCCGAGGACGCACCTGGCACGCCTCTGTCCGTGCTGGGCCAGCGCGTGCAGTGCAGCCCAGATGTCGGGCTGACCTGCCACAACAGGGAGCAAGCGTCTGGCCAGTGCCGCAACTACCAGATCAGGGTGCAGTGCTGCTCCCCACGGGACTGCAAGGAGCCCACGCACCCCACCACCTCCAGCACAGCCCAGACGGCCAGTTCTATTCCCACTGGAATCACAACAAGGAGAGCCACAGTTGGCGCGGCTAGCACCACAACATTGCCAATCACCACTCACACGCTCAGCCCGAGGCCGGGGAAAAGCACAGCCCGGACAACCTCCTCTGCGACCAGCCACACCCAAGAGACCTCAGCAGGCACCCACGAGCCAACCCCTTCTGAGCCCAGCCGAGTGTCCTGCGTGCGAGAGATCTGCAACTGGACACAGTGGATTGATGGCAGCTACCCAGAGTACGGTGAAAATGGCGGAGACTTCGACACTTTTCAGAACCTGAGGGCCAAGGGTTACAAGTTTTGCAAAACGCCGTCGAACGTGCAGTGCAGGGCTAAGTTCTTCCCCAACACACCCCTGGAGGAACTGGAGCAGGTGGTGACCTGCAACAGAGAAACAGGGCTCCTCTGCCTGAACAAGGACCAACTGCCGCCCATCTGCTACAACTACGAGATCCGGATTCAGTGCTGTGACATAGTGGATGACTGCCGGGGAGAAACCACAGTTCACACGGGGACCGAGGGCAGCACGGCAACACCCACACCCAGGACCAGAGGCGTGCCCTCAACCACACAGCAGCTGGGGACCACGAACTGGAGGCACAACACGACACACAGTGGGACAACAACCAGAATCACCACAGCCAAGACACTCATGCCTACAGACACCACCACACCAAGAAGCAGAACCAACTCTACAGGGACCACCAGGTCAACTTCCACGAGCCACAGAGAAACAACCTCTGAGCCGAGGACCACACACACCTCCACATCAGGAACCACTACAGCTTCTACAGCAACTACAGGAACAACCACCGTGTCCCACACAGAGACAACCTCAGCACTGAGGACAACCCAAACCTCCACATCAGGAACGAACACAAGATCTACAGAGACAGCAAGATCAACTACCGTGACCCACACAGACACCACCTCTGTGCCGAGGACCACACATACCTCCACATCAGGAACCACAACAACCTCCACAGGGACGAGTTCAACCACTGTGGCCCACACTGAGACAACATCTGTGCCGAAGACTACACACACCTCCACTTCAGGAACCACCACGACATCAACAGGGACAGCAAAAACAACCAGCGTGTCCCACACAGAGACAACCTCAGCACCTAAGACAACCCACCCCTCAACATCAGGAACTACCATAACCTCGACAGAAACAACGAGTTCAACCACGGTGTCCCACACAGAAACAACCTATGACCATAGAACCACACACACCTCCACATCAGGAACCACCACAACCTCTACTGGGACAGCTAGATCAACCTCTGTGACCCCCAGAGAAACAACCTCTGCGTCTAGGACAACACACACCTCCACATCAGGAACCACCACGACCTCAACAGGGACAGCAAAAACAACCAGCGTGTCCCACACAGAGACAACCTCAGCGCCTAGGACTACCCATACCTCCACAGCAGGAACTACCACGACGTCTGTTCCTGTAACCAGCTCAAGCCATGCCTCTACCACTGCCTCCGTGTCCCACACAGAAACAACATCAAAGCCTAGTACCTTCCACACGTCAGGAACCAGTAAGACCTCAACAGGGACAGCAAGACCAACTTCCAGGACCCAGACAGGAACAACCACTGTGCCGAGGACTACACACACCTCCACTTCAGGAACCACTACAGCTTCTACAGCAACAACAGGAACAACCTCCGTGTCCCACACAGAGACAACCTCAGCACCTAAGACAACCCACCCCTCAACATCAGGAACTACCATAACCTCGACAGAAACAACGAGTTCAACCACGGTGTCCCACACAGAAACAACCTATGACCATAGAACCACACACACCTCCACATCAGGAACCACCACAACCTCTACTGGGACAGCTAGATCAACCTCTGTGACCCCCAGAGAAACAACCTCTGCGTCTAGGACCACGCACACCTCCACATCAGGAACCACCACGACCTCAACAGGGACAGCAAAAACAACCAGCGTGTCCCACACAGAGACAACCTCAGCGTCTAGGACCACCCATACCTCCACAGCAGGAACCACCTCAACGCCTGTTCCTGTAACCAGCTCAACCCATGCCGCTACATCCTTATCCACTCACTCCCAAACCATGAGCTCTAAGTGCCAGCCACAGTGCTCATGGACCAAATGGTTTGATGTGGACTTCCCGACCCCAGGTAGCCACGGAGGTGACAGAGAGACCTATGACAACATCCTCAGCCACGGTGAGAAGATCTGCCAACACCCAGAGGACATCCGGTCGGTCGAGTGCAGGGCCGAGAGCTACCATGATGTGAGCATTGAGCGCCTGGGCCAGGTGGTGCGCTGTGACCCAGATGTGGGCCTGGTGTGCCACAACCGTGACCAGGAAGGAGCTGGTGGCATGTGTCTCAACTATGAAGTGCGTGTGCTGTGCTGCGAGATGCCTCAGGACTGCCCTACTGCCACCATCCCAGAGCTGACTACCACCAGCACCACCCAACGCACCTCATCTGTGGGGACAGGCACATCACCCTCCGTGTCCCACACACAACCAACATCCAAGCCTAGTACCTTCCACACCACCACGTCAGGAACTGCCATGACCTCAACAGGGAAAGTAAGACCAACTTCCGTGACCCAGACAGGAACAACCTCTGTGCCTAGGACCACGCACACCTCCACAACAGGAACCACCACAACCTCAACAGGGACAGCAAAAACAACCAGCGTGTCCCACACAGAGACAACCTCAGCGCCTAGGACTACCCATACCTCCACAGCAGGAACTACCACGACGTCTGTTCCTGTAACCAGCTCAAGCCATGCCTCTACCACTGCCTCCGTGTCCCACACAGAAACAACATCAAAGCCTAGTACCTTCCACACGTCAGGAACCAGTAAGACCTCAACAGGGACAGCAAGACCAACTTCCAGGACCCAGACAGGAACAACCACTGTGCCGAGGACTACACACACCTCCACTTCAGGAACCACTACAGCTTCTACAGCAACAACAGGAACAACCTCCGTGTCCCACACAGAGACAACCTCAGCACCTAAGACAACCCACCCCTCAACATCAGGAACTACCATAACCTCGACAGAAACAACGAGTTCAACCACGGTGTCCCACACAGAAACAACCTATGACCATAGAACCACACACACCTCCACATCAGGAACCACCACAACCTCTACTGGGACAGCTAGATCAACCTCTGTGACCCCCAGAGAAACAACCTCTGCGTCTAGGACCACGCACACCTCCACATCAGGAACCACCACGACCTCAACAGGGACAGCAAAAACAACCAGCGTGTCCCACACAGAGACAACCTCAGCGTCTAGGACCACCCATACCTCCACAGCAGGAACCACCTCAACGCCTGTTCCTGTAACCAGCTCAACCCATGCCGCTACATCCTTATCCACTCACTCCCAAACCACGAGCTCTAAGTGCCAGCCACAGTGCTCATGGACCAAATGGTTTGATGTGGACTTCCCGACCCCAGGTAGCCACGGAGGTGACAGAGAGACCTATGACAACATCCTCAGCCACGGTGAGAAGATCTGCCAACACCCAGAGGACATCCGGTCGGTCGAGTGCAGGGCCGAGAGCTACCATGATGTGAGCATTGAGCGCCTGGGCCAGGTGGTGCGCTGTGACCCAGATGTGGGCCTGGTGTGCCACAACCGTGACCAGGAAGGAGCTGGTGGCATGTGTCTCAACTATGAAGTGCGTGTGCTGTGCTGCGAGATGCCTCAGGACTGCCCTACTGCCACCATCCCAGAGCTGACTACCACCAGCACCACCCAACGCACCTCATCTGTGGGGACAGGCACATCACCCTCCGTGTCCCACACACAACCAACATCCAAGCCTAGTACCTTCCACACCACCACGTCAGGAACTGCCATGACCTCAACAGGGAAAGTAAGACCAACTTCCGTGACCCAGACAGGAACAACCTCTGTGCCTAGGACCACGCACACCTCCACAACAGGAACCACCACAACCTCAACAGGGACAGCAGAAACAACCAGCGTGTCCCACACAGAGACAACCTCAGCGCCTAGGACTACCCATACCTCCACAGCAGGAACTACCACGACGTCTGTTCCTGTAACCAGCTCAAGCCATGCCTCTACCACTGCCTCCGTGTCCCACACAGAAACAACATCAAAGCCTAGTACCTTCCACACGTCAGGAACCAGTAAGACCTCAACAGGGACAGCAAGACCAACTTCCAGGACCCAGACAGGAACAACCACTGTGCCGAGGACTACACACACCTCCACTTCAGGAACCACTACAGCTTCTACAGCAACAACAGGAACAACCTCCGTGTCCCACACAGAGACAACCTCAGCACCTAAGACAACCCACCCCTCAACATCAGGAACTACCATAACCTCGACAGAAACAACGAGTTCAACCACGGTGTCCCACACAGAAACAACCTATGACCATAGAACCACACACACCTCCACATCAGGAACCACCACAACCTCTACTGGGACAGCTAGATCAACCTCTGTGACCCCCAGAGAAACAACCTCTGCGTCTAGGACCACGCACACCTCCACATCAGGAACCACCACGACCTCAACAGGGACAGCAAAAACAACCAGCTTGTCCCACACAGAGACAACCTCAGCGTCTAGGACCACCCATACCTCCACAGCAGGAACCACCTCAACGCCTGTTCCTGTAACCAGCTCAACCCATGCCGCTACATCCTTATCCACTCACTCCCAAACCACGAGCTCTAAGTGCCAGCCACAGTGCTCATGGACCAAATGGTTTGATGTGGACTTCCCGACCCCAGGTAGCCACGGAGGTGACAGAGAGACCTATGACAACATCCTCAGCCACGGTGAGAAGATCTGCCAACACCCAGAGGACATCCGGTCGGTCGAGTGCAGGGCCGAGAGCTACCATGATGTGAGCATTGAGCGCCTGGGCCAGGTGGTGCGCTGTGACCCAGATGTGGGCCTGGTGTGCCACAACCGTGACCAGGAAGGAGCTGGTGGCATGTGTCTCAACTATGAAGTGCGTGTGCTGTGCTGCGAGATGCCTCAGGACTGCCCTACTGCCACCATCCCAGAGCTGACTACCACCAGCACCACCCAACGCACCTCATCTGTGGGGACAGGCACATCACCCTCCGTGTCCCACACACAACCAACATCCAAGCCTAGTACCTTCCACACCACCACGTCAGGAACTGCCATGACCTCAACAGGGAAAGTAAGACCAACTTCCGTGACCCAGACAGGAACAACCTCTGTGCCTAGGACCACGCACACCTCCACAACAGGAACCACCACAACCTCAACAGGGACAGCAGAAACAACCAGCGTGTCCCACACAGAGACAACCTCAGCGCCTAGGACTACCCATACCTCCACAGCAGGAACTACCACGACGTCTGTTCCTGTAACCAGCTCAAGCCATGCCTCTACCACTGCCTCCGTGTCCCACACAGAAACAACATCAAAGCCTAGTACCTTCCACACGTCAGGAACCAGTAAGACCTCAACAGGGACAGCAAGACCAACTTCCAGGACCCAGACAGGAACAACCACTGTGCCGAGGACTACACACACCTCCACTTCAGGAACCACTACAGCTTCTACAGCAACAACAGGAACAACCTCCGTGTCCCACACAGAGACAACCTCAGCACCTAAGACAACCCACCCCTCAACATCAGGAACTACCATAACCTCGACAGAAACAACGAGTTCAACCACGGTGTCCCACACAGAAACAACCTATGACCATAGAACCACACACACCTCCACATCAGGAACCACCACAACCTCTACTGGGACAGCTAGATCAACCTCTGTGACCCCCAGAGAAACAACCTCTGCGTCTAGGACCACGCACACCTCCACATCAGGAACCACCACGACCTCAACAGGGACAGCAAAAACAACCAGCGTGTCCCACACAGAGACAACCTCAGCGTCTAGGACCACCCATACCTCCACAGCAGGAACCACCTCAACGCCTGTTCCTGTAACCAGCTCAACCCATGCCGCTACATCCTTATCCACTCACTCCCAAACCACGAGCTCTAAGTGCCAGCCACAGTGCTCATGGACCAAATGGTTTGATGTGGACTTCCCGACCCCAGGTAGCCACGGAGGTGACAGAGAGACCTATGACAACATCCTCAGCCACGGTGAGAAGATCTGCCAACACCCAGAGGACATCCGGTCGGTCGAGTGCAGGGCCGAGAGCTACCATGATGTGAGCATTGAGCGCCTGGGCCAGGTGGTGCGCTGTGACCCAGATGTGGGCCTGGTGTGCCACAACCGTGACCAGGAAGGAGCTGGTGGCATGTGTCTCAACTATGAAGTGCGTGTGCTGTGCTGCGAGATGCCTCAGGACTGCCCTACTGCCACCATCCCAGAGCTGACTACCACCAGCACCACCCAACGCACCTCATCTGTGGGGACAGGCACATCACCCTCCGTGTCCCACACACAACCAACATCCAAGCCTAGTACCTTCCACACCACCACGTCAGGAACTGCCATGACCTCAACAGGGAAAGTAAGACCAACTTCCGTGACCCAGACAGGAACAACCTCTGTGCCTAGGACCACGCACACCTCCACAACAGGAACCACCACAACCTCAACAGGGACAGCAAAAACAACCAGCGTGTCCCACACAGAGACAACCTCAGCGCCTAGGACTACCCATACCTCCACAGCAGGAACTACCACGACGTCTGTTCCTGTAACCAGCTCAAGCCATGCCTCTACCACTGCCTCCGTGTCCCACACAGAAACAACATCAAAGCCTAGTACCTTCCACACGTCAGGAACCAGTAAGACCTCAACAGGGACAGCAAGACCAACTTCCAGGACCCAGACAGGAACAACCACTGTGCCGAGGACTACACACACCTCCACTTCAGGAACCACTACAGCTTCTACAGCAACAACAGGAACAACCTCCGTGTCCCACACAGAGACAACCTCAGCACCTAAGACAACCCACCCCTCAACATCAGGAACTACCATAACCTCGACAGAAACAACGAGTTCAACCACGGTGTCCCACACAGAAACAACCTATGACCATAGAACCACACACACCTCCACATCAGGAACCACCACAACCTCTACTGGGACAGCTAGATCAACCTCTGTGACCCCCAGAGAAACAACCTCTGCGTCTAGGACCACGCACACCTCCACATCAGGAACCACCACGACCTCAACAGGGACAGCAAAAACAACCAGCGTGTCCCACACAGAGACAACCTCAGCGTCTAGGACCACCCATACCTCCACAGCAGGAACCACCTCAACGCCTGTTCCTGTAACCAGCTCAACCCATGCCGCTACATCCTTATCCACTCACTCCCAAACCACGAGCTCTAAGTGCCAGCCACAGTGCTCATGGACCAAATGGTTTGATGTGGACTTCCCGACCCCAGGTAGCCACGGAGGTGACAGAGAGACCTATGACAACATCCTCAGCCACGGTGAGAAGATCTGCCAACACCCAGAGGACATCCGGTCGGTCGAGTGCAGGGCCGAGAGCTACCATGATGTGAGCATTGAGCGCCTGGGCCAGGTGGTGCGCTGTGACCCAGATGTGGGCCTGGTGTGCCACAACCGTGACCAGGAAGGAGCTGGTGGCATGTGTCTCAACTATGAAGTGCGTGTGCTGTGCTGCGAGATGCCTCAGGACTGCCCTACTGCCACCATCCCAGAGCTGACTACCACCAGCACCACCCAACGCACCTCATCTGTGGGGACAGGCACATCACCCTCCGTGTCCCACACACAACCAACATCCAAGCCTAGTACCTTCCACACCACCACGTCAGGAACTGCCATGACCTCAACAGGGAAAGTAAGACCAACTTCCGTGACCCAGACAGGAACAACCTCTGTGCCTAGGACCACGCACACCTCCACAACAGGAACCACCACAACCTCAACAGGGACAGCAAAAACAACCAGCGTGTCCCACACAGAGACAACCTCAGCGCCTAGGACTACCCATACCTCCACAGCAGGAACTACCACGACGTCTGTTCCTGTAACCAGCTCAAGCCATGCCTCTACCACTGCCTCCGTGTCCCACACAGAAACAACATCAAAGCCTAGTACCTTCCACACGTCAGGAACCAGTAAGACCTCAACAGGGACAGCAAGACCAACTTCCAGGACCCAGACAGGAACAACCACTGTGCCGAGGACTACACACACCTCCACTTCAGGAACCACTACAGCTTCTACAGCAACAACAGGAACAACCTCCGTGTCCCACACAGAGACAACCTCAGCACCTAAGACAACCCACCCCTCAACATCAGGAACTACCATAACCTCGACAGAAACAACGAGTTCAACCACGGTGTCCCACACAGAAACAACCTATGACCATAGAACCACACACACCTCCACATCAGGAACCACCACAACCTCTACTGGGACAGCTAGATCAACCTCTGTGACCCCCAGAGAAACAACCTCTGCGTCTAGGACCACGCACACCTCCACATCAGGAACCACCACGACCTCAACAGGGACAGCAAAAACAACCAGCGTGTCCCACACAGAGACAACCTCAGCGTCTAGGACCACCCATACCTCCACAGCAGGAACCACCTCAACGCCTGTTCCTGTAACCAGCTCAACCCATGCCGCTACATCCTTATCCACTCACTCCCAAACCACGAGCTCTAAGTGCCAGCCACAGTGCTCATGGACCAAATGGTTTGATGTGGACTTCCCGACCCCAGGTAGCCACGGAGGTGACAGAGAGACCTATGACAACATCCTCAGCCACGGTGAGAAGATCTGCCAACACCCAGATTACATCGTGCAGCTGGAATGCAGGGCTGAGGGCTACCATAATGTGAGCATTCGACAGCTCGGTCAGGTGGTGCGCTGTGACCCAGATGTGGGCCTGGTGTGCCACAACCGTGACCAGGAAGGAGCTGGTGGCATGTGTCTCAACTATGAAGTGCGTGTGCTGTGCTGCGAGACACCCCAGGACTGCCCTTCGGAGACACCGGCTGTTTCATTTTCTCCAACCCCTTGGACTTCTTCTACCCCAGGGTCTGGCCCTCGTTGCTTCTGCCGGGTTTCCGAGCATCTGTACCCTGCAGGTCAGTGCGCCCTGTGCTTTGCTCTTGCCCATAGAGCCTTCCTCCACCTGTCCCAGTGGATTCTGGAGATGAAATCACGTGTTGCATCCTTTCTGGAACCCTCTCCATGCAGCTCTCAGCTCCTCTCGATTGTACCCTCATCCTCCCGGGATTGAGTGCTCTGCTGTCCCTGTTGCTTTTGATATTTTGGGGTCCTTCCTGCCTGCAGTCTCTTCTAATCTCTTCCCTGTCCTTGGCCTGCAGGGTCTGTCATCTACTCACATCAGGACCTGGACGGCCACTGCTACTCTGCCTATTGCAGTCGGGACTGCCAGGTTAACAGAACAGTGGCCCAGCAGTGTCCTCCCACCACATCACCTGCAAGCACTACCGTGTCCTCGTCCACACCCACCTCTGATCCTGCCTCCGGCTGCACTAACACTATTCCCCCAAGAAAGGTAAGCTAAGTGTTCTTTTCTGTGGGAGTCCTGGTCCCTGCCTCTCGCCACCCAGCGCATGCTGGTTTCTGGCGCAGGCATCATCAGGAACAGATCCTGCTGCTCTTGGCCGGGGGCATCCCCCAGACTCCGCACAAATGCTTGGCCCGCATTTGGGGTCCCAGGCTGATTGTTTTATCACTCAGGGCCCTGTGCATGTGGCCCTGAAACCTGGGTCAGAACCTGCGAGAGATGGGCTGCCGCCTCACAGCCTTCTGGGTGGCATGGAGGCTGGGGCCCATGTGGAGTCCTGCGGCACGGCTCTGTCCACTGTCCTCGTGAGGGCTGAGGGGCCCCCAAGGCCTGGGCATCTGTTCCTGCAGCCTCCTCTGTCTCCAACAGAAAGGCGAGATCTGGCAAATGCCCAACTGCTCCCAGGCCAAATGCAATGGCCACAACTCCGTCTCCGTGTACCCGCGTCAGTGTCCAGATGTGGCGGAGCCCACGTGTGCCAATGGCTACCCGCCCCTGAAGGTGCCCAATGATGACGGCTGTTGCTACCACTACCAGTGCCAGTGTGAGCTGGCGGGCCGGGGCCAGAAGGACGGGACGGGGTCGGGCACCAGGGCGGGTGCAGGGTGTAGCCTCCGGCGCGTATGTGACCCCCTGCCCCGATGCCCACAGGTGTGTGCTCCGGCTGGGGCGACCCTCACTACGTCACCTTCGACGGCACCTACTACACGTTCCTGAACAACTGCACCTACGTGCTGATGCAGCAGATCACGCCTGTGTTTGGCCACCTGCGTGTGCTCGTCGACAACTACTTCTGCGACGATGCTGGGGACGCGGTCTCCTGCCCGCGGTCCGTCACCCTCGAGTACCAGGACGCCCGTGTGGTGCTCATCCGCAGGCCCGTCAACGGGGTCATGACCAACCAGGTGGGGCTGGCTCCAGGGGCTGGCACGGGGCAGGGGCGGCGTGCTGTGGCCCCAGCTGACCCTGCTGCCTTGTCTGTGCCATGTCCAGGTCATTTTCAACGGCAAGGTGGTGAGCCCCGGCTTCCAGCAGGATGGCATTGTGATCACACGCATCGGCATCAAGATGTACGCGACCATCCCGAAGCTCGGCGTGCAGGTCATGTTCACCGGCCTCATCTTCTCGGTGGAGGTGCCCTACAGAACGTTCGCCAACAACACCGAGGGCCAATGCGGTGAGCCGGGCAGCTGCCACCGGGAGTCCCCTCCAGGGACGGCTCCTCCGCCGAGCTGAGCGCCCCTGCACTCTGGGCCTGGAGGGCTTGCTGCCCAACTGGAGCCACCCTGAGGCTCACAGCTGTGGCTGTGCCTGGGAGGCGGGTGGTGCCATCCAGCCGGCCTGACCGTGCCCCTTGTGCACAGGCACCTGCACCAATAACAAGAATGATGAATGCCGCTTGCCCGGGGGCAAGGTCACCGCCTCCTGCTCCTCCATGGCCCACCACTGGAGGGTGCCTGACCAGTCCTGCCCCGCGCCTCCTTCGGTGACACCCACAATCGCACCCACAGTCGCAAGTACCACAGCACCCCTGTGCCCAAAGTCGCCGATCTGCGAGCTCCTCTTCACCACGTATGCCAGGGGCCAGTGGGAATGTAGGGGTGAGGGGGCAGGCCCAGCACTGCCTGGGACAGCGAGTGGCCTGGGCAGGCAGCGAGAGCGGACCCTGGGGACAGGTGCCTGGGACAGCGAGTGGCCTGGGCAGGCAGCGAGAGCGGACCCTGGGGACAGGTGCTCGGGACAGCGAGTGGCCTGGGCAGGCAGCGAGAGCGGACCCTGGGGACAGGTGCTCGGGACAGCGAGTGGCCTGGGCAGGCAGCGAGAGCGGACCCTGGGGACAGGTGCTCGGGACAGCGAGTGGCCTGGGCAGGCAGCGAGAGCGGACCCTGGGGACAGGTGCTCGGGACAGCGAGTGGCCTGGGCAGGCAGTGAGAGCGGACCCTGGGGACAGGTGCTCGGGACAGCGAGTGGCCTGGGCAGGCAGTGAGAGCGGACCCTGGGGACAGGTGCTCGGGACAGCGAGTGGCCTGGGCAGGCAGTGAGAGCGGACCCTGGGTGCGGGAGAGATTGGACCTTGCACTGGCTCCCAGGACCCAGAGATGTCCTGTGTCCTGGATGAAGGAGTCCTCGGGGCGCGTGTAGCTGCCACTGCCCCACGGGGTGTCTGGAGGCAGCCACGGCAGAGTCAGCCCCCACGTGTCCCCACCTGCAGGGTCTTTGAGTCTTGCCACTCCACCATCCCCCCGATGCCCTTCTACGAGGGCTGTGTCTTTGACCACTGCCACGTGAGCCAGCCGGACGTAGTGTGCTCCAGCCTGGAGCTCTACGCCTCGCTCTGCGCCACCTACGACATCTGTGTCGACTGGAGAAGACACACCAATGGCACTTGCCGTGAGTGCTCCGCCTTGCTGGGGGAGGGGGCCCTGGGAATGGCCCCCAGCCTCTCAGCCTTGGCTTCCCTTCTCTGCAGTGTTCACCTGCCCTGCCGACAAGGTATACCAGGCCTGCGGCCCTGCCAACCCGCCCTACTGCTACGGAAATGACAGCACACTCCTCCTGTAGGTGTCGGCCCCGCCCTGCGCTCCGCAGAGTCCCGCCCGCCCCCGGCACCCTGGCTGACCGTGTGTCCCCCGCAGGACCCTGCCCGAGGCCGGCCCCATCACTGAGGGCTGCTTCTGTCCCGAGAGCATGACGCTCTTCAGCACCGACCTGGAGCTCTGCGTGCCCTCCGACTGCTCCAGTGCGTCCCCGCCCCTTGGCCCGCCCTGCTCCCCGTATCCCACGGCTCTGCTGTGGCTGATGGCTGTGACCTCCCCCTCTTTCCCCAGGGTGCCTGAGCCCCTCTGGAGAGCCAGTGGAGGTGAGTGTAGCCAGAGGTCCTACGTGGCCAACGCAGGCCCTGGCATGGCTGGCACTGGGCTGTGGTCTGGGTGGGCAGGGCCAGAGCTGGGCTCCCCAGTGGGACCTGGACCCCTCTTGGCAGTTTCTCTCGAGATGTGCCAGCAGCCCTGTGCCCCCGCTGGCTGAGCCCTCTTCCTGTGCTTCCCTAGAGCCGCAGAGGGCACGCGTGGGGCCCACCTCTCCTGCCTCCTCTGGCCTGCAGGGGCCCTGTGCTGTCCAGCGGCGCCCTCTGCCGGCCCTCAGCTGCGGGCTCTGCGGCACTCCCACCCCATCTGCCCTGTGAGGGCCTGACCGTTGTCCCTCCCCTGCAGCCGGGCGACACCATCACCAATGGCTGCCAGGAGTGCACCTGTGACAGCAGCTCTCTGTCCCTGAGCTGCCAGCCAGTCTCCTGCCCGTCGGCCCCTCTCTGCAAACAGCCTGGCTTCGTGGCAATGCCCATGGCCGCAGAGCCCGGGGCGTGCTGTCCCACCTACAACTGCTGTGAGTCCTTGCTGGTGGCCAGAGGGGCATGTCCAGACACTGTGGGGGAGGGGCTGGAGCAGCCCTCTCCTCCCTTCTGGGGCAGCCCCCTCTGGTGTGGACCTCAGGGAATCTGGGTGCCAGAAGGAAAAGGGGCCCCTCCCCACCAGCTGAGCCTGGAACCCATGGGTGGTTGCATTCCTGATGGGGTGCCAGGGCTGGGTGGGACCAAGCACAGGGGACCCTGCGCCCTGACCGCCTTCTTCCCTCCCCTGAAGCCTGCAACCCGAGCTACTGCCCAGCGCCCATGGACTGTCCCGCGGGCTCCCTCCGGATTCAGAATGACCAGGACCAAATCTGCTGCCCCAGCTACTTATGCAGTGAGTGTCCCGGGCTCATGTGTGGGGCTGTGTGGGACCTGGGGGAGGCATGGGGAGCTGAGGTTGGCCTCCTTCCTGTGGGCCATGAGCCCAGCAGAGCAAGCCATGGGGACCCCGCCAGGCCTTGTGTGGCTGGCGGGGTCCTGTGTGGCTGGCGGGGTCCTGTGTGGCTGGGCTGAGTGGTGTGTGGCTGGCGGGGTCCTGTGAGGCTGGCGGGGTCCTGTGTCCTGTGTGGCTGGCCGGGCCCTGTGTCCTGTGTGGCTGGCGGGGTCCTGTGAGGCTGGCGGGGTCCTGTGTCCTGTGTGGCTGGCCGGGCCCTGTGTGGCTGACCTGAGCCGTGTGTCTCCCCCACAGGGTGGTACAACTGCAGCATCAACGGGACCCTGTACGAGGTGAGGCCTGCGTGCTGAGTCACAGTGAGGAGTGAGGCCCAAGCTCGCCCTGGCTCGGCGTCCCAAGGCAGCAGGGCCTGGACCCCCAGTGCTAAGGCCCTGGCCCTCAGAGGCGCGGCCATGGAGCCTAGCGGTCCATGCTGGGGACACGGGACTCCGCCCCAGGGAGGCACCACCCAGGCTCACCCTGATGAGGGAGGGGGTTGGCCTCCCCGGCCCCCCGGCCTGAGCTTGCTGACACTGAGGCCCCCTCTCCCCGTAGCCCGGCTCGCTGGTCCCCTCTGCTCCATGCCAAACCTGCAGGTGTGAGCTGCACCAAGGCCCTGGTGGGTTCAGCACATTCTGGGTCAACTGCGAGGAACCCAGTTGCAACACTGAATGCCCGGTGGTGAGTGCTGCCCCGCCCCCACCCCGTCCCAGCCTGCTGGCCCCTCCCCCAGGGCTCAGGCCACCTGCACGTCCCCTCCCACAGGGCTCAGAGTACCGGGAACTGGAAGGGCAGTGCTGTGGGGAGTGTGTACAGAAGTACTGCACGGTCAGCGTCAACAGCAGCTCCCCCGGCCTCTACCTCGTGAGTAGCACCCCAGGCCGCGCAGGGCTATGACCACGGGGAGTGTCTGTGAGGAGGAGACGCTGGGCAGATGCTGAGTGGGACCCTCACCCCCGGATGGGGCATCTTTCAGCCCGGGCAGTCTTGGCCGGACCCTGAGGACGCCTGTGTGAGCTACCTGTGTGAGCAGCAACTGGACAAGATGGTGGTGGTGGCCACGAAGGAGTCCTGCCCCCCGCTCAGCTGCCCCGATGTGAGTCCCGGGTGTACCCCGCCGGGCTGCCCGAGTTCCCACTCCTGTCCCTCAACGGGCACTAAGGGCACCTCTATTGGCACAGGACCAGGCTTTGCCAAGCAAGAATGGCTGCTGCCGCTACTGCCCTGCACCTCCCTCTCAAAACAGTAAGTGGCCGCGTCTTGGGGTGGGCTGGGGCTGGGGGTGCAGCTGGCCCTGCCCCCTGCCTCACCTCACCTCCGTTAGCAGTGTCCACCTGCACCCTGCACCACGAGCACCAGGTCATCGAGCATGAGGGCTGCAACTCCTCGGAGCCCGTGCGGCTGGCCTACTGCCGGGGCAACTGCGGGGACAGCAGCTCCAAGTACGTGAGCTTGTGGCACCCCTCCACCTGGGGCTGAGCCCTGATCTGCAGGGCAGAGGGCTGGAGGGGAGCAGCCGGTCTCAGTGCCCCCTGAGCCCCTGCTCTGGGCGTCAGGGCGCACTGGTTCACGCCCCGGCTTGACACCCGCAGGTACTCCCTGGCAGCCAGCATGGTGGAGCACCAGTGTCGCTGCTGCCAGGAGCTGCGGACCTCACCAAGGACGGTGACCTTGCACTGCGCGGGCGGTGCCAGCCGCAACTTCACCTACACCGAGGTGGAGGAGTGTGGCTGCCACAGCCAGAAGTGCCCTTCACCTGCCGACAGCAGCCGCTCGGATTCATTCGGGTCAGCCCAGTGGTCACTCAGGCCTGGCCACTAACTCGCAGGACACACCGGAGACCACGCCCCTCACCCTGCCCTCCCAGCCCACCCCCCAGACGCGGTGGCTGGCCGCTGAGCTGGCTGCGCAGAGGGTCACCCTCACTCCTACCTCGGCCCTGGGCGGGTCCTCCTTCAGGAAACGACTGCTCATTCATAAACCCATGGAGCATTTTGCATTCCGTTGTCTCTGCAATTTTTATCTCATCCAGAAAGCCAAGAAGTCGGGTTGGGGGTGCTGCCCCATCTGTGTGGAGGGAGAGGCCTGGCCCAAAGGTGGGCCACGGCAGAGGCCTCACAGGGCCTGGCCACCGCCTGAGGCCAGGGTACAACTGCCCGGAGCTGAGCGAGTGGGACAGGAAGGGACATGTTCCTAGGGGTGGCCAAGGAAGTGGAGTGAGTGGCCAGCCAGGTAGAGCTGAGAGTCCAGGGTCCACACATGGCAAGTGGGATTAGGAGGGTGAGAGGTTGGGCACGGGGTGGCATCCAAGGCAGGTGCCAGTGTGGCAGAACCCACTGGCTAGGCCAGCCACAGCACCCTGCCCTTACCTCTGGTGTCCATATGGCTCAGGAAGCAACGTGAGGGCAGGGCCACAGAGTGGATAAAATGACAGCTGCCCACGCCAGGTCCATAGCTCGTGAGTGGCAAGGGAGGCCCAGAGTGGGGCAAGCTGGGGCAGGTGGGACAGACACTGAGCTCAGCTCCGACACAGGCCTCCCAGAGGAGCAGAGCAGGACAGCTGAGGCCACAAAAGGCCATAGCTCCTGCCAACACGGGGCAGCCAAGGAAAGGAAGACACTGTGAATGGGGCGTGGGCCCCATGGCAGCAAGAACTCGGGGTTTCAGATGCAGGCTCCAGTAGTGAGCAGGGGAGGGGAGTGCGGTCCTGCAGAGGGAGCAGGAAAGGGGAGTGCGGTCCTGTGCAGGGAGCAGGGGAGGGGAGTGCGGTCTTGTGCAGGGAGCAGGGGAGGGAAGTGTGGTCCTGCAGAGGTAGCAGGGGAGGGGAGGGCGGTCCTGTGCAGGGAGCAGGGGAGGGGAGTGCGGTCCTGTACAGGGAGCAGGGGAGGGGAGTACGGTCCTGCAGAGGGAGCAGGGGAGGGGAGGACGGTCCTGTACAGGGAGTTGCTGGGGAGGGGAGAGCGGTCCTGTGCAGGGAGCAGGGGAGGGGAGGGCGGTCCTGTACAGGGAGCAGGGGAGGAGAGGACGGTCCTGTGCAGGGAGCAGGGGAGGAGAGGGCGGTCCAGTGCAGGGAGCAGGGGAGGGGAGGGCGGTCCAGTGCAGGGAGCAGGGGAGGGGAGAGCGGTCCTGTACAGGGAGCAGGGGAGGAGAGGACGGTCCTGTGCAGGGAGCAGGGGAGGGGAGGGCGGTCCAGTGCAGGGAGCAGGGGAGGGGAGAGCGGTCCTGCAGAGGGAGCAGGGGAGGGGAGGACAGTCCTGTACAGGGAGTTGCTGGGGAGGGGAGTGCGGTCCTGCAGAGGGAGCAGGGGAGGGGAGGGCGGTCCTGTGCAGGGAGCAGGGGAGGGGAGGGCGGTCCTGTACAGGGAGCAGGGGAGGGGAGAGCGGTACAGTGCAGGGAGCAGGGGAGGGGAGGGAGGTCCTGTACAGGGAGCAGGGGAGGGGTGAGCGGTCCTGTGCAGGGAGCAGGGGAGGGGTGAGCGGTCCTGTGCAGGGAGCAGGGGAGGGGAGGGTGGTCCTGTACAGGGAGTTGCTGGGGAGTGGACAGTGACCTTGGATGGTGGCCTTGCACAGCTGCTGGCTCCCATGAATCCAGCCTCATCCCCCTGGTCCTTGTCCTAGTGGACTAACTTGTATTTACTCTTTACGGTCGTTCTTGGCTCCAGGGACCAGAGGGTACCACTGTATCCTGCCCCGGGCTCCTGGGTCACCCTGTCGGGCCTCGCTCCCTGGGCCCAGCCCAGCCCTACCACCCTGCCCCTTGGTCAGTGGCCATTCCGCTGACTGTAGAGCCCACGGCCCAGCGTTGACCCTCCTCCCCTGGCTGGGGTCGTAGGGGCTGGCCCCACTGACAGCCCACTGCCCGGCACCCTCACCACATGCTGCCCCTGGAGCTGGTGAAGTGTCAGGAGGGTGAGCCCTCCTCTCAGGGGTGGGGACACCACTGTGACCAGTCCTGTCCCCATAGGACGGGCTGGCTGGCTGCCTGTCGGGTTTGCTCTGAGCCCAGGCCTTCCTGGTCTGCTGGGCACCCATGGGGCAGCATACTGGAGTAACCGGATCATAGGTCCCTGGGTTACACAAGCAAGCACAGTGTTCCAGAAGGCATTGCTAGGCACCACCCAGCGCCCCAGCACCACCACCCACACTTGCCTGGACATGGGTGGGTGTAGGGGGTCGCCTGTTCTTCCGTGACAAGCCGAGGAGGGGGCATCCCAGGGGCTCCTGTGAGGTGAGGGCGGAGCTGCCAGCCTGCGGTGCTGTGACCATGGTCAGGCCAGGCTCCCTCCTGACTCCATCCCTCCAGCCTCGCACCTTGCCGCACCCCAAGGAAGCTTGTCTGAGCCTGGGGCCAGGTGCCCATGAGCCTGGCTAGGGGAGGAGGGTCCAGGCACAGCTCCCACTGGGTGCCCTCAAGTGCAGGGGTGGCTAGAGTAGACCAGAGGATGACCCTGAGCTTGGCACTGGCCAGTCCTGGCAAGGCCCTGGACACAATGTCAGGGGAGCCCACAGAAGACAGAATCCTGCCGGGAAAGACCAGCTGCCAGGAATGTGATGACCACAGCCTGGTGTATGCCCAGCTGATGGGCAGAGAGGGCATGGGGCCTCTGACCCTGGGGACCTGGGGCTGCCAGGTTCGTGGGAGGAAGTTGGCACAGTGACGGTCAAATGCCGTGGGGCAGACAAAGGCGCTCAGAATATCCGGCTCCCTGGCAGGGGGAGGGGCTGGGAGTGGCAGCTGCCTGCCAGCCTGGCGGGGACCCAGGGGACCCACAGGAGGAATATGGTGCTCGCAGCGCTGGCATGGCTTCCCACGTGGGCCACTTTGCGCCTTGCCTCCACGGACTGCCTCCCCAACTTTCCTGTCTAGCCACCCTCCCCAGCCCTTAGCCTCAGCTACTACAGCAGTGACAGCCACGGGGCCTGAGAGAGTGGACCTGCTGGCTGGAGTCATTCCAGGCCAGCCAGATACTGCAGGTCCACCCAGGGACCCTCACCTATGGCCCTGTGCCACCCCCGCCTGCTAACAAACTTTGGGGTCCACTGAGTATTTTGTGAGCGAACTGGAATGGGGTGTGGTCTTGCTGTGAATGGCCCCTTGGGTCTGGGAGGCTAGCTGTGGCCAGAGGTGCAGCTTGGCTCCCGAAAGCCCCTGTTCCCACACCACTGCCACCATTGGTGGTCCTTAGCTCCTCCATCCGCCCCTGGGGGCACCACAGACAGTGGCCTGGGGTCGCACCCACACTGCCAGATGGGTCTGTGTGGCAAAGTCGACCCAGCAGCTCACCTGTGTGCATGGTCACCACGGCATGTCCCTGGCCTTACGCACAGAGTGACCCCAGTGGAGGGCTCAGAAATGACCCTTTCAGCCCTGACAAAGCCAGAGCAGCTCCCGGCCAGGCCCCTGTCTGTGGGTAGGATGGGGGGCACAGGAAACTTCCAGAGACCTGGACACTGGTGGCACAGGGTTCCAAGATGCCAGTGCTAAGGGCACCAGGCAGCAGCCCAGCCAGGCCCCCTAGGCCTGGGCCATGGCTGCTCCCAGCGCCTGGTGTCTCCGCTGGACCCTGAGCACCGCAGACCCTGCAGTGTGGGACTCAGTTCCACCGCTGAGACAGTGACCTGCAGGGACATGGACACCCACGGGGCTGTCTGCACACACACACTGACCCATGCCGAGGGGTGTGGGGGCAGGGGCAGCAATGGCCTGACAAGGATAGGAAGGCACCCAGAGGTCCCACTCCTTGGGTACCAGCCCTGCAGGGAGTGCTCGGCGCAGGCCACCAGGCAGGAGCCAGGGGTACACCCCCGGCTGCTGAGTCAACGCAGACACACACAATCACACATAAACGCAGACACACACATGCACAGACACACACACACACACGTACACACGGGGTTACGGGCTTCCTGGTCGCCTCCATGGCACAGCCATTGTAGCCAGCACGGCGGCCCCAGCTCCTGTTTGCTCGCTCTTGCGTGGCCCTAATCCTGAGCAAACGGGCCCCAGGCCTACCTCTGCCCTGATTTGCCCCCACATCCTCCTGGCCCCACTGTCCAGGGCTGTGATTGCGTGCGTGTCTGGACTGGGGCAGCGCCTGGGCTGGCCACCTGCAGTGCTCACACTGCCCCCTCCCCGCCCGCACTGCCGTGCCCTCGCACCTGCAGGGGTCACCCTGGACCTGCTGGCCCGCATGGCAGCTGGCCCTGGCGCCGCAGGTCAGACCCCGGATGCGACAACTGGACCCCTCCAGGTCTGACGCAGCAAGGTGTGCGCTACAGATCCACAGAACAGAACAAACCCTGGAGGACGAGCCCAGTGAGAGCCACGCTATGGGCGGGGTGCCGGCCCAGGGAGCCATACGGAGGGGGTGTGTACCCCAGCTCGCAGGGTTCTGAGGACCAGCAGGGAGAGGCCATGGAGACAGTGGGAAGTACACTAATTCAAAATGCAACAAAACAAAATAACCCAGGAACATCTACAGAGAGTCCCACCGCTGCCAAAGTTCTCCCCTGCAGGACATGGCAGCGGGCAGGCCAGCACCTCCACCTGGGCAGGTCATGGCAGCGGGCAGGCCAGCACCTCCACCTGAGCAGGTCATGGCAGCGGGCAGGCCAGCACCTCCCCTGCAGGACATGGCAGCGGGCAGGCCAGTACCTCCCCTGCAGGAGGTCATGGCAGCGGGCAGGCCAGTACCTCCCCTGCAGGAGACCATAGATCTCCAGGCTCCTGGCTTCAGCACGGGCCCAGCCTGGGCCTCTGTGCCATCTGGGAAGTAAACCAGCCCATGGACCACTCTCTGCATAACTTTCCAATAAATAAATAAACCTTTTTAAAAATAAACGTGAGGTGTAACTGAGATATTCTCAGATCAACAGTAACTGGGAGCGTAGGCCTTCTAGACACATCTCAGGGACGCAGACCCGTGACCTGTGTACGCACGCGTGCACCTGACGCCCAGGGCCCAACGGGAGGCTTGTTTGAAAGTCAGAGAGCGAGAGCTCCCAGCTACTGGTGTTGCGTCCACTCCGCCACTAAAACAGAACGTTGCACACCCCAGTGTCGTCGGAAGGGAGGTGAAGCAACGACCGAGCCACCGGGACTGCCTGCCCTTTGCGGAGTGCGGCCCCGGACAGCACACCTACAGGGTTTTTATAAGGACAGTTGGCACTGGCTGGCATCGTGCAGCAGGGCAGGAGGCGCTGCACGTTCCCTACCTATCTCAGCTGGCAGCCTGTGTCCGTCTCCCCTCCGGTCCGGCAGTCCGGACGACCAGGCTGAGGCCTTGGCGACGTCCGTGAGATAACCAGACTGGGACCTGAATCCCCGGGAACTGGGAGCCGTACGTGCTGCAGGAGGCTCGGCCTGCGCGCCTACCCGGACAGTTATACGTTCTCACAGCCGAGCAAGCAAAGCAGGCATTACGGCGGTGACAAGTGTTGCAATGAGCCGTGTTTGCTCCATTTTGATCTTAATTCTATACTGGTTCATCCCCCAGATGTTCACAACAGCCAGGGCAGGCCAAGGCCGAAGCCGGGAGCTTCTTCAGGGTCTCCCGTGCAGCTTTAGGGCCTAAGAGCTCAGGCCCTCCACTGCCCTTGCACAGGCATTAGCAGCAGGACCCAGCATGGTAGCCTAGAGCTAAAGTCCTCGCCTTGAATGCACCAGCATCCCATATGGGCGCTGGTTCTAATCCTGGCAGCTCTGCTTCCCTCCCAGCTCCCTGCCTGTGACCTGGGAAAACAGTGGAGGACGGCCCAAAGCCTTGGGACCCTGCACCCACGTGGGAGACCCGGAAGAAGCTCCTGGCTCCTGGCTTTGGAGCAGTCCAGCCCCAGCCATTGCAGCCACTTGGGGAGTGAACCAGTATGTGGAAGATCTTCCTCTGTCTTCTTCTCTCTGTAAATCTGCCTTTCCAATTAAAATAAATAAATCCTAAAGAAAAAAAAAAAAAGAAGCATCTCTTCCAGTGGCAGGCGAGGAACCACAGACACAGGACCAGGAGCCGACGGTCCAGACACAGCATGGGCCATGGCACTGCAGCATGGCCAGCGCCTCCCAGACCGGGCCATGTCCCCCACTGCTCAACCCGGGACCAGGAGTCCCAGTGAGGTGTCACTCACAGGTGCCACAGAAGGGTGGCCAGCACAGCTCGCTCTCTCTCTCTCTCTCTCTCCCCCCAGGGTAGAGTGTTATGTGGAGCTGTGAAGGGGCAGCACCCCCGAGTGGCCCAGTTGTGACCCCTTGAGGAGCTGGGCAGAGCTCCTGCTTAGGAAATGCCAGAGGCAGCTGGAGCCTGTCCTTGACCCTGTACCCTGGGGTTCGAACAGGCTCACGCAGGGGAGCAGCCTCTGCAGGGAGGGTCAGTTCCTGGCGAGCTCTGTGTGCCAGGGGCCTCACCTTGGGGGCCTCCCGCGTCCTGGACTCTGAGCACCCACCAGCCGTGCCCTCTGCCCCGGTGCCCCCCACACTGTGAATCCCCATGAGGGGCACCACACCCCAGCAGGGCCTGGCTCTGACACGGCAAAGCCACAGGGAGGTTCCTGGCACAGCCGAGCTCACGCCTGCCCGGCTTCCCGCAGGAGCCGTGGCGGGAGCAGAGCCGCCGCCCGCCTCTGCTTCCTGGGTCTCCCATTCCAGCTACTTCAAGTGTGAAGAGGTAAATGAAAGGGCCTGGTGAGTAAACAGGCGGGGCCCTGTCCACCGCATCCGGGACGGCACAGCGTGAGACCCCAGCCCAGCCCGCTCACCTTGGCCAGGTAGGGAGGGGGCTGGGGCGCAGCTGCTGGCCTGCTGGCCTGCTCGCCTGCTGGGGTCCCACCGCTCCACCACTCTGGAGGACTGGGGGGTGTTTGGGGCATCACTGCTTGTCCAGCTTGCGCCTGCCCAGACCATCCCGGGGAGGGGGCTCCCCCTTCTGGAGCTGCCCTCCAAGCAGGTGGAAGGGTATGGAGAGTGGGTCGCTGGGAGCTGCCCAGACCATCCCGGGGAGGGGGTCCCCTGCCCTTCTGGCTTGTGAGCACAGCCACACCACCACTACCCCTCCCACCCACAAGTCCTCTTCCCCCCGCCTTAGCAAACCCTGGGTCCCCTCCCCAGCTGCAATGCCCCCTCCTACTTCCTGTCCCTGGGTGGGGAACCTCCCAGGAGTGCAGTCCCCGGGGTGCTGTGCTTAGGGTGACACGGCCTCCGTCAGTGGTCCCAGGGGTCACCCAAGCAGGAGCAGGCTTCGGCTCTCCTATGCAGGCTGCCTGGGGTGCCCACCCTCGGGTGGGCTTCCTAGGTGCAGATGGAAGAGGGTCTCCCTGTAGGAGACGCTCCGGGTGGGCTTCCTGAGGGCCTCACCCCACAGCAGCCGCCTTGGTGCGCCACGTGGCACCTGACTGGCATGTGCTACCACATCAGTCCCTGGGTGCCCTTGGGTGCAAGCACAGCTCACCTCGAGAACACACCACACGGGGAAGGAATCCATGGACACTCAGGCATGCCTCCCGGCCGAGGGTCCCCAAATCCAGCAGCACCAGCTGGGTACTTGAGCCCTCGGGGCTGTCTCTGAGCACACTGGGGCAGCACTGTGGGCACCGTCCACTGTGGACGGCGGCAGGGCTGGCTACGAGCTGGGAGCTGAGCAGGACAGAGAACGGGGGTGCCCTCTGACCCTACCCTGGCCAAGGCACACAGTGTCCTCTGAGCATTGACCATTGAACCACAAAAGAGCAGGACTGGGGTCTCCAGGCGTGGACTCCCTCCCTGGGACCCAACCCTGCCCGTGGCTAAATCACAGCCCCACGGTCAGTCCTCAGTTGCCAGGCTGGCAATGGCCGTCATGGCTCTGTCCACTCCCTGCAGACTGGTGAGGGGCGCTTCTGGGCAGGTGCTGGCCTCCAGTGCAGGACTGGGCACAGCAGGGAGGAAGGCAGCCCCGCCTGCCCTGGCCTCCCCCCGTTTCTCAGAAGCTGCGTAGGGCGGGTGGGGTCGGCCACAGGGCAGGGGCCAGGGCCTCCTTCCCCGACGACGCAGTCCTGCCTGGCCCCTCCTCAAGAGCAAACACACAGGGCGGCTGGGGGCAGGGGGGCCGAGCCCCATGAGGCCACGCACCAGGCACAGGGCCAAGGCTTCCTGCTACATAAGCCCCAGTCCCCGGGGAGCAGCCGCCTGCCCCTTCCCTCCTCGCCCGCCCGCTGTGCCAGCACCCAGGATGGGTGCCAGGAGTGGGAGCCGGGCCCTGGTGTGGGCCCTTGCAGCTCTGCTGCTGGTGTGGCCATCAGGTAAGGGCAAAGGTCCTGGGGCTCCTCCAGGGGCAGGGACCCCACAGCTCTGGGCCCCAGACATGGCCCTCCAGGACCACTGGGCTCAGGCTGTGGTGATGTCAGGAGCCAGGAGTCAGGCTTGGTTGGGGTTCCTGGGGAAGGAGCTATAGGCCGCAAGCCTGGAGGTGGGACAGCTGCAGGTGCTGGGTGAGGGGGCAGCCGTCTGGGGTCTCTCAGGGTCCCAGTGAGCACGACAGCCTCCTTGCCAAACCACACAGACAGTCTCTGCCCAGGACAGGGTCTGCCCTCCATTGCAGCTCCACACGTGGGCACCGCCTGCAAGTCACGGAGCTAGAAGAGGAGCAAATCGCACAGCCCCTGGTCACTGGGCTGCCTAAGCAGAAGCTTGTCCTGCGTGTCAGCCATCACCACAGGGCAGGCTGCACAGCAATACTCAGTCAACACAGAAAGACAGGCCCCGGGGCTGCTGGCCAGCGTCCACCCAGGCTTAGGTCACAGCTGGGCAGGGCCCCGTGTCCCAAGCTTCTCCAACCTGGGCAAGGACTTCCTACAGCCAGGGGACACGCATGGAGCCTGTTGTATGGGACCGGGGATGGCCCACACCTGTGCACACAGCCTCCCTGGGCCCTGCGGTGGCCACTTGGGCCTGGGTTGGGTGGACAGGGGAGCCCTGGGAGGAAAGGCTGAGGTGCTTGTGGTGACCAGGCTGCTGGGCGCCAAGCAGGTGCCATGGTGGCGGCCCGGCCCGGCCTGACAGCAGAGCCTCAGGATGCCTCCCCCCAGGAACCGTGAGGCCCTGCCCCAATTTCCTGCATCCCTGCAGGCCCAGGAAGTGGGTGCCCAGCCCAGGCCTGCAGAGGGAGGTGTGGGTGAGGCTGCCCTTTCCAGGCCCTTGGTCAGGCTTCCGGAAGAGGTGTGGCATGGTGGCAGCAGCCTTGGGACCCCCAGAGCAGCACCCCCTGCACCCCAGCCCAGCTGGCTTCAGTTCGGGGCTGGTTCTGGTCTCAGGTTTCTGCTAGGTCACGGCCGGGAGCCTCGGGCTGCCTGTGCCCGACAAAGGTCGCCTTTGTCCTGTGGAGGACACACGGGATGGACACAGTCCTACCCCCCACAGTCCAGGCCGCAGCCAATGCCACTTCCTGATTCCAGTTTCCCGGAGGAGCCAGCAGCCCCCGGGGTGGGCGGGGGCGGTGGGGGAGGCAGGCAGCGGCCACCCACTGGGCCAGGGCTCGCCCATGCCATGCCCAGCTCCCTTCCGGAAGTGTCCATCCTGCTGGGCCTGGCTCTGTCCTGCTGGGGTCACCGAGGGCCTGGACACTGATGGGGTCGCTTCCCCCTTGCTGCCCACAGAGACTCAGGAGCCGAGCCCAGCCAGCACAGTGCGTGAGGCAGATGGAGGTGCGGAGACTGGCGGGCCATGGGGTGGGGAGCAACAGAGACCCCGCTGTGTGATGAGACGCCCCTGAGGGGGCTGTGAGGCCCTTCAGAGCTCTCACACACACACCACACACGGAACAGCCCCCAGAATCCTCTGGTGGATCCCCGGGGGGACAGGATGCCCCTCAGTTGCTGCTGTCCCCTGGGGTGGCCAGTGAGGAGGGGACCTCCCTGGTGACCCTGCCTCGCCCCGCAGCAGCCCACCCCACACCCTGGTCGACTTGGCCGGTGACCTTCACCCCGTCCATTACTGTCTACCCTGCCGTGAACTGTAAGTGGACAGCTCTCCTTGCTGGAGGAAGCTGGGAGGATGGAGGGGAGCTTGCTCAGGGTGGGGGGACAGGTGTGGGTGTTGAGGGATGGCGAGCTGGGGATGGGGCAGGACGTCAGATGTGGCCCCCCATAATGCTGTTCCCCGCAGCCCGTGCCCCTGCGCACAACGGCCGTGTGTGCAGCACCTGGGGCAACTTCCACTACAAGACCTTCGACGGCGCCGTCTTCCGCTTCCCCGGCCTCTGCAACTACGTGTTCTCTGCGCACTGCGGCGCCGCCTACGAGGACTTCAACATCCAGCTACGCCGCGGCCTCGTGGCCTCCCAGCCAGCGGTCACCCGCGTAGTGCTCAAGGCCCAGGGGCTGGTGCTGGAGCTGAGCAACGGCTCAGTCCTCCTTGGAGGGCAGCGGTGAGCTGGGTTCCGGGGCTGGGGTCAGAGGGCACCGCGGGGCAGGGAGGGAAGCCCCAGGCACAGCCGGCTTCTCCTGGCAGGGAGGACCTGCCCCTGAGCCGCGCAGGCCTTCTGGTGGAGCGAAATAGCCATTACGTCAAGGTCAGCCTCCGCGGGATCCTCACCTTCGTGTGGAATGAGGACGACAGCGCCCTGGTGAGGACGCCCACGGGTGAGCTGGGCAGGGCCGGGGGCAGTGGGCAGAGGCGCTGAGGCCACCCTGTCCCCACCCGCCAGCTGGAGCTGGACCCCAAGTATGTGAACCAGACGTGCGGACTCTGTGGGGACTTCAACGGACTCCCAGCTGCCGGCGAGTTTTATGGCCACTGTGAGCGCTGCCCAGCCCGGGTCCTTCCCCGTCACACTCTCTGTGGTTATGTCCTGGGGGAGGCTGGGGTGGGGGCAACACTCGTGGGGATGCCCTTGAAGGGCCCTGGGGGTCTTAGCACAGAGTGGACAGGTCCCCTGGCGGCCATCCAGCAAGCGCTTCTTGTCGGGCAGACGCCAGGCTCAGCCCCCTGCAGTTCGGCAACCTACAGAAGCTAGACGGCCCCACCGAGCAGTGCCAGGACCCCCTGCCCTCGCCAGCTGCCAACTGCACAGATGAGGTGAGCACCTTCCCCGGGAGCAGCAGGGGCTGGGCCAGGGGTGGGAGACCGAGTGATAGCCACAGAATCCAGTGGAGGACGTGGCTCGGCTGGGGCCGTCAGGGTGAGTGCAGCCATGACAGGAGTAGGAGCTGGGACACAATAGGGTCCGCCCACACCTGTGCTGGACACTCCTGTGAGCTACAGGGGTACAGATCCCAGACTGTTGGGCAAGCCCCTGGCACCTGGGTGGGCAGCACTGCCTGGAGTCCTGGGGCCCCGGCCTCTCCCAGGTGCACGCCCCTCACCCAAGGAGAACAGTGGAAGGGAGTGACCGGGTAAGCAGGAGGGAGGAAGGGGCAGCAGGTGCCCAGCCCGCTGTGCCACCCAGGAGGATGTCTGCCACCGCACACTGCTGGGACCTGCCTTTGCCGAGTGCCATATGCTGGTGGACGTCGATGCCTACGTGGCCGCCTGTGTGCAAGACCTGTGCCGCTGCCCCAGCTGCCCATGTGCCACGTTTGCCGAGTATTCCCGCCAGTGCACCCACGCCGGTGGCCGGCCGCAGAACTGGAGGCGGCCCGACCTCTGCCGTGAGCAACCCTGCCCACAGAGGGCACCAGAGGGGCACGGGGGGGACTGCTGGGCGGACCACAGGCACAGAGTCCTGGGCTAAGCATTGCCTCCCCTTGCAGCCCGCACCTGCCCCCTCAACACTCAGCCCCAGGAGTGTGGCTCGGCCTGTGCCAGCACCTGCTCCAACCCCCAGCACGCCCAGCTCTGCGAGGACCACTGCACCGATGGCTGCTTCTGCCCCCCAGGCAAGTGCCCGGCTCACTCAGGGGCACCCGGGGGGCGGGGGTAGGTGTGTGTGGAGAGACTGAGGTTTCGTGTCCCCACCCCCAGGCACGGTGCTGGATGACATTACACACTCGGGCTGCTTGCGCCTAGAGCAGTGCCCCTGCACCCACGGGGGCCGCAGCTTCGCCCCAGGGGCCTCCTTCTCAACCAGCTGCAGCTCATGGTGGGTCTGGGTCTCCCCAGCCACCCTGGGACAGGGGCAGGGTTGGGGTCCAGGCCAGGCTCCCCACCCCTGTGCTCTATGGCTCATGGCCTTCCTTGCCCCCAGCACCTGCGCTGGGGGAATGTGGCAGTGCCAGGACGTGCCGTGCCCGGGCACCTGCACCGTGAGGGGTGGGTCGCACATCTCCACCTATGACGAGAAGCTCTACGACTTACATGGCGACTGCAGTTACGTCCTGTCCAAGGTGCAGCCGTGGGCGGGGGCTGTGCCCCACCCTACCCCGCACTCCTCACCTCTCCTCCCACCCCTGTCCCCTGTGCTTCACCTCTCCCCGCCCCCCACATGCCTCACCTCTCTCCCCCCACCCGCCCCAGCAATGTGCTGACCACACCTTCACCGTGCTGGCCGAGCTGCGGAGGTGCGGCCTGACGGACAGTGAGAGTTGCCTCAAGGCAGTGACCCTCAGCCTTCCCAGCACAGACACGGTGAGGGCCGCCCGGCTCCCCCGCGCTGGGCTGGGGGGACCCCAAGCAGACAGCTGGAGGCCGGCTCCCCTCGAGTGGCTCTGGGTCAGTAACTCCCTCCCCAGGGTCCTGACCAGTGCTCCCTGCTCCCCAGGTCATCCGGATCCAGGCGGGCGGATCCGTGTTCGTGAACTCCATCTACACCCAGCTGCCCGTGTCTGCAGGTGTGTGTGCTCCCCGACCCCGGGGCGGAGTTCTGAGCCTGGCTGCTGGGGCAAGGCCCCGCCCAGGCCGCTGTGGGGGTGCTGGGAGGGTTGGTGTGGGAGACCTGACGCTGCCCTCCCCGCAGCCAACATCACCGTCTTCAGCCCCTCCTCCTTCTTCATCGTGGTGCACACCAGCCTCGGCCTGCAGCTGCAGGTGCAACTGGTACCCCTCATGCAGGTGTTCCTCAGGCTGGACCCTGCCCACCGCGGCCAGATGTGTGGTGAGGCTCGTGTCCGCAGGGGACCAGGCTCAGCTTCCAGGCTGGGGTGGATGGGGACTGGGGAGACGCCAGCACCCACCCTGGGCTCAGCCGTACCTCCCTTGCTCTGGCCCCACCGGGAAGGGGGTGCAGGGGGACGAGCCCTCTGCAGGCTGCCTCATGGCAGTGCCTAGTACCAGGGCTGAGGACCCACTGATGTGGGCCCGGCCCCCAGGCCTCTGCGGGAACTTCAATCAGAACCAGGCGGACGACTTCGCGGCCCTCAGCGGCGTGGTGGAGGGCACAGGGGCTGCCTTCGCCAACACGTGGAAGACCCAAGCTACCTGCCCGGATGCCAAGAACAGCATTGAGGACCCCTGCTCGCTCAGTGTGGAGAATGGTACCCGGCCTTGGCCTCCCCTGGGGTGGAACCCGGAGCCCCACACATAGGGAGGCGAGCACAGGGACTCGAGGGGTCAGGGGGAGCCCTGCGTCAGAGCTGGCCCTCCCTGCCCCTCCCGCCACCACGCAGAGAACTACGCCCAGTACTGGTGCTCGCGGCTGACCGACCCTGCCGGCGCCTTCGCATCCTGTCACTCCACCGTCAACCCCACGTCCTTCCACTCGGTGAGAGATGTGGGCGGCAGGGAGTGGAGGGGCTTCCCTGCTCCCAGTGGCTCTGGGTGGTGGTCTTCCAGGGCAGCCAGCACCACACGGGGGCTCCTGGCCTCTCCCAGGGAGCTATTGGCTGCACTGTGCCAGCTGTGGCTGCCACCTGCCCACAGCTGTCGGGGTCTTAAAAGAACCCCAGGACTCTGGGCCTAAGACCCCCAGCCCAGCCCAGCCCAGGGGGCCCCATCTTCACTAAAGGCAGCCAGCTCAGCACTGAGCTCTTAGCTACTTCTGAAGGGGCTGTAACTCCAGGTGGCAGCCCCAGGCCCACTCTGCCAGGTGTGCCCACCCCCTGGAGCCCCAGCCCACTCACCCCCTCCATGGCACCCGCCGCACACACATGCCGGACCTGGCCTTGCCCTAGGTCTGGTCCTACCCAGCTGCTCCCACGCAGCCCTGGCCTGGATGTCCCTGCCACCTGGCACCACCTGTGACCTCCACATGACACCCAGGCCTCCAGGATGGCCACGAGGGTCAAATCCAGGAGGTGGGAGGCAGGGCTAGCGGCAGCTGGAGGGTCCCTGCTGGGTCAGGGTCCCTGACGCCCGCTGGCCCCGCCCCCAGAACTGCCTGTTTGACACCTGCAACTGTGAGAAGAGCGAGGAGTGCATGTGTGCAGCGCTGGCCTCCTACGTGCACGCCTGCGCCGCCAAGGGCGTGCTGCTGCGCGACTGGCGGGACGGCGTCTGCAGTGAGTACCCGCCAGCAGCACGCTCCTCCAGGCCGTGGCAGCAGGGGAGGGTGGCATGGGGTGTGTGCGTTATCCCGATTTCGCCAAGGGCTTGGCATCCTATGCCCCCAAGTCACCACTGGGACTTTGACCCTCTCCCTTGGGTGGGTGAACCCAGGTCGCAGTGAGCCGCCCGGGGCTGACTCCTCCCTCTCCCACTGGCCACAGCCAAGTACATGAGCGGCTGCCCCAAGTCACAGAACTACTCCTACGTGGTAGACAGCTGCCAGCCCACCTGCCGTGCCCGCAGCGAGCCCGACCTCACCTGCGCCATCAGTTTCGTGCCCGTGGACGGCTGCACCTGCCCTCAGGGCACCTTCCTGAATGACGTGGGCACCTGCGTGGCCGCCCAAGAGTGTCCCTGCTATTTCCTGGGCCTGGTGATGGCACCCGGAGAGGTGGTCCATGACCAGGGCACCGTGTGGTAGGAAGGGTCCTGGACACAGAGGGGCTGGGTGGGGAGCGGATCCCTGTGGCCCCAGACTGCCCCGAAGGTCCCGGGACCCAGCGTAAAGCAGGGGTGATGGGGCCCCTCGCCCTGGGCTTGGCTGCCTCTTGCCCAGCCCACAGCCCTCCCGGCAGCATCCTGGGCTCAGGTGGAGGCACATGGCGGGGTGAGGGCATGCAGGGCGTCCCAGGCTGATGGCCCCTTCTCTCCCAGCTCGTGCTCTGGTGGGAAGCTGAGCTGCCTGGGAGCCTCACTGCTGCGGACAGGGAATGGCACGGGTAAGTCCCCACCCCCTCTGCGGGCCCCCTCTGTTGCAGGGCCGGGAGGGGCCTCAGCCCAGGACAATGCTATCCCTCCCAGGCTGCGCGGCGCCGATGGTCTATGTGGACTGCAGCGACACCCCAGCCGGAACCCCGGGCGCCGAGTGCCTCCGGAGCTGCCACACGCTGGATGTGGACTGCGTAAGTGGCCCTGGCCCTAGCACTGCCAAGAGGGTAAGGGGCCCAGGACTCTGGACCCTCCCAGTGCCACAGCCCCTGACTGGATCTTGTCCGTGCCCACAGTTCAGCACACACTGCGTGTCTGGCTGTGTGTGCCCGACTGGGCTGGTGTCAGACGGGAGCGGGGGCTGTGTGGCCGAGGAGGACTGCCCTTGCCTGCACAATGAGGCTGCCTACCAGCCGGGCCAGACCATCCGTGTGGGCTGCAACACCTGGTGAGTTCAGGAGCCTTGGGAGCGGGGAGCTGGAATGGAGCATGAGAGCTGCAGGGGAGACCCTGGGCCCCTTGCATGCTGGAAGGTGCCTGGAGTGCCAGGCGTCGAGCCCCCTACACCAAGGGTCACCCTGGGACCCCACTCTGGAGGACCATGAGTGTGGGGAGAAAACCCCGTCTCAGGTCCCACACTCTTACCCTGCAGCACTTGCAGAAAGCGCAGGTGGGAGTGCAGCCAGAGGCCCTGCCTGGGCACCTGCGTGTCCTACGGGGACGGCCACTTCATCACCTTCGACGGCCAGCGCTACAGCTTTGAAGGCAACTGCGAGTACACCCTGGCCCAGGTGCATGCAGCCCGCACCCCGTGCCTCCCACAGGCCTCCCACAGGCCCACAGCCCTGAGGCCGTGACCAGCCCCGTCCTCAGGCCTCCCATAGGCCCACAGCCCTGAGGCCGTGACCAGCCCCGTCCTCAGGCCTCCCACAGGCCTCCCACAGGCCTCCCACAGGCCCACAGCCCTGGGGCCGTGACCAGCCCTGTCCACAGGCCTCCAGCAGGCCCATAGCCCTGGGGCCGTGACCAGCCCTGTCCACAGGCCTCCCACAGGCCTCCCACAGGCCCACAGCCCTGGGGCCGTGACCAGCCCTCTGTCTCCTCCTGTCCCAGGACTACTGTGGGGGCAACGGCACGGCTGACGGCTCCTTCCGCATCCTCACCGAGAACGTGCCCTGTGGCACCACGGGGACCACCTGCTCCAAGGCCATCAAGCTGTTCCTGGAGGTACGCGGGGAGGGCTTGCCTGGGCTGCCACTGCGGCTGCCCAGTACTGAGACCTCTGCAGATACTCAGCCGGCAGGGCCTGGCTCCTTGGAGAGGCCCCGGGGAGGGTCCTTGCGGCTGCCCACAGAACCTGTGGGCACCAGGCAGCCCTGGTTTCTGCCTCCTTCCCTGCTCAGCTCAGAGCCTGCTCATGCCGGAACCCTCACATCATCCCATCGCCAAAGAGCCTGCTTCTAGGTTCCCAGGTTGGGGTTCACACATGAACAGATCTTTTTCTGGGGATGCATGCGCCTCCCTGCACCCAGCCACACCCCGGCAAGGTGGGGATGAGAGGAGCAGAGTGGCTGGGCTTGTGCCCTGAACGTGGAGCCACAGGGTGCTGGTGGCCCTGACGCTCTACTTCCTGCCCAGCCTCTGCCAGTTCCCTGGGGACCCCAAGGGTCTGGCCCGTTCCTCACCCGCATGTCCCTGAGTGCCCGCGGGCAGTCTCAGGAGGAGAGTGGCTGGCCTCCAGGACCCCTCCTGCAGCCCCCACTCTGCTGTGTCCCACAGGGCACGGAGCTGCTCCTGGAGGAGGGGGCAGTCAAGGTGGCAGAAAGCGCACCTGCCAGGGACCTTACCTACAGGGTCCGCCACATGGGCCTGTTCCTGGTGATCGAGACCCGCCATGGGGTGGTCGTGGCCTGGGACCGCAAGACCAGCGTGTTCATCTGGCTAAGCCAGGATTACAAGGTGAGCGTGGGCAGGTGCCTCCCACCAGAGCCAGCGGCTGAGGTCTGGGCTTCCTTAAGGGGTGCCATGCATCAGAGCCATGGTGACGGCCAGGCCCTGTGCCCCCACCTCAGGCAGGTGAGGGCTCTGCCTGGGAGCAGAACCCACTTCATACTTTGCTCCCTGCAAGTTCACAAAGCACTGCCCAAGGCCCAGGATGCCATGCTGTGCCCCTCCTCCTCATGAACCTGCCACCTCCTCCTGCGGCCCCAGGCCCATGGTCTCTGCACCTCTCAGGGCAGGGTCTGCGGCCTGTGTGGGAACTTTGACGACAACGCCATCAACGACTTCACCACGCGGAGCCAGTCCGTGGTGGGCGATGCCCTGGAGTTCGGGAACAGCTGGAAGTCCTCGCCATCCTGCCCGGACGCCCAGGCGCCCGAGGACGCCTGCACTGCCAACCCCTACCGCAAGTCGTGGGCCCAGAGGCAATGCAGCATCCTCAACAGTGCCACCTTCGCTGCCTGCCATTCTCAGGTGGGTCTCGGGCTGCCCCCATCTCCTGGGAGGAGGGTCTGGCCAGGACTGGGCACAGAGCTATGCCTGGGTTTCCTGGGGGATCCCTTGACCACAGCCTTGGTCAGGGGCCTTGGTGGGGGCCCCGCCACTCCCTGCCTCCACGGTCTGCAGACCTACCAAGCCCCCAGGAACATAGCGGGCACTCCCACAGCCCAGCAGGCAGGTTGGCCCAGTCCCAGTGAAGAGCCAAGGGCTTACGAGGAGAGGCAGTTCCTTTCTTGGGCCATAACCTCTGGAGAGGAGCAGCTGGAAGAGGCTGCCAGGGTGCCCTGCTCATGCCAGGGTGCCCTGCTGGGCAGGAATGCACTCCATTCTGTCAGGCTACAGATGGGGCCACGTGAGTGCTTGGGTACGCCCTGGGTGTAGCACATGGGAGCAGGCCCTCATGGCCTCCTGGTCAAGGTGGGTCAGCCACAGGACCATGACGGTGCCACCCTCCCTCTGCCCAGGGTATGTGTGTCAGGTGCCTGGGAGGATCTGGCACGCTCTAGCTGCTGGGCTCCAGGCAGAGATCAAAGGACAGGCCTGTACACAGAGCTCCCCTTCTGGGGACAGCTGGCAGGGGAGGGGGCTGCAGTACCGGGGCCTATGGACAATGGGGAGCTGTGGTCCGGGGCACCATACTGAGGTAGAGACCAACACAAACCACAGAGGTGGCAGGGGAGGCGCAGCAGGGCAGGGGTGACCAGGACAGGGGTGACCAGGGCAGGGGTGATCAGAGCAGGGGAGGCTAGGACAGGGATGGCAGGGCAGGGTGGCAGGACAGGGGTGGCAGGGCAGGGTGGCAGGACAGGGGTGGCAGGACAGGGGTGGCAGGACAGGCAGCCAGGGCAGGAGTGACCATAGACACTTGGAACTGCCGGCCAGCTGACCAGAGTCCACATGCACAAGACAAAAGGCCCCGAGAACATGAGGTGCAGAGGAAGTGGCCACAGCTGGCAGGGACACGGGTGCCCAGGGAGGGGCCCACAGCTGGCAGGCACACAGGTGCACAGGGAGGGCCCACAGCTGGCAGGCACACAGGTGCTCAGGAAGGGGCCCACAGCTGGGCAGGCACGCAGGTGCAGAGGAAGTGGCCACAGCTGGCAGGGACACGGGTGCACTGGTGGGCTGGAGGGACAAAGATGTGTTTGCAACACGCAGGCCTCCCAGCTGCAGGGTCGGGACCTCAGCCTGCCGGCGTGAGCATCATACAAATTGGCTGAGAACTGCCCCTGGTCTGAGTGGGGCTGGGCCTTTTCGCTGAGCCATACCTTGGTCACTCTGTCCCAGGTTGACTCTGCCAAGTACTACGAGGCCTGCGTGCAGGACGCCTGCGCCTGTGACTCGGGGGGTGACTGTGAGTGCTTCTGCACTGCCGTGGCCGCCTACGCCCAGGCCTGCCGCGAGGCGGGCGTGTGCGTGTCCTGGAGGAGCCCGGACGTCTGCCGTGAGTGCTCGGGGTGCAGTATGTGGTGCTGAAGGGCGGGGCTGCTGGGGCTGCAGGAGGAGCTGAGGCCCCCACAGGAGCACACCCACCACAGGCAGCCATGGCAACTCACGTGGGTGCAGACCCCTGTACGATGCGTGACATGCGATGGCTCTCTGGAGAATGGGGTGTCCCAGGAAAGAGCTGGGAGCACTCTGTGGGATCCCAGGGGACCCCCCAGGTGTGTTTTAAGCTGTGCCTCCCCGCACCCCCCAGCCCTGTTTTGCGAGTACTACGACTCCCACGGGGAGTGTCAGTGGCACTATGACCCGTGCGGGGCTCCCTGCCTGAGAACCTGCCGGAACCCTGAGGGCCAGTGCCTGGTGGACCTGCCCGGCCTGGAAGGTGAGAGGCAGCCGGAAGAGGGAGCTGGGGAGGGCTCCTGACGGGGAGCACCCCAGGCAGGGGAATGCCAAGAACCCAGCGAGCACCCACGCCTGCCCTAGGCTGCTACCCAAGGTGCCCTCCAGATGAGCCCTTCTTCAGCGAGGACCAGATGAAGTGTGTGGCTCAGTGCGGCTGCTATGACCAAGATGGACACTACTATGACATTGGTGCGCGGGTCCCCACGACGGAGAACTGCCAGACCTGGTGAGTGAGGGGCACAGGGCTATAGGAGGTGGTAGGTCGGGGGCCGCCCATTGCATGCTCAGCTCTCCTCCCCTCCCCCAGTAACTGCACTCCAGGCGGCCTGCAGTGCACACACAGCCTTGCAGGTGAGCAAGCAGGGTGCTGGGCTTGGGCGGGGTAGGGGGCAGGCAGGAGCTGGGAGGGCCCCACATGAGCCAGTCTTCTTCGCTGCCCCCAGCCTGTAGCTGCAATTATGAGGGCAAGGCCTATGGCTACGGGGGTGTCATCTACAACACAACCGATGGCCTTGGTGCCTGCCTGATCGCCGTCTGCGGGGAAAACGGCACCATCTCACGGAGGACGGAGGAATGCCCCGGGGTCTCCACCACAGCCCCCTTCACCTTCACCACCACCGCCGTCCCACCACCCACCACAGGTCAGCACCCTGTCCACCTGCGGCTCACCTAGAGGGTAGAGTGCAGCAGGGTCCCACCATCCACCTAGAAACTCCTGTGGGTGCACAGCCCACAGCATGTGTTCAGCGCCCTGAAGTCCTCCCAGGACCCTCCCAGCTGGCGCCCTCGAAAGCTAGCTCGGCCAGGAACACAGTCCCCACTGTGACTTAGGGTGGGCCTGGCGGGTCCCCACACACTGTGGGACGGGCCCCAGTCCCAGAGAAGGTCCTCTGCCCTGGCCAGGGAGCATGGCAGGGCCTCACAGAGGCTGCAGGCCCGTTGTTGTTCCACAGGCTCAGAGCCCACCACCTCTACCACTTGCAATCGCGAAGTCTGCAGCTGGTCCCCCTGGTATGACGGAGGCCGCCCTGAGCCTGGCATGGCTGGCGGCGACTTCGAGACATTTGCGAACCTCAGGCACAGGGGGTACCAGCTGTGCTGGAGCCCAGTGGACATCGAATGCCGTGCCCAGCAACTGCCTGACATCCCCTTAGAGGAGCTGGGCCAGAGGGTGGACTGCGACCTGAGCCGGGGACTCACCTGCTTCAACGGAGAGCAGAGTCCGCCACTCTGCCACAACTACGAGCTGCGTGTGCTGTGCTGCCAGCCCACACCGTGCGAGCCCACAACAGGAATCACATCCCAGCCTAGGCCCAAGCCAGAGACCTCTGTGCCCACAGCCACCCAAGTGACCACCACACTTGGATCCCTGTCCACATCTGTGGGGACATCAGCAGGGCTTACAGTCCAGACAGACACAGTCACCAGCTCCCAGCTGATGTCCACCTCGCCGAACACAGTGATTCCTGCTTCTAAGACACCAACCAGCACGTGGACAACACAGACATCAACAGGCAGCTCCCAGAACACCAGCTATGGAACCACTACAACCACAGAGCAGCTGTCCACCACCCAGCCTGAGACCAGCACAGGGACAACACAGATACCAACTGGCAGCTCCCACCAGACCACAACCTACGTGACACCAACAGGCACAGAGCAGCTGTCCACAGCCCAGGCCGAGACTAGCACGTGGACAACACAGACATCAACAGGCAGCTCCCAGAACACCAGCTATGGAACCACTACAACCACAGAGCAGCTGTCCACCACCCAGCCTGAGACCAGCACAGGGACAACACAGATACCAACTGGCAGCTCCCACCAGACCACAACCTACGTGACCACAACAGGCACAGAGCAGCTGTCCACCACCCAGCCTGAGACAACCAGCACAGGAACAACACAGACATCAACAGGCAGCTCCCAGAACACCAGCTATGTAACCATTACAACCACAGAGCAGCCGTCCACTGCCCAGCCTGAGACCACTAGAACATGGACAACACAGACTTCACCAGGCAGCTCCCACCAGACCACGAGCCACGTGACCACAACAGGCACAGAGCAGCCATCCACCACCCAGCCTGAGACAACCAGCACGTGGACAACACAGACATACAGAGGCAGTTCCCAGACCACAGGTCACTTGACCACTACAACCACACAGCAGCTGTCCACCACCCAGCCTGAGACCAGCACAGGAACAACACAGACATCCACAGGCAGCTCCCAGAACACCAGCTATGTAACCACTACAACCACAGAAGAGCTGTCCACTGCCCAGCCTGAGACCACTAGAATGTGGACAACACAGACTTCACCAGGCAGCTCCCTGACCACAAGCCATGTGACCACAACAGGCACAGAGCAGCCATCCACCGCCCAGCCTGAGACAACCAGCACGTGGACAACACAGACATACACAGGCAGTTCCCACCAGACCACGAGCCACGTGACCACAACAGGCACAGAGCAGCCATCCACCTTGCAGCCAAAAACAAGTGCATGGATGCTAAAGACATCTCTAGGCAGCAGCACTCCAGCCACTGCCAGCCACAGAGTGACCCAGTGCAAACCCCGCTGCCAGTGGACAGAGTGGCTGGACGTGGACTACCCCACGTCTGAGGAGACAGGTGGGGACATGGAGACCTACGAGAACATGCGGGCTGCAGGACTGGCCATATGCGCACAGCCACAAGACATCCAGTGTGAGGCTGAGAACTACCCCGGGCAGTCCCTGGAGCAGCTGGGTCAGAAGGTGCACTGTGATGTACGTGTGGGCTTGGTGTGCCGCAACCAGGAGCAACCGGGCCTGTTCAGCATGTGCTACAACTACAGGGTCCGTGTGCTGTGCTGCGAGGTCAGCCACTGCGGGTCCAGCCTCTCCACACCATCCATTACCATCCCCACGACCACCAAGGTGCCCAGCACCCAGAAAAACCGCTGGTCACCCACTGCAGCCACGACAACAAGGGGGTCACAGACCACAAGCCATGTGCTGACAAGCACACAGCCACGTTCCACATTCAGAACGTGGACAACACAGACGTCCCCAGGCAGCTCCCTGACCACAAGCCACGTGACCACAACAGGCACAGAGCAGCCGTCTACCACCCAGCCTGAGACAACCAGCACGTGGACAACACAGACATCAACAGGCAGCTCCCAGAACACAGGTCACATGACCACTACAACCACAGAGCAGCCGTCCACTGCCCAGCCTGAGACCACTAGAATGTGGACAACACAGACATACACAGGCAGTTCCCACCAGACCACGAGCCACGTGACCACAACAGGCACAGAGCAGCCATCCACCACCCAGCCTGAGACAACCAGCACGTGGACAACACAGACATCAACAGGCAGCTCCCAGACCACAGGTCACGTGACCACTACAACCACAGAGCAGCCGTCCATCACCCAGCCTGAGACCAGCACAGGGACAACACAGATACCAACTGGCAGCTCCCACCAGACCACAACCTACGTGACACCAACAGGCACAGAGCAGCTGTCCACAGCCCAGGCCGAGACCAGCACAGGAACAACACAGACATCAACAGGCAGCTCCCAGAACACCAGCTATGGAACCACTACAACCACAGAGCAGCTGTCCACCACCCAGCCTGAGACCAGCACAGGGACAGCACAGATACCAACTGGCAGCTCCCAGCACACAGGTCACATGACCACTACAACCACAGAGCAGCCGTCCACTGCCCAGCCTGAGACCACTAGAACATGGACAACACAGACTTCACCAGGCAGCTCCCACCAGACCACGAGCCACGTGACCACAACAGGCACAGAGCAGCCATCCACCACCCAGCCTGAGACAACCAGCACGTGGACAACACAGACATACACAGGCAGTTCCCAGACCACAGGTCACTTGACCACTACAACCACAGAGCAGCTGTCCACCACCCAGCCTGAGACAACCAGCACAGGAACAACACAGACATCCACAGGCAGCTCCCAGAACACCAGCTATGTAACCATTACAACCACAGAGCAGCCGTCCACTGCCCAGCCTGAGACTAGAACATGGACAACACAGACTTCACCAGGCAGCTCCCACCAGACCACGAGCCACGTGACCACAACAGGCACAGAGCAGCCATCCACCACCCAGCCTGAGACAACCAGCACGTGGACAACACAGACATACAGAGGCAGTTCCCAGACCACAGGTCACTTGACCACTACAACCACAGAGCAGCTGTCCACCACCCAGCCTGAGACCAGCACAGGAACAACACAGACATCCACAGGCAGCTCCCAGAACACCAGCTATGTAACCACTACAACCACAGAAGAGCTGTCCACTGCCCAGCCTGAGACCACTAGAATGTGGACAACACAGACTTCACCAGGCAGCTCCCTGACCACAAGCCATGTGACCACAACAGGCACAGAGCAGCCATCCACCGCCCAGCCTGAGACAACCAGCACGTGGACAACACAGACATACACAGGCAGTTCCCACCAGACCACGAGCCACGTGACCACAACAGGCACAGAGCAGCCATCCACCTTGCAGCCAAAAACAAGTGCATGGATGCTAAAGACATCTCTAGGCAGCAGCACTCCAGCCACTGCCAGCCACAGAGTGACCCAGTGCAAACCCCGCTGCCAGTGGACAGAGTGGCTGGACGTGGACTACCCCACGTCTGAGGAGACAGGTGGGGACATGGAGACCTACGAGAACATGCGGGCTGCAGGACTGGCCATATGCGCACAGCCACAAGACATCCAGTGTGAGGCTGAGAACTACCCCGGGCAGTCCCTGGAGCAGCTGGGTCAGAAGGTGCACTGTGATGTACGTGTGGGCTTGGTGTGCCGCAACCAGGAGCAACCGGGCCTGTTCAGCATGTGCTACAACTACAGGGTCCGTGTGCTGTGCTGCGAGGTCAGCCACTGCGGGTCCAGCCTCTCCACACCATCCATTACCATCCCCACGACCACCAAGGTGCCCAGCACCCAGAAAAACCGCTGGTCACCCACTGCAGCCACGACAACAAGGGGGTCACAGACCACAAGCCATGTGCTGACAAGCACACAGCCACGTTCCACATTCAGAACGTGGACAACACAGACGTCCCCAGGCAGCTCCCTGACCACAAGCCACGTGACCACAACAGGCACAGAGCAGCCGTCTACCACCCAGCCTGAGACAACCAGCACGTGGACAACACAGACATCAACAGGCAGCTCCCAGAACACAGGTCACATGACCACTACAACCACAGAGCAGCCGTCCACTGCCCAGCCTGAGACCACTAGAATGTGGACAACACAGACATACACAGGCAGTTCCCACCAGACCACGAGCCACGTGACCACAACAGGCACAGAGCAGCCATCCACCACCCAGCCTGAGACAACCAGCACGTGGACAACACAGACATACACAGGCAGTTCCCAGACCACAGGTCACTTGACCACTACAACCACACAGCAGCTGTCCACCACCCAGCCTGAGACCAGCACAGGAACAACACAGATACCAACTGGCAGCTCCCACCAGACCACAACCTACGTGACACCAACAGGCACAGAGCAGCTATCCACAGCCCAGGCCGAGACCAGCACGTGGACAACACAGACATCAACAGGCAGCTCCCAGAACACAGGTCACATGACCACTACAACCACAGAGCAGCCATCCACTGCCCAGCCTGAGACCACTAGAATGTGGACAACACAGACATACACAGGCAGTTCCCACCAGACCACGAGCCACGTGACCACAACAGGCACAGAGCAGCCATCCACCACCCAGCCTGAGACAACCAGCACGTGGACAACACAGACATCAACAGGCAGCTCCCAGACCACAGGTCACGTGACCACTACAACCACAGAGCAGCCGTCCATCACCCAGCCTGAGACCAGCACAGGGACAACACAGATACCAACTGGCAGCTCCCACCAGACCACAACCTACGTGACACCAACAGGCACAGAGCAGCTGTCCACAGCCCAGGCCGAGACCAGCACAGGAACAACACAGACATCAACAGGCAGCTCCCAGAACACCAGCTATGGAACCACAACAGGCACAGAGCAGCTGTCCACCACCCAGCCTGAGACCAGCACAGGGACAGCACAGATACCAACTGGCAGCTCCCAGCACACAGGTCACTTGACCACTACAACCACAGAGCAGCCGTCCACTGCCCAGCCTGAGACCACTAGAACATGGACAACACAGACTTCACCAGGCAGCTCCCACCAGACCACGAGCCACGTGACCACAACAGGCACAGAGCAGCCATCCACCACCCAGCCTGAGACAACCAGCACGTGGACAACACAGACATACACAGGCAGTTCCCAGACCACAGGTCACTTGACCACTACAACCACAGAGCAGCTGTCCACCACCCAGCCTGAGACCAGCACAGGAACAACACAGACATCCACAGGCAGCTCCCAGAACACCAGCTATGTAACCACTACAACCACAGAAGAGCTGTCCACTGCCCAGCCTGAGACCACTAGAATGTGGACAACACAGACTTCACCAGGCAGCTCCCTGACCACAAGCCATGTGACCACAACAGGCACAGAGCAGCCATCCACCGCCCAGCCTGAGACAACCAGCACGTGGACAACACAGACATACACAGGCAGTTCCCACCAGACCACGAGCCATGTGACCACAACAGGCACAGAGCAGCCATCCACCTTGCAGCCAAAAACAAGTGCATGGATGCTAAAGACATCTCTAGGCAGCAGCACTCCAGCCACTGCCAGCCACAGAGTGACCCAGTGCAAACCCCGCTGCCAGTGGACAGAGTGGCTGGACGTGGACTACCCCACGTCTGAGGAGACAGGTGGGGACATGGAGACCTACGAGAACATGCGGGCTGCAGGACTGGCCATATGCGCACAGCCACAAGACATCCAGTGTGAGGCTGAGAACTACCCCGGGCAGTCCCTGGAGCAGCTGGGTCAGAAGGTGCACTGTGATGTACGTGTGGGCTTGGTGTGCCGCAACCAGGAGCAACCGGGCCTGTTCAGAATGTGCTACAACTACAGGGTCCGTGTGCTGTGCTGCGAGGTCAGCCACTGCGGGTCCAGCCTCTCCACATCATCCATTACCATCCCCACGACCACCAAGGTGCCCAGCACCCAGAAAAACCGCTGGTCACCCACTGCAGCCACGACAACAAGGGGGTCACAGACCACAAGCCATGTGCTGACAAGCACACAGCCACGTTCCACATTCAGAACGTGGACAACACAGACGTCCCCAGGCAGCTCCCTGACCACAAGCCACGTGACCACAACAGGCACAGAGCAGCCGTCTACCACCCAGCCTGAGACAACCAGCACGTGGACAACACAGACGTCCCCAGGCATCACCGTGCCCGATGCGTCCAGTCCCTGCCAGCCCCGCTGCCAGTGGACAGAGTGGTTTGATGTGGACTTTCCCGCCTCGGGTGTTGCAGGAGGGGATATGGAGACCTATGAGAACATCAGGGCAGCTGGTGGCAAGATGTGCCCGGCCCCAAAGCAGATTGAGTGTCGTGCAGAGAATTACCCCGAGGTCAGCATTGACCAGATTGGGCAGGTGGTCACCTGCAGCCTGGAGGTGGGGCTGGTGTGCAGGAACACAGAGCAGCAGGGCGGCTTCGCCATGTGCTTCAACTACAACGTGCGCATGCTTTGCTGTGATGACTACAGCCACTGTCACCCACCCTCTGCCTCCACCACCACGCTGTACCCCAGCACAGGCAGTGCCATGCCAGGGACATCGAGCACCACAGCCACATCAAGCCCACCTACTGCAATGCTGGGGACACACAGCACTCACACTCCAAAGACCCCTCACACGCATGCAGTCCTCAGCACGCGCGCCGTCACCTCAGTGGCCACACACTACTCGCCACACTCCTCCACAGCAGAGATGGTGCACCGCTCCCCTACCGTGACCGTCCCTCCATCCTCAGAGCAGACCACAGTGACCACCACGCCCATGACCACAAGATCCACAGGGCCACCCTCCTCCACTGTGGGGACCATCCCTCCATCTTCAACATTGACCACCATGGCCACCTCGCCTACCTCCACAAGATCCACAGGGCCACCCTCCTCCACTGTGGGGACCATCCATCCATCCTCAGAGCAGACCACAGTGACCACCACGCCCATGACCACTTCGTCCATGGCCACGAGATCCACAGGGCCACCCTCCTCCACTGTGGGGACCATCCCTCCATCTTCAACACTGACCACCACGGCCACCTCGTCCCTGGCCACCTCGTCCATGGCCACAAGATCCACAGGGCCACCCTCCTCCACTGTGGGGACCATCCCTCCATCTTCAACATTGACCACCATGGCCACCTCGCCTACCTCCACAAGATCCACAGGGCCACCCTCCTCCACTGTGGGGACCATCCATCCATCCTCAGAGCAGACCACAGTGACCACCACGCCCATGACCACTTCGTCCATGGCCACGAGATCCACAGGGCCACCCTCCTCCACTGTGGGGACCATCCCTCCATCTTCAACACTGACCACCACGGCCACCTCGTCCCTGGCCACCTCGTCCATGGCCACAAGATCCACAGGGCCACCCTCCTCCACTGTGGGGACCATCCCTCCATCTTCAACACTGACCACCACGGCCACCTCGTCCATGGCCACGAGATCCATAGGGCCACCCTCCTCCACTGTGGGGACCATCCCTCCATCTTCAACACTGACCACCACGGCCACCTCATCCCTGGCCACCTCGTCCATGGCCACAAGATCCACAGGGCCACCCTCCTCCACTGTGGGGACCATCCCTCCATCTTCAACACTGACCACCATGGCCACCTCGCCTACCTCCACAAGCTCCACAGGGCCACCCTCCTCCACTGTGGGGACCATCCATCCATCCTCAGAGCAGACCACAGTGACCACCACGCCCATGACCACCTCGTCCATGGCCACGAGATCCACAGGGCCACCCTCCTCCACTGTGGGGACCATCCCTCCATCTTCAACACTGACCACCATGGCCACCTCGCCTACCTCCACAAGATCCACAGGGCCACCCTCCTCCACTGTGGGGACCATCCATCCATCCTCAGAGCAGACCACAGTGACCACCACGCCCATGACCACCTCGTCCATGGCCACGAGATCCACAGGGCCACCCTCCTCCACTGTGGGGACCATCCCTCCATCTTCAACATTGACCACCACGGCCACCTCGCCTACGGCCACAAGATCCACAGGGCCCCCCTTCTCTACTGCTGTGACCCTCCCTCCAGCTTCAGCGCCAACCACCACGGCCACCTCACCTATGACCACGGGATCCACAGAGCCCATGTCCTCCACTGCAGTAACCACTTCCCCATTATCACTGCCAACCAGCACAGCCACAACTTCTTCAGCCTTTACTGCTAGCTCCCCACAGTCTTCCTCGAGCAGCAGCCCACTCATCCCAAGTATGTCTCCCATCGTGTCCACCAGCTTACCCTTGACCTGCATGTGCCAGGCGCGTGGACAAGTATTCTCACCAGGTGAGTCGGAGGCTGAATACCCTGCCATGCCCCATGAAACCCCAGCCTGCCTTTCCTGGGTCCTTGTATCCGTTTCCCATGACCCTCAGGCCAGTCATGGAGTGTTCATGACACAATGGCCACGTCCCTCACAGGGGCCGTCATCTACAACGAGACTGATGGAGCTGGCTGCCATTTCTACGCCATTTGTGGACCACATTGTGAGCTCCGCCGCTTCCAGGACAACTGCTCCTCTCCGGCCCCACCTGTGTCCTTGCCCACAACACCTCCAACTCCACCGCCCCCAGAGCCTCCCGGCTGTGACAATGCCATTCCGCCACGGCAGGTGCTCCCCACCACCACTACTTCTCCCTCTGCACAGGCCCAGGCTCACAGACGGGTGGTTCTCTCACAGCTGCCCCACAGAGCCTTTTGAGCTTGAGTCACAGGTTTGAGTCCTGATGGGGTGTCCCTCTTCCCAGACCCTGTGGCAGTCCAGGCCGAGGGACCCGAAGGCGTGGTCAGGACTAGAGTGTTGGAGAGGGACCTGCACATGTCTGTTCAGGTAGGCATTCTGCATGTTTCCATGCGATTTCAGGTGAACGAGTCCTGGACCTTGGAGAACTGCACGGTGGCCAGGTGTGAGGGCAACAATCGTGTCGTCCTTCTGGCACAGAAGCCTGTTGCCAACATCACCTGTGCCAATGGGCAGCTACCTGTCACAGTGTCGGACCCCAGCGAGCCCTGCAAGTTCCACTATGAGTGTGAATGTGAGTGGGCAGAGTTGGTGCTCATGGTGGGGAGAGGGGGCCAGCTGGTCAGCAGCCAGGATGTTGTGTCCAGGGTCCAAGTCCAGGCTCTCCCCAAGGGGCCAATGACTCCCTGAGGCCCTGGGAGCCTCCTTGTGGCCACCCCCCTTGTGCCACCCCCAGCACCTGCTGGCACCAGAATCTCTGGCTCTGGCTGCATCCCTGTGCTTCCCTCCTCCTCCTCTTCCTCCTTCTTCCTCCTCTTCCTCCTCCTCTGCCTCCTCCTCCCCCTCCTCTTCCTCTTCTTCCTCCTCAATAGGCTCCCTTCCAGCTCACTGGACTTGGGGGCAGCCGACGCAGGACCCCTTGCTTCATCCTACCCCCAAAGACCCTGCTCCCAGGAAGTCCCCACCTTTCCAGGCAGGAGGAGGTGGTCAGGCCAGCCCTGTGCCCTGTCCACAGGCTCCTGCAGCGCCTGGGGGAATTCCCACTTCCTGACCTTCGATGGCACTGCCTACTCCTTCTCCGGCAACTGTACCTACGTGCTGATGAGGGAGATCCACCCCGGCCCCGGGGACCTGAGCCTCTACCTCAACAACCACTACTGCAGGGCGACCATGGTCCCCCACTGCGCCCGTGCCCTCATGCTCCACTTCAAAGCCATGGATATTGTCCTCACCACCACGACCTCCCCCAGCGGCAGGGAGAGGAGCCTGGTGGGTCCACAGGACGCAGACACAGGGTGGGGTGGGAGACAGGGAAGGCACAGCCCAGCCTGCTAGGAGGCCACAGCACGGCCTCAGGTGGGGGGCAGTGCCCAGGAGGCAGAGCCTCCACCGCTGCCCTTCTGTGCCCATGCTTACATGCCACCTGGATGTCCCCAGATCCTTGTTGACAACCAGCGGGTGAGCAGCGGCTTCCTCAAAGACGGTGTGAGTGTGAGTGTGGCGGCAGCCTCAACTATGCGTGTCGACATCCCTGCCCTTGGCGTCAGCGTCACCTTCGACGGGCAGCTCTTCCAGGCCCAGCTGCCCTTCAGTCGCTTCAGCCACAACACAGAGGGCTTGTGCGGTGAGTGGGCGGATGGCCCCCCACACCCGACCGTCACCTGCTCAAGGCACCATGGGACATGGACTCCACAGGCCAGGAGCCAGGAAGAGGGAGGAAAGGGGAAAGGCCACATCCTCATGACCCTGCCTCTCTTTGCCCAGGCACCTGCACCAACAACCAGAGAGATGACTGCCGCCAGCCAGATGGTACCACAGCATCCTCCTGCCAGGACATGGCCAAGACCTGGCTGGTCAATGACAACAGCACCGAGGGTTGCTCAGCCCCAACCAGCGCACCTCCGACCAGTCCAGTCCTGGGCACCAGCACCCAGCACCCAGCGTCCAGCCCGGCCCCGGGCACCAGCACCCAGCACCCAACGTCCAGCCCGGCCCCGGGCACCAGCACCCAGCACCCAGCGTCCAGCCCGGCCCCGGGCACCAGCACCCAGCACCCAGCGTCCAGCCCGGCCCCGGGCACCAGCACCCAGCACCCAGCGTCCAGCCCGGCCCCGGGCACCAGCACCCAGCACCCAGCGTCCAGCCCGGCCCCGGGCACCAACACCCAACAATCAGCGTCCAGCCCGGCCCCGGGCACCAGCACCCAGCACCCAGCGTCCAGCCCGGCCCCGGGCACCAGCACCCAGCACCCAGCGTCCAGCCCGGCCCCGGGCACCAACACCCAACAATCAGCGTCCAGCCCGGCCCCGGGCACCAGCACCCAGCACCCAGCGTCCAGCCCGGCCCCGGGCACCAGCACCCAGCACCCAGCGTCCAGCCCGGCCCCGGGCACCAGCACCCAGCACCCAGCGTCCAGCCCGGCCCCGGGCACCAGCACCCAGCACCCAGCGTCCAGCCCGGCCCCGGGCACCAGCACCCAGCACCCAGCGTCCAGCCCGGCCCCGGGCACCAGCACCCAACAATCAGCGTCCAGCCCGGCCCCGGGCACCAGCACCCAGCACCCAGCGTCCAGCCCGGCCCCGGGCACCAGCACCCAGCACCCAGCGTCCAGCCCGGCCCCGGGCACCAACACCCAACAATCAGCGTCCAGCCCGGCCCCGGGCACCAGCACCCAGCACCCAGCGTCCAGCCCGGCCCCGGGCACCAGCACCCAGCACCCAACGTCCAGCCCGGCCCCGGGCACCAGCACCCAGCACCCAGCGTCCAGCCCGGCCCCGGGCACCAGCACCCAGCACCCAGCGTCCAGCCCGGCCCCGGGCACCAGCACCCAGCACCCAGCGTCCAGCCCGGCCCCGGGCACCAGCACCCAGCACCCAGCGTCCAGCCCGGCCCCGGGCACCAGCACCCAGCACCCAGCGTCCAGCCCGGCCCCGGGCACCAGCACCCAGCACCCAGCGTCCAGCTCGGCTCCGGGCACCAGCACCCAACAATCAGCATCAAGCCCATTCCCAAGCAGCAGTACCCGGCACCCAGTGTCCAGTCCGTTCCCAGGCACCAGCCCACAGAGCTCAGCGACCAGCACACCCGCCTCCACCCCATGCCCCCCGTCCCCACTCTGCAAGCTACTGCTGGGCTCGTAAGTCCTTGTGTGTGGGTGGGGCATACCTCCCTGAGCCCTGGTCTGAACTCCTATGGGAACTGACTTCCTGGTGCCCACAGGATCTTTGCCGAGTGCCACAGCTTCGTCCCGCCCGGCCCCTTCTTCACAGCTTGTGTCAGTGATAGCTGCCTGTCCGGCAGCCACCCTGGCCTGGCTTGCCAGAGCCTGGAGGCCTACGCAGGGTTGTGTCGTGCCCGGGGCATTTGCAGTGACTGGCGCAACTCCACCAGCGGGCTGTGCGGTGAGTCCTGGGCAGCCCCAGGGGCCCTGCCGACCATGGCCCCTCTGACCCCTGTGTCTGCCTACAGACCTGCCCTGCCCACACTCCAAGGTGTACCGGCCCTGTGGCCCTGTGCAGCCTGCGTCCTGTGACTCCAGGTAAGCGTGGGTCCCCTAGCCTGCTGCCCCTACCTGCCCATGCCATCCTGTCCCATCCAGTCCCACCCCAGGCTGGTGGGAAGGGAAGCACAGGCTGCCAGGCCTGCCCGTTCACCTTGCAGAAGTCAGAGCGCTGTGGACGAGGAGCTGACCGAAGGCTGCTTCTGCCCTGAAGGCCAGATCCTCTTCAATACGCACACGGGCGTGTGTGTGTCCCAGTGCCGTAAGCAGCTGGGCCCAGGAGCACGCCCGGCCAGCAGGGTTTTGGGACAGGATGACTGTGGCGGGGCTTGGGGCTTGGCCTGGCCACACTGGGGTGCCCACCACAAGGGGACAGGCCTGACTCATTCTAGCTTTCTTCTTCAGCTTGCGTGGGGCCAGACGGGTTTCCCAAATTCGTGAGTGCTCTGTCCCCCATCCCTGCCCCGCCCCTGCCCCATCCTCACCCCTGCCCCTGTCTCCACCCCGTTCCTACCCCGTGCCTGCCCTGGCTAACTGGAAGAAGGGAGCCCAGGTGGGGAGTCCTCACCTCCTCCTTCCCCCGACCCCCCCCCCTCCCGCCGCCGTGTTTATCCCCAGGACTGCTCCTGTGGCAGGGCCTGACCAGGGCTGGGAGCTGGCCCCTGGGGAGCCCCGGGGAGACGCTGGCCTGGTCTTTTGCAGCCGGGAGAGCAGTGGATCAGTGGCTGCCAGAGCTGCGTGTGCGATGCCAACTCTGTGTCAGTGCACTGCCAGCCAGTGCAGTGTGAGGCCCAGGATGGAGCGGGGCAGTGCAGCGGGGCTGGCTTCGTGCCTGTCACCAGGTCCCGGGCGGACAACCCCTGCTGCCTGGAGCAGCTCTGCGGTGAGCACCCTGGGAGCAGAGGCCCAAGGCCCAGCCGGCCTGTGGAGGACAGAGGGGGCTGGGAGGGTGTCAGCCCCCAGGAGTCCTCTGGAAGCCAGCAGCGGACCTACGGGGCCAGGAGGGCAGGGCAGTAACTGTCCCACTTCTCCAGTCTGCAACACCACCACCTGCCCCCAGAGCCCGCCTGAGTGTGGGCCGGCCCAGGAGCTGACACGCACCCAGGGTGACGCCGACTGCTGCCCCACCTTCAGCTGTCGTGAGTGCCAGGGGCTGGGGCTGCTGGGGGGACTCAGGGCTGGGGGTGCTGGGCCCTGGCAGGAGCTCACCCCCTTTCCTTCCAGGACCTAAGCTGTGCAGCTACAATGGAACCGTCTATGGGGTGAGGATGAGTTGGGGCATACCAGGGCCAGTGGAGGGGTGGGTGGAGATGGTGGGGTGCCCCAAACCCCTGCCCATCCCAAGGGCACAGCACAGGGCTCTGGTGTTTCAAGACAGACAAGGGAAGCAGTGCCTTGCTCACCAGTGGCCCCAGTGCTGTGCCCCAGGGCTCCCTGTCCCATGTCTTACCCTCCACTCGAGGAAGAGCCCTATGGGCCCACGTGGCCCTGCTGTCATCCCTGGCACCACACCTTTGTCCACCACAGGTTGGGGCGACCTTCCCAGGGGTCATTCCCTGCCACACCTGCACCTGCCTCGTGGAGGACACCCAGGACCCCACTGTGCGGTGTGAGGAGGACGCCTGCAGCACCTCCTGCCCCCAGGTGAGCCCCAGGCTGAGCCTGAGCACATAACCAGACTACACCCACGGAGGCTCGGGCGGGGACGTGGCCACACGGCAGGTGAGGGTGTGCACCAGAGGGGTTGGGGCCTGACAGTCTGGCCATTCCCACAGGGCTTTGAGTACTCCAGGGTGTCCGGGCAGTGCTGCGGGCAGTGCGTGCAGACGGCCTGCCTCACGCCCGAGGGCAGGCTCGTCCAGGTAAAGCAGCAGGGAGGGTCCTCCCCGAGAGACACGGGGTCCACAGGCTGTCCCCCCACCTGACTCCTGCTGCCACCCCGCATTCAGCCCAACGAAACCTGGACCGATGGCCGTGTGGATAACTGTACCCGATACCGCTGTGAGGCTGGGCACGGGTCCCCCGTGCTGACCCCACAGCCCGTGGCCTGCCCCGACGTGTCCAGCTGCAGGGTGTGTAAGGGACGGCCTGCCCCAGTCACCCCCGCCCCACCACCGCCCTTCCCGCCCCCAGCCCTGCCCATCCATACACCTGCCACTTCTTGGCCCTGCAGGGCACCCTCAGGAAAACCGGCTGCTGCTACTCCTGTGAGGAGGGGGGTAAGTCAGGGCTGCCCTTGCGTCTGCACAGGGCTCCCTGCCTGAAGCAAGTCCAGGCCAGCTGGTGGGAGGTTTGCTCTTGCAGCCATGCCTTCTCTCCCTAGACCCCTGCCTCGTTCGTGCCAACACCACCGTTCTGCAGCACGGGGACTGTGTGGCCGAGGAGCCCGTCAGCCTCACCTTCTGTGAGGGCGCCTGCCCTGGCAGTGTGTCCAGGTGAGTGGCCCACGGCGCCTGCCCTGCCGCGTGTCCAGGAGGACAGCCATGCTCCGTCACGGCTCACTGTGTATTCCACCTACACAGTACCGGCGGGGGTGGGGCTTCCAGGCAGGCTGCGTGGCTGTGTGGGACAGAGCCCACCTGTTGTGGATCTGGAGTCAACTGGGGAGTTCTGAGCGGCCTGTGGGCCCTGGGCTACAGCCCTCAGGGGTAAGGGTGGCCAGGAGAGGCAGGAGCATCCGGGGCAGCCGTCCATCCGGGGCAGTGACCAGGGTGCATGCCTACAGATACTCCATGGAGGCCCAGACCATGCAGCACTCCTGCTCCTGCTGCAAGGAGACGAGCACCCATGAGGAGGTGGTGACCCTGCGATGCCCAGACGGCACGACCATCCAGCGGGTCTACACCCAGGTGGACGAGTGTGCCTGCTCCCTGTCCTGCCTGCCACCGCCCACAGCACCCACCCTCAGCTAGGAGGACCCTTCCGCTCGGGCCATGAAAGTCTCCAGTGCGGTTGCTGCACAGCACCCACTCCTGCCCACCTTCCACATGCCCCAGGGTGGCACACTGGAGGGCTATGGCTGGCCAGGAGCTGCTGGAGGCCCTGTTGCCAGTCTCAGCCACTCGCCCTGGCCCCAGGATGTCCACAGCAGAGTACTGCAGTGCCCACAGCTACCAGTGCCACACTGCTGGCAGAGCCCTGGACTCCGTGGCTGCTGGCTGGCCACCGCCTATAGGAGAGCTGCCAGGCCATGCCACCCACCACACGGAGCTGCACCAGGAGACAACCGAGATGCCCGTGGATAAGAGGCGGGCCAGAGAGCGCTCAGATCTCCCACACAGCTTTTCTGCCCACCCAAGCCCGACTTCACAAATAAATTCTGAGCATGGCAGATGTGTTCCGATGTGACACCCTTCCAGGAACCTGTGGCCCTGGGCTCGCTCCCTCCTGTGGGTCAGCCACCAGGGGCACCCTGGGGAGACTGAGGGAGGGCAGGCAAGGCAGGAGGCAAAGAGTCCCTCAGCACCCGCAGGCCGCTGGGCATCCCCACTGTCCCTTCAGACAGGGACTGGCCTAACAGTGGGTTAAGTCATCCCGTGACACCAGTGTGCCACATGGGCGCCAGCTGGAGTCCCAGTCGCTGCATGTCCCACCCAGCTTCCTCCCCGCGCACCTGGAAAAGCAGTCGAGGATGGCCCAAGTCCTTGGGCCCCTGCACCCCGTGGGAGACCCGGCGGAAGCTCCTGGCTTAGGGCTGGCCCGGCCCTGGCTGTCGTGGCCATTTGGGGAGTAAAGCAGTGGATAGAAGATCTCCTGTTCTCTAAACTCTTTTCGGGGGGGGGGGGGGCAGTGACTTAGCAGAAGGCAGAGTGGGGATGAGAAAAGTGCACAGCTAGGTTTTCAAGCCACAGAACCCTCCGGCCCGCCAGCACTCAGAGCTCTAATGGCGGAAGCAGGGCCTCCCGGCAAGGCTCTTCAGACCTCAGCCTGCTGGCAGTGGACGGAGGTGACAGGAAGGCAACTGAGAGAAAGGGAGTGGGAGCCTGCCCGGGGCCACTTCCACAGGGCAGGCTGTCCACGTGAGGGCAACGGCCGCCCCACACGCACAGCACTGGGGTGGGGGGCTCCTGTTTGCACATACTTGTAACAAGTCATCATGGCAGACGCTCCGTGCGCTCCAAGCATTGCTGGATGGGAGTGCCTGCTTGATCTCGGCAGAGGGCCCGGGACACCTGTACCCAGTCCCAGTATAAACCACAGTGTATACTGTACTGGGCAGCACAGTCCCCTGGGGAGCTGTGTGTGCTGGGAACCACAGACCGCAGCCACAAGAGCAAGGCTCCTTGCACTCGCACGCAGGCCCGCGGGGCCAGGGAGTGGCAGGTGCTAACACAAGCTGGAACCACACACAGAGGCCGGGGCGGGGGGCAGCAATGGCTGCGTCTCCAGCTCTCTTGCAACCCACAAGGGCCAGGAGGGCAGCCGCCACTGGGTATACATGTGCCAGTCTGCCCTCCAACCCACCCAAGGGCTCGAACCGACTGGCCTCTGTTGCGACTGGCCTGCAGCCATAGAGGCCACCCATCTCAGCCACAAGAGTCACACGGGAACCTCAGCAGGCACAAAGGGCAGCAGTTGTCCCACACGCTTGAGCCTGGGAGCCACATGCATGGGACTTGGCAGGGAGTTCCCCCCTGCTCCAGGGAAGCAGACTCACTCCAAGGACAGTGCCTTCCCCTCTCCCCAAGAGATAAACAGGCCCAAGGTTCCTTTGTGATTCCAGTGAGAACAGCCTGGGAAACACTGGAAGCAAGCCACGGCTGGTTCGGCCCAAGTGTGGGAAGGGTGGCAGATACAGGTATGATGTTGTGGGCTGAGGAGTTGATTAGCATTTGTTAAGCTTGGCTCCTGCAGGAAATGGGCTTGGAGGCTAGTGGCACCTTGTCTGTCGGACTCATTAGCATCCAATTGTTCTGCTAGAGGCTTGGGGGAAAGGTATATATGGCTGAATAAAGGGAGGCTGAGAGAGACCTCTTCCACCACTACTGGTCTCCTGTCGGTGTCTGATTCCCTGACCCTCGCGTGTCCATGCTACCGACTCAGCTGGCCTGAACAGTAGGAGGCGGCCAGGAGACTGGGTCCAACCCTGCAGCCAGACGCCAGAGATAAACTCAGCAACATCACCGGCTTCGCGAGAGGGAAAGTGAACTAAAACCTGCAGGTGGTAGAGGAAAGCCCTGATAAATTCCTGCAAACCCTCAACACTGCCACCGTGGGAACCGTGACATCCAGTCGGTCCCACGACCATAGCTGACGCTGGCAGAGCACGGCGGCCGGCCCACAGGGGGTGTGGGAGGTGCAGACACAGCAAAGGACATCGCCTACAACAAGTCCAAGCACCAGGAGGCCTCCAAGAAGGGAGGCAGAACAGGACATGGTGGCACATGCCACAAGTGGGCAGCGGGACAGGGTGGTGTGCAGGACACAGCAGTGGGCAGCAGCCCTGGAGTGCCCTGTGCCAGCCCGCCCGCAGCAGAGGACGAGGCCCAGGCCCCGTGGGTTAACGGACGCAGTGGGGAACCTCAGCTCTCTGCATTCCCCCTGCTTGGCATTTTGGCTTAAACCAAAGTAGACATCAGAGAATTCCAGAAAGCCAAAACCATGTCATTCCAACATGCCCGTGCTGCCATGCACAGCTGCCACGTGAGCTGCACCCCCCGGCGGACAGCCACCAGGGCCCGGGCTGGGGGCCAGCTCCTCCAGGGCGGACACGGCATGCGCTGCCAGCGACAGCAAGACGGGTGTGGTGGCAGCGCTGCTGCCGGGCCAGCCGCCTGGGACGTGCTCCGCTCAAGCTCAGCCAGTGCTAAGGACCCTGGCCAAGGACGGCGAGGGGTAGGTGTGCCTGCCAGAAGTGCCAACACGACAGGTGAAAGGCAGGGGCTCTGGGTGACTTGGTGACTTCCTGAAGTGTGGCCCCCACAGCCACATTGAGGAAGCAGTCCTCTCCCCAGCCTTACCTGAACCCCACAAGCACTCTACCCCAGGCTACGCCCCACAGGTGCCACAGCTGTGACCCTGGGGGTCACAGGGGTGTGTGGACGTGTGTGTGTGACTTTTATCAGAAAGGCAGATTTACAGAGGCGAGAAGGATCTTCCACCCACTGCCTCACTCCCCAAGTGGCTACAACGGCCAGAACTGAGCCAATCTGAAGCCAGGAGCCAGGAGTTTTCACAGGGTCCCAAGGCTTCACACCATCTCCGACTGCTTTCCCAGGCCAAAGGAGGCAGCTTGTGGGAACTGGACCAGCCTGGATACAAACTGGCACCCATGGCATCCTGGAGGTACGTTCAAGGCAAGGATTTAACCCGAGCCATCCTGTGGGGCCCCAGTCATTCTTGAATTCCACAAACAATATTCTCAGCCAAAGTCCTTTCCAACAGCTCCCTGTGGCACGCACACACACACACACTGCCCGCACGCCCCAGCCTCCCCGACACACACACACACACACTGCCCGCAAGTCCCAACCTCCCCGACACACACACACACACACACACATACACACGCACACACACACACACACACACACACACACACACACACACTGCCCGCACGTCCCGGCCTCCCCGACACACACACACACACACACATACACACGCACACACACACACACACTGCCCGCACGTCCCAGCCTCCCTGTCACACACACACACACACACTGCCCACACTTCCCAGCCTCCCCATCACACACATACACACACACACACACACACACACACTGCCCGCACGTCCCAGCCTCCCCGACACACACACACACACACTGCCCGCACGTCCCGGCCTCCCCAACACACACACACACACACACACACACACACTGCCCGCACGTCCCAGCCTCCCCATCACACACACACACACACACACACACACTGCCCACACTTCCCAGCCTCCCCAACACACACACACACACACACACACACTGCCCGCACGTCCCAGCCTCCCCATCACACACACACACACACACACACACACTGCCCACACTTCCCAGCCTCCCCGACACACACACACACACACACACACACACACACACTGCCCGCACGTCCCAGCCTCCCCATCACACACACACACACACACACGCACACACACACACACACACTGCCCGCACGTCCCGGCCTCCCCGACACACACACACACACACACACACACACTGCCCGCACGTCCCGGCCTCCCCAACACACACACACACACACACACACACACACTGCCCGCACGTCCCAGCCTCCCCATCACACACACACACACACACACACACTGCCCACACTTCCCAGCCTCCCCGACACACACACACACACACACACACACTGCCCGCACATCCCAGCCTCCCCATCACACACACACACACACACACACACACACACACACACACTGCCCGCACGTCCCAGCCTCCCCATCACACACACACACACACACACACACACACACACACACACACTGCCCGCACGTCCCGGCCTCCCCGACACAACACACACACACACACACACACAGCCCGCACTTCCCGGCCTCCCCGACACACACACACACACACACACACACACTGCCCGCACGTCCCAGCCTCCCCGACACACACACACACACACACACACACACACACTGCCCGCACGTCCCGGCCTCCCCGACACACACACACACACACACACACACACACTGCCCGCACGTCCCGGCCTCCCTGTCACACACACACACACACACACACACTGCCCGCACATCCCGGCCTCCCCGACACACACACACACACACACACACACTGCCCGCACGTCCCGGCCTCCCCGACACACACACACACACATACACACTGCCCGCACGTCCCGGCCTCCCCGACACACACACACACACACACACACACACACACACACACACACACACACTGCCCGCACATCCCGGCCTCCCCGACACACACACACACACACACACACACACACACTGCCCGCACGTCCCGGCCTCCCTGTCACACACACACACACACACACACACACACACACACTGCCCGCACGTCCCAGCCTCCCCGACACACACACACACATACACACTGCCCGCACGTCCCGGCCTCCCCGACACACACACACACACACACACACACACTGCCCGCACATCCCGGCCTCCCTGTCACACACACACACACACACACACACACTGCCCGCACGTCCCGGCCTCCCCGACACACACACACACACACACTGCCCGCACATCCCAGCCTCCCCGACACACACACACACGCACACACACACACACACACACACTGCCCGCACGTCCCAGCCTCCCCGACACACACACACACACACACACACACACACACACACACACACACACACTGCCCGCACGTCCCGGCCTCCCCGACACACACACACACACACACACACACACTGCCCGCACGTCCCGGCCTCCCCGACACACGCACACACACACACTGCCCGCACGTCCCGGCCTCCCCGACACACACACACACACACACACACACACACACTGCCCGCACGTCCCGGGCTCCCCATCACACACACACACACACACACTGCCCGCACGTCCCGGCCTCCCCATCACACACACATACCCCATCCTTCCGGCTCCTTCTGCCCCCTCCACCTGCTGTCTTCTTCACACTCGGCCATCAGGACCCGAGCCCCAGTGGCGATCTGGGCCCACATGTTCTCCCTGGCTCGTTTCCGTTCCCAATTGGTGCTGCCCGTTGTCCTCCTGGCTCACCTTGCACTCGGGCCTTTGGGACACTTCAGCACCTCCGTGTGACACAGTGGAGCTGGTGGCCACAGGCATGGCACCTTGCCGAGGCTAGCTGCCTGAGCTCCTTTCCCAGCTCATCAGCGGGGGCTGGAGCAGCTGGGACTCAGGGTGCCCAGGTGGGACACAGGTGTCACAGGTGGCAGTTCAACCTCTACACCATGCCGATGCCAGGCTCATTCTGACAACACGTGCTCACGCCTGCTGACTGGACTTCCTGTTGCCCGGGGCACCAGACCAGTCCCTGTCTATGCCAGGAGGTGGGCCTGTCTGCAGCTTAACCTTGGGGTCACCACACCGGCATGGGGGGGCAGGACTGCTACCTGCAACCCCAACAGCCCCTGTGGGAGCTCTCCACCGAGCTCCCTGCTGAGGGTGGGCCTCCTGGCCCGGGCCTGGCCCAGCCGTGCCCCCCGGACTCCAGGGCACATCCGCAGACCGGGGTCTGTGCTGGAACTCCCTCTGGCTCTCAGTCTTCCGTGTCCTGGTCCTGAGCACTGGGTCATGCGGGGCGGACGGCGGCACACAGCCCACTTGAGAGGGCGCAGCTCTCTGAAGAGCACATCTCCACAGCACTCCACATCCTCACTCCAGCCCTTTCAGAACAAGCACCGCCCCTCGCATGTGTCCCAGGTCCACGGCGAACACTCAGCCTCCTCAGCAGGGCCAGCACTGGGCAGACGACACAGGGCCAACTGCCCCCAGCATGCCCCTCAGCGCCCCTGCTCCAGGGCCGGAGAGGGCAGCGACGGGAGGAGTGAGGGCAGTGCGGTCAGAATCGGACCGAGCACAGCCGTGCCCCCAGGGTGCTACCCCCCAGGGTGCTGCCTAGGCCGCCCGGTGCACCAGGCCTTCTGTCCAGCATCTCCTTGGCAGCACTGCCCCTTCCACGGGATATTCCTCTGAGTCACGCACCTGTAGCTGCCGAACGCTGAGCGAACACACAGCCTCTGCAGACGGAGAACAAACACGACAAAACTGGCCACGATTCCTTTGAGGACTTTATTTCTGTTTTTATATGGATTGTTTATTAAATTAGAAGGCTGAAAAGTAAAAATAGACTTTACAATTAAAGAAAAATCTAGACACTGGGCCCCAGTAAAATAATCAGAAAGGCCAGGTCTGGGAACTGTGCCAGCCGCTGGTGGACAGAAGAGGTGCCTGCGGGGAAGGCCGGGCAGGGACGCGGGAGGGCCCATGCATACAGGAGACTTCTGTCACGGTCCCGGGCTGGCCGCCACTCGGGACAGGCCGCGCACATCCCAGCAGCCAGACCTCTGCAGTGCGGGCCACAGCTTGCTTGAGCCATCTGGCCTGCCGAGGCTCTGGGCTGGTCACCAGCGGCCTGCCCACATCCACCCGAGACCCACGTGGCCTCTGCTGCCAAGCTGACAGCTACCTTCCAGCCCACCAGCCTCGGTGCGGACAGGGGCGGGAGAACTCGGGAGGCTCTGACTTCCAGGGGCCTCGGGCAGGAGGGACAGCAGGGAGGGACGGCAGGGGGGACAACAGGAAGGGACAGCAGGGGGGACAGCAGGGAGGGACGGCAGGGAGGGACAGCAGGCGCCAGAAGCCTGTGAAACGGAAAGCCGAGGAAAGCACAGCCTGCCGAGCGCTCCTAGCAGAGGGACACGAACATGAGCTCGGTCGGGAAGAAGCGCTCGGGCCGCAGACAGCTCGGGTCTGGGCAGGCAGCTGCTGCTGGCCTGCAAACACGGGCCTTCAGGCTGCTGGCCGTGTCCGGGGCTGCACCGGGGCTGCAGGCTACGCCCTGGAACAGCCGCGAGGAGGGTCATGTCCATGGCCTCCGTCCCACGTGGGGACGGAAATCCTCTGGAGGCAAGAGACGCTCCTGGAGCCACGCCCCCTTCACCCTTACAAAAATAAACATTTATGAGCAAAGCATGTGGCAGAAAGCTGTGTTCTCTGACATCACGAGGAAGCAGGTGGAAATATGAGCGCCGACACGGCCTCCACACCCTTCCCAGAAGGCCCGGCCTTCGGGGCCACCTATACGTCCACCTGCGCCCGCACCACTTCACACCCACGGGGCAGCCACTGGCCGGTGCCCGCAGCACAGACAATACACACCGACCACCTGTGTGCACAGGCTGACGTACACTGCCCCCCCATGCCGGCCGCCTGATTCCCCGCCGTGCTCTGTCAGCACCCGAGCCGAGCTGCCACTGCAGGATGGAGCCCAGCGTGCCGACACCAGCCATGAGCAGACCACGTGCTGCGCGCAGACGGGCCACAGGGGCCCCAGGACACAGCAGGACCGATGACCAGGGCCACCTGGCCAGCCACCTTGCTTCCTTCACAGGCTGACTCATTCCCGTTCATGCTGGAATGTGCCACTGAGGCACGGCCAGACCAGGACCAGACCAGGCAGCAAGAAAGGCCGGCTGCTTCTAACAGGAAGCCACTGGCTCAGCTGGCTGCAGCAGCGCTGGTGGGACCCAGGGTCACAAAAGAACATCAAGGGAGGGATGTAGATTTTAGCATGTAAGTTCTAAAAATAACCCCTAAGTCGGTGTCAATGGACTGTGTATGCCTCCAATCACAGTTCTGTCCCCACAAGCCCCCACCTGCCACCCACAGGGCCAGCGGGGCAAGGTGGCCGCGTGCGTCGGGGCAAGGGGCAGGGCACCCCCCACCCAGGCCTCCAACCAAGACAAGGAAGGGCTGGCCAGCCAGAATGGCTGTGGGAGGGAGAACCCACGCGTGTCCGAGCACAGGTGCGAGGAAGGGGCCCCGGGGCGCTCTGTGCCAGGAATCCTGTTGGGAGGACGAGCCCGGGGGCCGTGGGCGGGCAGGTCTGGAGGGCAGGTGGCCCTAGGACTCCTCGCCCATCTGCAGCAGCGAGTTGACGGCCGCAGCCTTGCTCCCGCGCTGGGCTTCCAGCACGGACCGGATCACCTCCCTGTCCATGCTGGGGAACATGTCCTGGATGGCCTTGAGGTCCTCCTCACTACAGCGGGGCGGAGCGCTCACAGCCGGCGGGGGCACGGCCACGGGCACCATGCCGGGGCCGCACACGGCGGGCATTCCTGGGGGCAAAACACCAACACTGGTCAACACATCAGGGCCACAAAGGACGGCGCGTGCCCAGCACGGGCAGAAGACACAGGCCCACAAGGACCTAGGCGACAGCATGGGCACAGCACACGGGGCAGATGCGTAACCTTCTCCCCTTGAGAGGCCCAGGTCCCTGACCTGCAGACCACAGCGCTCATCCCACGTGAGCCTGTCTCATCCAAGTCCTGGTGCTCCCACGCAGAGACCGAGGTCCCGTGGTGAGAGCTCAGGTCCGACCCCACGGACATGCATCTCCATGGGCAGACACCACACAGCCTCTCTTTACCTGACCACAGTCACGCAGCCAGCAGCCAGTGTGCAGGGAGTGAGTCCACATGGAATTCAGCACACACAGGAGTTCCACAGCCATGGTTGGGACAGTCCTAAGCAGTACCTCTGAATTCTAATTAACTAAACCAAAGGCAGAGGAACTGGGCCTAACACGGTAGCCTAGCAACTAAAGTCCTCGCCTTGCACACACCGGGATCCCATATGAGCTCCGGTTCTAATCCTAGCAGCTCCACTTCCCATCCAGCTCCCTGCTTGTGGCCTGGGAAAACAGCAGAGGACGGCCCAAAGCCTTGGGATCCTGCACCTGTGTGGGAGACCCAGAAGAAGCTCCTGGCTCCTGGCTTCGGATAGGCTCAACTCCGGCCATTGCAGCCTGCTTGGGGAATGAGTCATTGGTTGGAACACCTTCCTCTCTGTCTATCTGACTTTCCAATAAAAGTAAATAAATCTTGTAAAAAAAAAAAAAAAAAAAAAAGGCAGGACCCGGCGGCATGGCCTAACGGCTAAAGTCTTCACCTTGAACGCATCAGGATCCCACGGGGCGCCGATTCTAATCCCGATTCTAATCACTTCCCATCCAGCTCCCTGCCTGTGGCCTGGGAAAGCAGTTGAGGATGGCCAAAAGCCTTGGGACCCTGCACCCACGTGGGAGACCCATAAGAAGTTCCTGGTTCCTGGCTTCGGATTGGCGCAGCACCGGCCGCTGCAGCCACTTGGGGAGTGAATCATCGGACGGAAGATCTTCCTCTCTGTCTCTCCTCTTCTCTGTATATCTGACTTTGTAATAAAAATAAGTCAATCTTAAAAAAAAAAAAGCAGAGGGACAGACAGGCAGGCAGAGATCTGCCCCGGGTCACACCCAAACAAGGCCGACTAGAGCCAAGCACCAGGAGCTCCCCGAGTCTCCTTCCGAGACGGCAGGGCACCAGCAGTCATGGTGGCACTCAAGCCTGGCACTCAACACAACACGCAGGTATCCCATGCAGCCCTGGGCCACTAGCCACCGGAAGCCACTTCCTGCCTGGACCACGTGGGGCTCACACTGTCCCACAGAGCACAAGAGCCTTCCAGGAGGGGCCACACTCCACACACCCACAAAGCGCACACACAGGCACCTACATACCCGGACACAATGCACACACAGCCAGGCACATCACCCTGTCCACGCAGAGTCCACGCATCATCAGAGCTTGGGTTTTCACAAAGGCAGGCGAGGAACAGGCTGAGCCCCGCCCGCTGGCACCTGCGGCCTGTGGGGTGCTGCCGTCACAGCCCCGGGCAGCAGGAGACGGGCAGTGAGGCCGGCTGACTCAGCTGTCCCCGCACTCCCCGACACCCGCAAGCAGGTCAGGGCTTGGAGCAGGCAGCAATGGGGCAGGGATGCTCAGGGTGAGCCCTACTGTTACGCTCAGCCGGAGGGGATGAACTGAGGGGATGAGTGACAGAGCAGGGGATGGCACCCCTGGGCTGGCATGGGAACCGCCTCCCCCAGAGAAGCCGGGGCTGGCACAAGTGCAAGGCAGGGACTTGCTCCAGCCAGGTGACACGCACGTCCATGCAGCGCAGCAGGACCCTGTCACGTCACGCTCACCAACACTTGGGCAACGACGTTAGCCCTCCCTTGGACTCTCCTGTAAAATTGTCTGCGAATGAGAGCAGCGTGACGTCTGTCCACAGAGACCCCACATTTCCACAGGAGACATCTCAGGGCAAGGGAGCTGACCGAGAGGACCAGATTGCCAAGCACATGAAGCTCCCTGCCCCGGGAACCTGGGGGCAGCCCAGCCACAGTTGGGTCCATGGACACAGAGTGCGCCACGCACAGTTGGCCACCCTCGGTGGCAGGAACGTCCCCACAGTAGCAGCGCACTCGCTCATGCGTGTAGAAATCCCCCGTGCCTGTGAGGTAAAACCCACCCCGCCCACCTGACCCACGGGAGATCCTGGCTCACTGCACCCAGCCTGGGGAGCTCTCCTGCAAGCTCAGTGCGAGACCCCCTCCCCACAGCTGCTCTGTCCCGGAGTCCCATCCGAGGGGTGCCACTCACCTGTAATGGGTACATAGCCGACGCCCTGCTGGTACACGGTCGGCATCAGGACGACAGGCTGGGGTGGCATCATCATGGCAGCGGGCAGGGCCTGCAACACCGAGCCGGTGGGAGTCAGGCAGACACCCAGCACACACCTCACAGTACTAGGCCCGCCATAGCCATCCTGCCAGATAGCACAGTGCCCAGAGCACCAGGCTCCCTGGGCTGCCGCGGCCTGCCCGAGGACAGGCGGCCAGGAGCACAGGGTGGCGTGAGCGTCAGGCCTGTGTCTGCAGGGACCAAGTCTTGATGCAATGACACCCTGCTGGCTCCCAGGGCCTGCAAGGCGAGGCGCTGGCCTCTTCCCAGAGCACCTGCCACCATTCCCAGTCCCAGCTTCCTACTGATGCACAAACCCCGGGGCCCTGGCCACCCACACAGGAGACATGGACAGAGCTCCTGGGCCCTGGCTTCAACCTGACCAACTCCCATCACTGCAGCCATTACGGAATGGCCCAGCACACAGATCTCTTTCCTGCCTTTCAAATAAATAAACAGACCCAAACCCAGGACCTGCTCTGCATCCGTCCTTAGCTCCCCAAGTCCCAGCAGCCACAGCTATCCCCAGAATACGGACAGCAGGCCCCAAGGCACTGGGCCACTCCCAGCACACCAGGCTACTGCTTTACGACCCCTAGGGCTGTGGCCTCTCTCAGCAGAGGCGCCACAGAGTTCCCTGTCCACAGCAGGAGACCATTCCAGGGCAGGGGACCACAATACAGGACACCGCCTCTCCAGGCTGTGCGAGCAAGAGGGCGGGAGGGCTGTGGACAGAGGGGGCAGCCGTGCCACCAGCCCCAGGCCTGCTCCCTGGGCTCTGCTGGGGACAGAGGGGGCAGCCGTGCCACCAGCCCCGGGCCTGCTCCCTGGGCTCTGCTGGCATCTGTTCCTCTGGGGTCCCCACCACCCTGGAAGACACCATGAGGACCTGTGGCCTGTGAGGCTGCTCACTGGGCTGCCCGACAGAGCCGGCTGTGCTGGCCACCCCGCGGGTGCGGCTCCCAGTGCAAGAGCGTCAGGGACTCACCGTGTACGACATGACCAGGTTGATCATGCCCTCCTTGTCGTCGCCCTGCCTCCCACTCAAGCTGTACCACTCGTCCTCCACCTTGCCCTGCTTCAGCGACTCGGGGATGGTGATGTGGGTCCAGGCAATACGGTCATCCATGGAAAAGGCGCGCTGGGGGCGGCAGGAGCGAGGCCATCAGCTGGGGTGCCCACTCTCGGCCTCCCTTCCGAGCCTCCCACCAACAGCCCACCCCCAGCCCTCCCAGCAGCCTCAGGACCACGGGAAAATGGTGAGGACGGAACAGTCGGAAGCCCTCGAGGCTGCTGTGCCCTAGGCCCCAGCCTGCCCTCCTGCCTGGCCCTGCCCCGCAGGCCACCATCTGAGAGCCCCGCCACACGGGGGCGCCAGCTCAGACTACCCTGATGCTCCCCGCCACCCCGGAGGGTCAGAGAGGCGAAGGCAGGACTGGCTGCCCATGGCCCTGACCCTTCCCCTGCTGTCCCTAGCCTGGTCTCAACTTGACAGCTTCTCCCAGGGCCTCCATCCTGACACGCTCCTGAAACACACGAGGCCAGACAGCCCGGGGCACACTCCGAGGCGGGCTCAGTCTGCCAGGACTGGCTCCCTGGAGGAGCCTTCGGGAAGACGGGCCCGCCCAGCCCTGTGGCCAGGGCGCTCTGGGGCAAAGGAGCTAGAAGGGTATTTTCTTTCAAAGGCAGCCAAGTGTGCGTGCCCGCCGTCAGCACGGCACACGGGCAGCAGCAGCACCCCCTCACCTCATCGAAGATCTCCAGGTAGAAAGAGTCGACGCCCGGGGGCACCGTGCACTGGATCACCTTGTTCCAGCGCGGGTTCTTGGCACCGTTGTGCGCTGTGGGCGTCTCGTATACGGCGTAGCCCAGGCGCAGCCGGCAATACGGGTCCATGCGGGTCATGCCGTAATTCTTTGCCAGCTTTGCCTGCAACAAAGTTCGGCAAAACAAGGCCTGACCGTCAGAGCAGAAGGCGGAAGCCTGCTCACACTGGACCCACCTGCCTTCCCAGGCGTGTGAAGGAGTCACTCCAACACACCTCAGCTAGCTGCACCGTGACCCCAGCATGCCTCCTCCCAGCCCGCAGGAACAGAGCATGGGGGCTCATGGGCGGGGCGTGCCGTGCCCGAGGGTGGGCTCGCAGGGACAAGGGCTGGACCAGAGCACGGGGGGCACACCCTACAGAGCCACCCAGCCAGGCCAGCACCCAGCTTCCTGGGATGAGTGAGTGACCCCCCAGGTAAGACACGGCTGTTCAGATAAGGCACGTTGTACAGGCTCACACCTGCAACCACAAGAAAGCCTAGGAGATGAGCCATGACCAACCGACTGTGCTAGGACACACCAAACGCTCTCAGACTGAGAGCCTGGCGAAGGGACTGCAGCCCGGCTGGAGGACAAGGCTGGCGCAGGACCAGGTGAAGCCGCCTGCAGCCCAGCTGCTCTGCCTCCGACCCGGCTCCCTCCCAACGTGCCTGGGAAAGCAGTGCAGGATGGCCGGAGTCCTTGGGCCCTGCACCACGCGGGAGCCCAGGAAGAAGCTCCTGGCTTCAACAGCAGGCCCGCTCTGGCCCTTGTGGCTGCTGCAGCCGTGAACCAACAGATGGAGGATCTGTCTCCCCCTCTCTGTTACTCTACCTTTCAAACCATATCTTGTTGTTTTTTTCTTTTAAGCCAGAGTAAAGCTGTTTGGAGACCCTGTATAAATCACAGGCCAGAGGCGAGCAGACTGACACAGGGCTGGCCTCCAGAGCCTCAGGCGTCAGGGACGAGGCAGCAGTCCAACCGACTCTGCACAAAGCCGCAGAAATAGGAGCGTACACACCCCACCACAGGGGCCCACCAGTCCCCAGGGAAATGCAAACCTGGCTCCAGAGAGACCACCAACCCCTCACCCAGCTGCCAACCACCTACAGCCTGCCATCTCTGCCCACAGACCCCAGACCCTGAGGAGCACAGGCTCGCTGACCAATGGCAGAAAGCCCGAGCACCACCAGGACACCTCCTCTAAGCTCCAGACCGACCCCATGCCCACCACAGCAGGCCAGGACCCCTTGGGCCCCTCAGGCCCAGCTGGCAGCTGACACGAGATTTGCTGGGTGCCAAGACTCACTGAACACGGCAGTTGCATCCCGGAGACCTACTCTCTGCCTGGGAACACACCAAGCCTTGCTGCCTGTGCCACCTGTCCAGCTGCTGTCCCTTCATTCCTGGCCTTCTGCAGGCTTCGGCAGAGGTCCCCCAACTCTGTGCAGGCTTCAGCAGAAGCCCCCAACTCTGTGCAGGCTTCAGCAGAAGCCCCCAACTCTGTGCAGGCTTCAGCAGAGGCCCCCCCAACTCCGTGCAGGCTTCAGCAGAGGCCCCCCCAACGCCATGCCGGCTTTGGCAGAGGCCCCCCCAACTCCGTCCTGACTTCAGCAGAAGCTCCCTAACTCCATCCTGGCTTCGGCAGAGTCCTACTCCGTGCAGACTTTTCTGGCCTGCATTTGAGCCCATTTCACAGAGGGCTCTCACTGCTAAGCCATCAAAGTCCTGGAGCCCAGCCTTTCTCGCTCAGCACAGATGCCACCCTCACTTGGCCCCACAACCAGGGCCTGGGCAGCCCCGGCCGGGTGTCTCCCAGCCTCCCTAACATGCCCACCTGCTGCTCTGCCTGGCCAAGACCAGACTGGTGCAGTAGCTGCAACGCTCCCGCCCACCTCCCTGGGCCTCCCTTCACAGCACAGGAGAGATCCCTGGGAGAAAGCTGCCCCGGCCATGCCAAGAGTCGGGGCACAGAGAAGAGATGGCATGGCCTGAGGCTTGGGGTGTCTTCTACCAGGGTGGAACTGCCGCCCATATGATCTAGGGGGAAGACGGGGCACTGAAAGCCCTGCAGTGGGCGCTGTGCCGTGGCCCAGTAGCTAAATTCTCTCCTTGCACCAGGATCCCATATGGGTTTGTATCCTGGCTGCTCCACTTCCCACCCAGCTCCCTGCCATGGCCACAGGAAAACAGTGGAGGACAGCCCAAAGCCTTGGGACCCTGCACCTGTGTGGGAGACCAGGAGGAGGCTCCTAGTTTTGAACTGACTCAGCTCTGGCCATGGCGGCCACTTGAGCGGTGAACCAGCAGATGGAAAATTCTTTCGCAGGGTGGCTGCCATGGGCCAGGATCTGCATATGTTCACAGGCCCTGGGGCAAGTGGGAAGGCAAAGACTCCAGGACTCCATCCCGAGGCAGCAACGGGGGCACAACCAGGGGAGGCAGCAAGGACACAGAACGAGTATTTCACAAAGGGACATGGAAACCACGGGGAAGCAACCGGAGGCATCATTAGGAACCAGGAGCGCTGGTTTCCACCAGGGCCAGGCAAGCTGCCTGTGGTGAGGGAACCACGAGGCACCTGGCAGGGACACCACCCGGACACCTGCACGGCCTGCAGTTGCCGCACCGCACCAGGAGGTGGCAGCCAAGGGCCGCAGTGTGAATTAAGGAGCAGCGCCCAGGAAGAGACCCCACCAGCAGGCGGGCGCACACCCTAAGGAAGGGGCTGCTGACGGCCAGGGTGCACCGGCACCCTAAGACCCCACTGCACTCATTGCCAGAAAAACCATGAGCCATGAGGCTTCTCCTCTCTCCCCGGCTTCACAGGGTGTTCTGATGTCATGAACATGGGTTCTCAGCTGAGGGTGTATTCTGACTTAATGGGAAAGTCCACATTGCAATGGTGGCACTGCCCAGGTCAAGCATGTGTGCGAGGGGGCTGAGGTGGTAGTTCCATGTCTTCACAGGACTGCTCCCCAGCACACGGGGCCCTGGCAGAGGGGCAGCACCAGTTTCAGGGGCTCCGTGTTCTGCACAGCCCCTGCACCTGCTGTCCGACTCCCTGGCCACCAGGCAGCTCGCTGTAGGGACACCATGCTCCACTCTGATAGCGGGCTTAGTTCTGCACAGCAAGAATAACCCAGCAACAGTAACGCCACTGTCATACACACGATTTAAATCAATAATGTTATCAGCACCAAGGAGAGGGACATGGGCAGAGCTCGGGCAGGGGCGGCCAGGAGCAGCCTGTGTCCCCACAGCTGAGGCCCAAGGGGACCATGCCCACGAAGCAACAGGGTCCAGCCCAGAGCAGGTGCCGAGCAATGTTCATCACCAAGGTCCTGAGCTACTCTGGGGAAACCCTGGACACAGTATTGTTCACGTCCATCACTGCCCAACATGAGACAGGAAAGCCAGGACGATGACTCAACTCCCTTTGTCCACACAGGAAGTGCAGCCCTAAAGCCAAACCCACACGCCCAGCTCCAGGGATCAGGCCCAGCTCACTGCCACCGCTCCACAAAGGAGCGCCCAGCTCCCCCCACCACCCCCACAAAGGACAGACAGCCCACCTGACCCCCACCGCCCCCACAATGGACAGCCAAGCTCACTGCTACCGCCCCCACAAAGGAGCACCCAGCTCCCCCCACCGACCCTACAAAGGAGCACCCACCTGACCCCCACTGCCCCCACAAAGCAGAGCCCAGGGCCCACCTCCCCCACGCACCTGCACCACGGTGACACTGAGGCGGCCCACGGTGCCCACGGCCCCTCCATACTGCAGCTGCTGCGCGGCCTGGGCATCCAGCTGGATCTGCTGCTGCTGCTGCGTGGGCGTGATGCGGAGGAAGTCCTGCGGCAGCTCCCCAATGTACACCTGCGAGGCGGGGCGGGAGACAATGTCACACGCCTGCAGGCCCAGAGCCCCACACCTCTGGCAGCCGTGGCGCCCAGTGTGCAGCCAAGGGCCCATCTGCACACCTCGCTTCCCCAACCAAGCCTTAGTGCATTCACACCTACAACACGGCGGCCAAAGAAAAGGGCTGTGTCCCCCCATACTGATGCGAGGCCGTTCCCACTGCTGAGCCACAGGCCTGGTGGGGGATCTGGGGTGATTCTGAGGGTTGCACACACTTCTCTTGTGCGTGTGTCAGCAAGGTGCACACGGAGCTGCTGAGCCCTGGTTCCAGCCCCACAGGGTCTCTGTGCAGGCATGCATGGCTCAGACAGAACTGCCCCGGAAGGAACACGCAAACCAGAAGCCAAGCCCTTGGTCGCCCCACCTCCACTGCTTCCCAAGCCTGCGGTGCCCCCACGAAGGCAGGCATGGTGGGACACGCAGCGCTGCTGGGGCCGGGAAGATGGACCAGGGATGACCTCAGGCAGGAGTGACCAACCCAAGGGAAACTGGGTCCTCAGCAAGGATCCCAACAAGCTAGCAAAGACCCCAGAGCGGCTCACACTGGGCAAAGCACACAGCACGGCCGCACGGCAAGGGTGTGTCCATCAGGGCTTCGGGGCCAGGCCAGGGAGGTGACCACCCACTGTGAGAAGGTCCGCAGGCCCCGGGGACAGCACGCGGACCGCCCTTCATGGGCACAGCTAATTCAGGAAACACCCTCGCGTGACAACGCCTGCTGCACCAACACCACGGGGGGGGGGAGACCGCGCTCAGGGCACCTAGCAGCCCAAGGCTCGTGCCATCCACTGCCACACGAGCCTGCAGGCTGAGGCCACGGGCACTCCCCAGCAGCTGGGCCTGCGAGCACATGGTGCCCATGGGCTCTGCAGAGCCCCCTGACCACAGGCACTTCACTGGGGTATCTCTGGAGCAGTTTGCAGAGGCACCGACAGGGAAGCAGACGCTGGCGCCCAGCACACAGAGCAGTACCAACACGGGTGTCGAGCGTCCGGCTCAAGGGTCTGGCCTGCCACGGCCACTGCCGGCAGGTGGACTCGGGATTCCATAAAATCACAGAAGACTAATTTCTAACCTGGTCATTTTGTGTGGCCCGTGCATGATGTCATACTAACGGCCTTGGCAGACGCAAAGCGGCTCCTCCAGCCCACAGGCCCCAGGTTCTTCTCTGACAAGCACCCGCCACGGTGTCCAGCTCTGCCTGGGACAGGGCCCTGAGGGGTCAAGTGCTGCTGCCAGCCCTGCCACGACACGAGCTACACAGCCGGCAAGTCCTGTGCAGAGCCCTGAGCAGGGCTCCCGTGCCATGAAGTGCCAAGCGCCTATGCCCATGGGCACACCGGGACCAGCCTACACCCTCCGCCCCAGGGCCATCTGACTCTGGGAACCTGGCTCTGGAGTAATGTGTGCACTTGCCTGGACTTGAGGGACCAGCACGGCCCGGAGGACAGCTGGGGGGCCACAGGCCATCCTTCCTCAGCTGCATTTCCCATCGCACGCCCCCAGGCCCTCACTGAGCAGGCTGGCAGTGTCTGAGGGATACTAAGATTACAACGAAAGGTCAAAACATGGAGTGGGTTCATTTTCCAACAAGAGCTACCCATGATTTACAGAAATGCCAGCCAGGCAAGAGCCAGCATGAGAGCGGGCTGCTGGGCAGCACCACGGCCAGCGCCGCTGGGAGCTCCCAGGAGAGGGGCAGGAGGGAGGGATAAGGCCAGGGGGACTAGGAGATGAGGTGAGTGTGAGACAGGGAGAGTGAGGGGGTGAGGGGACGAGGGGAGGAGGACCCCCCCCCCCGTCTCTGAACAGAGAGGCGCCCTCCAAAGTCCCTTGTCTCCAGCCCTAGCCCTGACAGCAAGGAATGGTGACACAGATGCTCAGGGGAGATGCGGGCACGGACCTGGGACCACAGAGGCAGCTGAAGTGGAAAGTCAAGTGAAATCGGAGGGGATGCCAGCAGCAAAATGCTCGCGCACGCAGGAAGGCAAGAGGGGCAGGTGGGAACACATATCCGAAGGCTGCACCACTTCCAGTCATCCCAGAAGCAGACACAGTGTGGCCAACATTCCCGCCCAACAAACCAACCACAGCCACAACCCAGCTGAGGAAAGCGGCCACAGCCACCAGCCCAGGGAGCCGGGGACCCTCCAGGCCCTGCTGGGCACACGGCCACCAGCCCAGGGAGCCGGGGACCCTCCAGGCCCTGCTGGACACACGGCCACCAGCCCAGGGACTGACAAGCACACACATCTCACATCCGACCCGAGTTCACTCTTGCCGCATGGTGAACAGTCACAGGAACAGACACTTGATTCTGGCCCCAACACGTGGTGACATCACGCAGGCTAACTCTGACAACAGACGGGCGAGGAGTTAAAACAGCCCTGCCTGAGCAGCTGCAGACCAGCGCAGCGCAACATGACAGCCTCCGTGTGCAACCCCAGCGTCCCACCTGGCTGCCAGTTCAAGCTCATTTCCACCCAGCTCCAGCTCCCTGCTGACGTGCCTGAGAAATCCCGAGATAGCCCCGCTCCCTCGTGGGAGACCCAGGAGCAGCTTCTGGCTCCCGGCCCAGCCCAGCCCAGCCCAGCCCAGCCTCGGCAGCCACCTGAGGAGTAAACTAGCAAGGGGAGGTCTGTCTCTCCCACTCTCTAACTCTGCCTTTCAAACAAATAAGTAAATCTTTCAAAAAAAAAAAAAATCAGCCACTTGACTCCTGGGAACAGATCCCGTGGAAAGCAGCCGGCCTCCCTGTTGCCAAGCAAGGGCACCAGCAGCCCAGGTAGGAACGGGCCCCAAGCGGCCCAGCCAGGATCCGTGCTGAGCCCAGCACGGTGTGGGTAGATCCCAGGGGTCTGGCTGCTCGGGAGACCCAGCGGGGCCTGCACACAACAGCACTGAGCAGCAGGGGCGGGGAGGGCCCATCCTGGGCAGCTGCGTCCCCACCGCAGGAATCACATTTGCAACAGGGCACCCCTGCCTGGGGCAGACACTCTAGACATTGCCCACCAGTGCCAGCTCCCCAAACACTGCTGTGCCCCAGCGGGGCTCCAATCACATGAGCGCCAAGAGTGCGTGGACTTCAAGGCCGCACAGGCAACAGACAAGTCGAGAGGCGAGAAGCCAAGGCAACCCAGCCCAGTGACAGGGAGTGGCCACTCGGGGGCAGGGGACCCAGGGCGGCTGCCAGCGGGCCCCGGGGAAAGGCAGGCACTGAACAGGCCGTGTGCCAAGCAAGAACATTCCAAAAGACCCAAGCGTGCTGTGTCGGTCAGATAAAGCCAGCAGCCAGCCCAGCCCCAGAGCTGTGCTTGCACCACTAGGCTCGCCTGCCCTTCCAGTCCACGGGGTCTCCTATGAGGCAAGCAGGGCCTGCTCCACCTCCAGACCCTGCCCACGCCACTCTCCTCAAAGCCGCCACACACGGCTACACACTCACACACTCACATGCACCTACACACTCACCCACTCACACTCACCCACTCACCAATACACACTCACTCACACATACACACACCCACTCACCCACATACACCCACTCACACACACACACATACACACCCACTCACACATACACACATACACTCACCCACATACACCCACTCACACACACCCACTCACACATACACACACCCACTCACACATACACCCACTCACACACACACATACACACCCACTCACACATACACACACCCACTCACCCACATACACCCACTCACACTCACACACACACCACTCACACATACACACACCCACTCACACATACACACACCCACTCACACATACACACACTCACACCTACACACTCACACATGCACACCCACTCACACATACACTCACCCACTCACACAAACACACACCCACTCACACATACACTCACCCACTCACACAAACACACACCCACTCACACATACACTCACCCACTCACACATACACACACCCACTCACACATATACCCATTCACACACACCCACTCACACACACCCACTCACACATACACACTCACACATGCACTCACCCACTCACACATACACACTCACTCACATATACACTCACCCACTCACACATGCACTCACCCACTCACACATACACACTCACTCACATATACACTCACCCACTCACACATACACACTCACTCACATATACACTCACCCACTCACACATGCACTCACCCACTCACACATACACACTCACCCACTCACACATGCACTCACCCACTCACACACTCACACATTCCTAGCCCCCCTTCAAGTCTCAGGTTGGACATTCTTCCTGAAGACCTCCCCACACAGCCAGGCCAGGCCACGTCCACCCACCCTCACGGAACCTTCTTCCCGACAGAGGGCTGCCCACAGCAGCCAGGCTCCAAACTCCATCCACACCATGTGGTGCCCACAAGCCGCGGCTGCTGACGGGCCTCCCAGCTTGCCCAGCGCCCTCTCAGCCCAGCTGTGTCCCAGGTGCCCACACCGCTGGGTGACTCACAGTCCATGGGTACCCAGGACCTGGGCACTGTGACAGCAGCCAGGGCTCCGGCCAGCTGACCCGGAACCAACACTGCGTGTTTACCGGCAGCCCTGCTCACCTGCCCCCCACTCAGCCAGGGACACGCTCGGCAGAGCGCCCGTCAGACCAACGGTCCTCCCCACACTCCCCCGGGGGGCTGCTTCAGAGAGCCTCACAGACACTCTACAGCCCCCAGGCGCTTCTTCATTCCCCCTTTTGGGGGGCTACCACCTGTTGGTCCACAACTCCCAGAGCTGGGAGCAGGGGCAGCTACTCCGATGGGAGGAAGCGGTATCTACCTGCAGGGTGAAGCCCACCCCACAAAGGGGGGTTCTGCCGAGCCAGGGACTCCCCCCAGCACATGTGCATGCCTAGTTTTGGGGTGTGTGACCCTGGCAAGGCCTGGCTTCCCATGGGAGGGCCAACGCCTCCCCTCCTGTCTGCGGGATTTCGCCCAGCGGGTCTTCCTGGCCTGTGCACCGCAGGGTACTGCCCCTCCCAGGCTCCCCAGGCCCTCCTCACCCTCCCACGCATCAATTTGCAAGTGAAGAAACCAAAGTTTTGAATGATGGCCACGAAGTGGGGACACTTGCTGCCTGTGTGGGTGACGGGATGGTCTTATCCAGGAGCCGGAGTCCCCCAGCAGCTGTCGGGGTGCGGGTGCCCCAGCAGCTGGCTGACAGGGAGCAGGGTCCCCCGGCCGGTGACCGGCTGTCGGGGTACGGGGTCCCCCAGCAGCTGTCAGGGAGCGGGGTCTCCCAGCCGGTAACTGTCGGGGTGCGGGTCCCCCAGCAGCTGACTGACAGGGAGCAGGGTCCAGCTGTCAGGGAGCTGCCCGGAGCAGCTGTCAGGGAGCAGGGTCCCCCAACAGCTGGCTGTCGGGAGTGCGGGTCTCCCGGCCGGTGACTGTCGGGGTGCCGGTACAGGATCCCCCAACAGCTGTCAGGGAGCGGGGTCCCCCGGCCGGTGACTGTCGGGGTGCGGGTCCCCCACCAGCTGTCAGGGAGCGGGGTCCCCAGCAGCTGGCTGTCGGGGTGCGGGTCCCCGGCCGGTGACTGTCGGGGTGCGGGTCCCCCCTCCAGAGGATGTAGGGCCCCCCCCATCCGGAGGACCGCGCGCCGAGAGCGGTTGCCACCTCCCTGGAGCCGGCGCCCGGGTGCCCGCCGCCCGCCCGCCCCTCGCCGGAGCCCTCACCGGCCCTCGCTGCGTGCTGACGGTGGTGGCCATGGTCCTGCCGCGCCGGGCGGCTCCTCTCGGCTCGGTCGGTTGTCGCCGCGAGGCCGCCGCCTCGGTCAGCTGACGGCCCGGCACCGCGCAGGCGCGCGCCCCCGGCCCTGCCCCTTCCGGCGCCGTGTGCGCGGGCGCGCCTGCGCAATCACTGTCTCCTGCAGCCCGGCCGCCGCGTGAAATGGCTGCCGTTCTGGGCGTGTGCGCCTGCGCGGTGGCGGGCGCATTGTGCGCATGCCCAAGCGCTGCAGCTGGCGGGGGGTGGGGGGCTTTGCTGGACGCGTTGCTGCGGGTCCCTGGAGAGGAGGGAGAGCTGGGAGTGTCTGGTTGGCTTCCCTCAGGGACAGATGGCCACTGAACATTCGCAGCGGGCCCCCTGGGCAGATCCTTCACACCCAGTTCCCTCTTCTTGCCCTCAAGTCCAGGAACCTCCCCATGAAGCAAGGGCAGAAGGTTGTCAGGGAAGGACGTGGGGGCCAAGGGGGGCATGCTGGACTGCTGTGCAGGCCCCTGGCCTGCGGAGGCTGGGCGTGAGCCTGTGTTCTTTGGGGAAGCTGTGTTTCAAGTGAAGAAGTCTCCAATGGGCTCATCTTGGATTTTGAATCAGTAATGGCTGTTGTGGCCATGGGTAAGAGGGAAGTATTGATGGAATATTTTAGTTTGTTTGTTTGAAAGGCAGTTATGCAGAGAGAACCCAGGCAATGTATGGTCTCAGACCACAGTGGGATTGAGCCAGCAGCCAGGACTGTCAGAAGACCCTGGAAAAGTCACTGCATGGATGGCCTGAGTGACAAGGAGGAGAGCAGAGCTCAATGACCAGGCAGTGCATGGGGAACACCGAGCTGTAGGGCACGGTGCCGCCCCACCCTCACAGCACCAGGGAGTGCAGGGAAGGGGTTTGCTGGCAGACGCAGGGTCTGGTGTAGGGCAATGAGCCGTGCCAGGCCTGCCCAGTGATGCTCCAAAAACAAACAGCTCCTCTGGCACCACCCTCCCCTGCTGGTCTCCCAGTGGGGTCAGCTTGGGCACAGAGGAAGTTGGGAAAGGTGGCATTGAGTCAGGAAGTGCAAGAACAGGGTCTGTCTTTGTTTTAGATGTATTTATTTATTTATTTATTTGAAAGGCAGACAATGACAGTAAGAAAAATCTGTTTGTTTATTCCCCAAGTGACCATGATGGCCTGGACTGGACCAGGCTGAAATCAGGAGCTGGGAGCTTTACCCAGGTCTCCTGTGTGGCTGGCAGGGCTCCAAGCACTTGGACCAACTTCGGCTACTCTCCCAGGTGCAATAGCAGGGAACTGGGTGTGAAGTGGAGCAGCCAGGACTCAAACAAGGTAAGGACTCAAGCCCAGCTGTAGTGGGAATTGTCAAAACAGACACAGAGCCACAAGGGGCATGGGGCAGAGACAACTTCAGGGAGGAGGAGGGAAAGACACCCAGATTTGGGTGGGCCGGAGGGAGGCTATTCCTGCTGGAGTGGCCATTGCGTAGTGCCGGAGTCCTGCTCCAGCCAAGTTCGGAACTCGAGAAGGGTGCGTGGGTGAGGTGTCAGAAAATAGAAGGACCGCTAGGATTCCATGATCATCGTGGACAGTGCAATAAAGCTGTCCACTTTATTTATACAGAACCAGTCAAACTCTGGCTCAGACTTTTTATGCCATGGTCAAGTGGGTGTTTCCAAGGATAATTCTGCCGTTTGTTTCACCTTAAAGCAGGATGTTATCCATCCTGACCCTGTGGTCAGGAAGTTCTCAATAGATGGTGCGTATCAATCAGTAACACATTCCCACTACAATGCTCATTCTGCAGCTTAGTCTTGAATCAGTTAAGGGAGGAAAGGAATCACAGAAGGAAGGACCTAAAGATTAAAGAAAGAGGGAAAGAATAGATTCCCACTACACTTGGGGACGGAACACCCTTGATTAGCATATGGTCAATGGGGGCAGCAATAATAAAAGGCCTTTTGGCTAAAACAGTAGCAGCAACATCAACTTCCAAGCTCACATCGGTAGTAAACATTAAGTCCACAGAGGCAGACAATGCCTAAATAGATTACAGAATTTTCAGCGGGGTTGTCCGGTGTCCATGCAAGGGGAGGGGGAGCTGCATTCAGGTGGTTGTAGAGACATCCGCCCGGCCCTGCCGTGCAGCGGGAAGTTCCTTGCGGCCTTGCCTGCAGTGGAACAATACTCTTCACACCTTCCTGTCTTCCACACCCACTGCACAGACGCCAGCAGCACAATATCATGGGAATGGCCCAGAGCCACGGGCCTCCTTCCGTGATGCTGGGGTCTTGGGGGCCTGAGCATTAAAGAAGAGCTCCTGCTGGGCCTCTGGGGATGGGGGGCGGTCAGGAGGACTACACCAGCTCTGCCCCAAGCTCAGAGCCTAACAAGCAGCTCTCACCCCTAGAAGGCAGTGGTGGCTCCGATGAGCTGCTTAGAGCCTAACCCCATGTCTCTCGAATGAGGTTATCCTGGGGACACATCGTCCTGGGACATAAACTGCCCCTGGGCTGTCCACCTCTGGGGGATCTCGGGATCCATGCAGCGTACTGTGAATCCTGTAAGATCTTCATGGCCATCATCTCAAACCCAGGACCACTCTGGTTGGGCACACCTAGGATGAAGAAGACTCAGAGGATGTCCGAGCAGGCCATCTGCGGCACCTGCTGCTGTACATGAAGACCAGACCCGTGGTGGGCCGGCTGGCTGGGCCCCTGCACCTGTCAGTTCACAGGAGATTGGGCTGGGGCAGAACTGGCCAGGCGAGATGCGTTCACCGGTATGTACATTGGCTGGTTCAGGTAACAAACTGACTGACCCTGCACTGAGAAGAAGCAAATCTGAGGTCACCCCAGGTGAGGTTTCTTGGGGGATTCCCCAGCTGGACCACTGGACTCAAAGCCCAGGCATAGGGAAAATCACAGGATGTGTGGTCCAGCCTAGGAGAGCGTGTGTCAGGACCAGGCCACCTCAGTTGCTGACACCTGTGCCCTGGACAGCATGCCCAGATGCACACGGGGACATAACGGCCAGCTCCTCTAGGCCAGGAAGGGTGTCAGTTGCCTCGTCAGAGGATGGGGAGCAGAACAGGTTGGACCACTTTCCCGGCCAAGCTTTGCAGCATGTTCACCGCTTTGTCAGTCAATACACCTTGGGAAGATTTTCTCAACCCTGGTGCAACGAAGCTGACGACATCTCGGAACTATCCAAACCACTCAAGCAACACCCTGGGAACACTGCTCCCACGTCGGTGACTCTGAAGCGTCACCGAATGACTGCCCCGTCTGCGGGAGCTGATGCAGTCTGACAGGCAGAAGCCCCCTCTCTTTCCCCCAAGTGGACAGAGCAGGGAAAAGAAAAGAAAAAAAAATGTGTGCCACCCACCTTCCCTCTCCACCCTAATCAGAGACCCACACGGGTATGTATCCCTGTCAACTATATAAATAACATTTTAAAATAAAATAAATATTTTTAAAAGATAAAAGAGAATTGTGGGACGCTGGAGGGTGCACCCCGACAGTACAGTCTGATAAGGAGGTCCTTGGGTTCTGTAGACCAACCGCACCCTTCAAGCCCCCATGGGAGGTCACGCCCTGTGGCCCGCCTCCATGGGCTCCTCAGGGGAGTGCGTGCAGGGCCAGTCCTCACACAGACGTCCACGTGGCCCGACCACCCAGCTTCCGAGAGCAGCGGGGGTTCTATCACAGACATCCAGTTGGAGTCGGGGCGAGACAGGCATGGCTGACAGGCCGCAGGAAAGCACAGCCCAGCGCCCTGCCCTCGGGGCTGCTGAGGGGCTGGTACCAAGCACATTCTCCAGCCAGGACAGAATCAAATCCAAACCAATCATTAGAACAAAAAAAAAAAATACAATATCTAGGAAATAGCCGCCGTATTTGCAAACAACTTAGTAATTCATGCATCAGAAAAGAAGTTGAGAGGCAGGAGTGGTTGTCTAGTAGGCTAATCTTGCACCTCCAAGTGCCAGCATCCCACATAGGCACATTTCAGATCGAGCTCCGTGCTAATGCCCCTGGGACAGCAGCAGAGGACGGCCCAAGGGCTTGGGACCCTGCTCTCATGTCGGACACTTGGAAAGAAGCTCGTGGCTTCTGGCTTCAACTCTGGCCTGCAGCCATGACCTAGTAGAAGAAAGATTTCTCCCTGCGACCCTGCCTTTGAAATAAACGTATCTTCAAAATCAAACGAAAGAATCGCAAGCCATGCGGAGAACACGCAGCGTGTGCTGGTGGAGATTGAAAGCCAGTGTGCTCAGAGAGCAGACGGGCTGCCTGGACTGGGCCGTTCCTGTGTGGTGTCGTCAGCACCACTTACAAAAGTTGAAAAACCGCTCAGCTTGCAACAGGAGAGCGGTCCAGCCAGTCGAACCAGCATCACGCCCAAATAAAGCTGTTGGGAGGGAGATGCGTATCTATACAGTACCTCCATGTCGCAAGCCTGTGAGCCACACTTGACTGGCAGGTGCTTCTGGGTGGAGAAAATGGAGATCAATTCAGAGTTGAAACCCCCAAGGGGTGGGACCGGGGCTGTGGCATGGTGGACTCTTACTCCACTGCACTGCTGGTATTCCATGTGGGTGCTGCTTCGTGTCCTGCCTGCTCCACTTCCCATCCAGCTCCCTGCTTGTGGCCTGAGAAGCAGCAGAGAACGGCCCAAAGCCTTGGGACCCTGCACCCACATGGGAGACCCTGAAGAAGCTCTTGGCTCCTGACTTCACAGGGCTCAGCTCTGGCCCTTGTGCTCACTTGGGGAGTGATTCAGCAGATGGAAGCTCTTTCAGTCCCCTCCCTGTAAACCTGATCTGCCATTCCAGAAATATATATATACAATTTTAAGAGATTTATTTATTTTATTTGGAAAGGCAGATATATAGAGAGGAAGAGATACAGACAGGAAGATCTTCTGTCTGATGATTCACTTCCCATGTGACTGCAATGACCGGAGCTGAGCCCATTCACAGCCAGGAGCTGCTTCTGGGTCTCCCACACCTAGTGCACCCTGAGGTGTGGTGTCTACGTGACTCACACCCAGTCCACCCTGA